GTGAGGTATTAGAAAAGAGTATAAAAAGTACGAGAAGAGTATCCTAAGATATAGGTCGTAAGTAAATAAGAGTAGTACGCCTAGTTATTTATATAGTACGTTACTCTATACGACTAAGAGCCTATATTATCTTATGCTTCGCTTATAAGACCTCGACTCTACTAGTATACTATCGATCTCTTCCTCGGTCGCTAATACGCTGTCTTAATTCTTCTTCGAGTTGCCGGACTTAGTACGCATCTATAGCTATATAATAGCGCTACGCATTATAGAGAATTTCTCGTTAAAGTTTCTCTCTCGTAGGCTTACTATCTGCCTCGTAGTATAGAGGATCAAAGTACTAATGCTAAAGAATCTCCTTATAGTTAGGATACTAGGGCTCCTTAGGACCTTTGTGTTTTAGGTCTAAATAGAGACGTATTATAAACGTTCTATCGCCCTTTCGCTTACTACCCGCTAGGTCGCGATATACGAAGAAACTAATCTGAATATAGCTCGTCTCTATAATAGCCGGGTAAATATAGAGCGCTAGGTTTCTACTTCGTACCTTAGATTTAGGGACGGCGCGGAGATAAAATCAGAAATATAGCCGGCACCTATAGCCGGCAAAAGGATACGAAAATAGGCCTCCTCCTAGGTTAATCTAACGACTAAATACAATTTCCAACTAATCCGCTATAAACCGACGCCGAATTTTAGCTAGAAGCTGCATATCTTTATTTTAAAGAGTAACCCGCTTCGTATAGATAGCAAGGAGGTTTAAAAGCTTAAGCTCGGTTACGAGAAATGCCTCCGTAGCTTCCTAAAGAGCACCAATCGCCTTAGCCGTAAATCGTATACTAGACCGAAAATCTAATGTAATTTCTCGGACGAGTCGCTAGAAGAGAGTCTTAGGGATTAAAAGCTCGGTCCCTCTTTTGTTTTAGAAAAGCCGGATCTAGCGAAGGGCAATAGTACCTAGTTTAAAGCGCTACTTCTTTGTCGTCGAGTCCTACCTTATTCCCTTTCTTTTAATAGAAAGATAACTTTTCTTCGCGATAGTCTTCGTCCGCCTACTCTTTTTAGCCTTCTCCTATCTACCTATAGCCTTCTTGTTTTTCGGTACTGTTTTCCGAGGAACCCCCTTCCTTCGTATATACTACGGAGAGCCTTACTCTTCCGATATCTCGTTCTCGCTACGGTCTCCCTATACTTAGCTTGCTTTACCCTTACCCTTTAGCCTCTAAAGATATTTATCTACGCGTTTAGGCGACGAGGGCATATCGGTAGGACCTAGAAAATTAATAAGCATATAATCGTAAGGAGACATTAATGCTTCTTACCTTCTAGAACAAATAGTCTTCTATTAAACCGCCTTATTAGGTTATCGTTAGATTCGAATAAAGGATAGTAGCTTAAGGAAGGGGAGGTAGCCGGCTTAGGAAGGCCCGAAGAGCCGAATCCTTAAGGTATATTTATCTTTAAGAATATAGGGAAAGGGAAGAAGGAGAGGAAGAGCGAATAGAGAATTAGAAATAGTCCGTAGGTAAGCGGGGTTAGTTGCTATAGCAACTAGTCTGTTTAGGTCCTAGGAATTCGAAATACATTTCGGATATATACCGGCTATATACGCCGGCTATATTACCTTATACGTAAACGCTTCGTCTCCTTAAAGCTGCTCTAAGCCTATATACGTTTCCGCTTCTCGATCCGGTATCGCCTTCTACCTCCGCCCTCCTCCTCTTCGTTATCGCTAATTAGGGTTTCGCTTAGACTAAATTTCCTATTCTCTTCGCGCTCCTAGGTTTCTTCGATCTCAAGGTTTTCTAATTCCTCGATTAACTCCTTTAATATAATCTTTAGTAACCTACCTTAGCGATTCTAGTAGAGGAGATAGTATCGGAATACTATAATAGATTCGAAGGTAGTAGGCGAGTATGTTCGATTAAAGCGGCCCTAGTAATAAGCGATACTAAAAGACCTCTTATAGCCTATGCCTACGCTCGGGATAGCGAGGACGTCCCGAGCGACCGACGCTATCGTTAGAAACTTAGGCTCTAACCGCTACTATATAGCGAGAATATCGTCTCCGAATTCGTCTAGAAGACCGGTAAGATCTAGAGATTATTAGCCCTCTTTCCGAGCCTACGGGTTTATACTTACTCGCGCGCCGATAGAGATCGAACTCTTCTTTATTTACTTTAGTAGTTGCTTCCTCTTCTGCCTCTACTTCCTGCCTACGAAATAGGTATAATGTCGGAGCCTTCTAAACCTTCTTTTTCTTTATAGGAGCTGCATTTAGACTAGTTTCTTTCCGACGCTTATAGAACATCTTTTCTAGAATAGTCTAGTAATGCTTCGGCTATACCTCGTCCGCCTTCTATTCCGGCCTCTACTAGTATATATCCTTTTCTACCGGGTTAAGCAAGCACGCAACGCTATAGATATCCCCGAACGAGTTAAAGGTAGCACTATAATATTTATGCAACTTAGTATAGGAGGTGTCTATAGCTTTCGTTATAGCTACTTTCTAGAGAACGCTCTTCTTAGCTAGCTTAGCTGCGGTTTCCTCGAGCTCGTTAAAGAGCTAGTTATAGTACGTAAAGACAAGGTAGATCGTCGGTCCTTAGGTTCTTCTAATCGTAGCAGTAACCTTCGCGTAATGCTTACTAATATCGACGAGATACTCTACTTAGCGCTATTCGGCGGCGGTAAGGCCGAGCTACTTAATACCCTCGGAACTCTAATAGATCTCGAGAGCGGTACGTAAAGTATATCCCCTTATAACTATATAGAAAGTCGAATCGAACTGGGTCTTAACGTCTTAGGTAAAACAGAGTAGGCGCTAAGGAGGCCGCTTTTGCTATCGCTTATTCTATGCGATATTCTAGGTATCGGTTTTAGGGCGCTCGATTAGGTTCTTTTAAATAGCCTCGAATCGGTTATATCTCTATAAGCTCGAGTTCGTATATATTGCTAGACGACGAAGCTAGAGAAAAAGAGTTAGAACTATACTAGGTTGCCGGCTATAGGTGCCGGCTACGGACAAAAGTTATACCTTATATAAAACGAGAGCGAGGCTCTCTACCTTATCCCGTCTTATTGCTATAATAAGTTTCTCGACTTTCGACTTTACTTTATCCTTATCTAGGATCTTCTATTGGTCGTCGTTTAATAGTGCAATTTTAAGCGTCTTAAAGAGGGCTCGGATCGCGATTTAAACTATATAAGCGAGGCAGGGAAACTTCTATAGGGATACAACTAGCAACGACGTCGGCTCCGATTTAATAGGGCTAGGGCTATTAATAGGCTCCTCTTTATCGTTATTATCGTGCGTATTATCGTACGTATCCGGAATCGTAGCGAGCTTAACATTCGGAAGATTAAGCTAGATTGTAGACCTTGTAATCTCCTCTACGTACTCGACCCTATCGATACAATTAGTAATTTTAAAGATATATACGAGTGAATTGTATATACAACGCCTTATACAATGTTCGATTATTACTAGCGTTGTCCGTAGTAATCGAGATTAGTTTCGTTATTACGCTAACCCTATCTATTACCGTATAGACAAGCTTCGCTATATCCTTACTAGTATAGGAACCTAGAATTTTAGGGAATCCGATTATAAGTTCCTAGAGTTTCTAATCCGAATTAATAAAGTATAGTATAATCGAGAGGAAGGAGGCTCTTATAGTCCGGCTTAACTAGCTATCGATAGTAATAGCTACTCGGCGAGTATTACGGAGGATCTCCCGAATGTCGTCTAACGTAGCCTCTTTATTCTTTTCGAATATAATACGCTAGGTTATCGCGCCGAGAAATAGGGGAGGTAGACCCCGTAGTAGTTCGGTTTCCGAACTACTAAACGTATATAGTTTGGTTTCTTAGCGGTACCCCTCCGGTTTGGTTCCGGTTTAGTTTTTTGCCCCGCTAGTCTAAGCTAGTTTCCGAGGAAACTACGACGATATACGACGACCTCGGAACGAGTCCGGCACGCGACGGGGGCCCTATATTGTATACGCTATACGATTGCATCCGTATTTCGGGCTGTTTAGACGTGTTTTGGGATGGGTTTTTGTCCGTAGCCGGCACGTAGCCGGCAAACCGGTCCGTGCACCGGTTTCTTAGCAAACCAAACTAAACCAAACTAGAATTTCGGCTTAGCAAACTAAACCAACCTAACCCGAACTACTGCGGGGTCTAGGGGGAGGGTAGTTTATAAGATATAGGTATATCTTCTATATAGACTCCCTTTCGTAGAAGTCTTCCGGAAGACCGTTTGTAGCTAGCATTTCGTTTACTAGTTGCTTAAAGTCTTCGGGGGAGAAATTGGTAGCCTTCAATCCTAGAGCTTCCTTAAGCGTAGCCTATAATAATTAGCTAGATCTCTACGGTTGATTTAGGTAGCCGGAATCTATAGCCGGCAGCTGTAGCCGGCAGCTATAGCCGGTATTTTAGAAGACATACCTCTTTCTAGAACGCTATATCTATATTAACTCTCCTCTCTCCTTAAGATTCCCGATACCGTTTAGAATAGAGATAGTTCGTAGGCGATAAGTTCCTATCCCCTAGTTTCGGGTGTTTTAAGATTAAACCGTAGAAGTTGCAGACAATTACTAGTTAACCTTTAAGTCGAGAAGTCGTATAACGGTGTAATGCCCCCTCTATAAAGAACTTCTAGAATGTGTCCGTTCGCTCCTTACTCCCCTATCGTATCGAGTACTTCCGGAGTTTATACTCCTTCGAACGTAAGTATAAAGGGAACTATATCTTATAGACCTATTAATTGAACTGCTCTATATACTCGGGTTTCTAAAGATACGCCTAGCTAGCCTTTTCGAAGATTTCCGAGTTAATACTCGATGTTCTTATATCTCCGAACAACCTTCTACTTAGACTCCGTAAAGGTAAGGACTAGGTAGTAGTACCCTATAATAAATTCCTACTACTAGGATTCGGAGAGGATAAATCTAGCCCTAATCGTAGTCTAGGACTCGATAGGCTCGAAGGTAAGTATGCGACCTCCTCTCGACGTTGTCGCAATCTCGCTCGTATACTAGACTGTTTCGACTATCGTCTCGTTATTACCCTTCCTAGTATAGCGCCTAGTATATATACAATGTCGGTCGGCATGTTTTAAGGTTTCGTACGGTAAGGTAAGGACTTAGGAGTAGTAGATATATACTAGTAGCTATAGAGAAACACCCTTTCTTTTATAGCATCGTATCGTTAGGAACAGCTAGGCAGTAAATAGCTAGCTACCTTTTTTTTTTGTTTCCTAGCTACCTAACTACTAGATTTTTTTTCCTAGCTACCCTAGCTAGCCTAACTACTAGAATTTCTTTCCTAGCTACCCTAACTACCTGAATTTTGCCTTCTATACGGCGGCTCTCTCCTACTAACGGAACCGAGCTACTATACCTAACGAATCCAAGCTCGTTTTTAGTCTCAATCTATCCTCTTTCGGTATAAGACACTCGATAAGCAAATGCTTAGGCCGAGTCTAACTACGAAACCTAAGACTAACTAACAGCTCTATTAACTAATCCTAATCCTCGAACTCCTTCCGCTTCTTAGTAAAGACCTTAAAGAGCGCTCGAGCTTCTTCGGGTACCTGCGGAGTAGTCGAGATAAAGCCGTATCGCTAAAATAGGTAATCCTTCGGAGGCTTATATAGAGATTTAGAGAATTCTAACGCTAACCTATCCTACTAGTAGCTTAGATTCCGGATATAAGCCCTCTCTGCCTTAGTAAAGATTTTATATAGTAGTAGCACTCTGCCTTCGAGAAACGCTTTCTATTTAACTGTTAGTATCTGCCGGCTACGAACGCCGGCTATATATGCCGAGTATAGAATAATTACCTGTACCCCTTCCTCCTATAGTAACACTTCTGCCGTCCCTAGATACCTAGCCCCGATCGCATTAATCGCAAGCTACTTTGCCTTTATAGACGTAAAGGCTTCGCTCTAATACTAATAAAGAAACTTCTACTCTATATCGAGGATATAAAGACGACTAGTCTCGATTCTAATCCTTGCTAGCTTTTCGTAGTAGCTTTAACTATGATTTTCTAGATTAATAGGACTTATACCTTAGCCCTTTACTAGTATCTCGTCTCTTTAACTGTGCTCGATCTACTCCTAGCGCTTATCGTCTATAGCGTTAGGCCCTAAGACTGCACCTATTACTAGATCGACGTATAGTATCTCCTCGCTTTTTTCAGTTCCTTTATTCGTAGTATTAAGCTCTATCGCGGCATCCTAAACTCTAGTATTATTGTTCTCGGCTATCTAAACATCTCCGTTACTATCGGTCGTATCGATAGAGATAGCGGCTATAGGTCTAAATGCTATTAGTTAACGTATTAAAGAAAAATATGCCGGCTATAGCTGCCGGCTACGGCTGCCGGCTATAGCTACTAGCTACGGCCGCTAGCTAGATTAACTTACGCTACTAGAACTTTACGCTCGAAAACTAGCCGCAATTCTTTCCTCCTCTTAGCCTTCTCTTAGGTTGTCTTCTTATTCTAACCTTCACTTTTTTCTATAGGCGCTAGCTATCGATAGAATGCCTTATTCCGCGCCTTTCTTCTCTTATCCTTAGCTCTTTTATCCTTATCTATCTTATCCTTTCTCTCGCGGTCTCGTACGAAATTCTTCTTCGTAGAGTACTCCTCTTTAGTCTTGCGCTTTTTAGTTAGACGCTTAGGTAAAACAAACTCGCGGTCTTTAGTTCTATCTTCTATTTAGCGCGCGGCGCGCTTCTCTCTTACTATTGTAAGGGAAAGGGGCGGGGGCGCAGCGTATAGTAGTTATTATCGGTATAGATGTAGAGGAAGAAGTTAAAAGTATAAGAATATCGCGAAGCCCTAATTGTTGCCGCCTACGTAACGTTATATAGGTAAGCTTTCGCAACTACGGCAACTACGCCCCGGCAATAGCAACTACGCCCTAGTAACGGCAACTACGCCCTAGCAACGGCAACTACGCCCTAGCAACGGTAATAAAGCGTAGTAAATACAACCTAGTAACTATTATAGCCGGCAATCGTAGCCGGCAGTCGAATAAGAGTGTCCTTATAGCAAAACTACGCCCTAGCAACGGCAACTACGCCCTAGTAACGGCAACTACGCCCTAGCAATAGCAAAAGAGCGTAGTAAATGTAATAGAGTTACTATTATAGCCGGCAATCGTAGCCGGCAGTCGAATAAGAGTGTCCTTATAGTAAAACTAATACAGTCTCTAGTTCAAACTAGGAATCTATATAGTTCGAAAAAACCAAACCGGAACTAGGGAGCTAGTTCGCCGCTAAGAAACCAAACTATATACGTTTAGTAGTTCGGAAACCGAACTACTACGGGGTCTATATCTTAGTATGCGGATTATTCGTAACCGCGATTAGCGTACTATTTACGTCGTTTAAGATACCTATTTGAATAGGCTTAGTAAGAAGTATAGTATATAGGGCCGAGTAGCTCCTACTATACTAATAGCACCTCGATACGTTAAGACATCGATTTAGCGTGCATATAAGGGCTATACTGCTAGCGCTGCCTTTAAGACTTAGTATTAAGAAGGTGTTAGTAAGGCGCTGTAGCTAGCTATAATTATACGACCTAATGCTTGCTATACTATAGGCCTATTATTACGATTTATCTCTAACCCGACCGAGGAATACTATGCCGCGCTTCTTTAGCTAATTGAGTACCTAGTTAGTACTCTAAGCCGTAGCATGCGCTTCTAAGGCACACAGAACGATAAGCTAAACTTTGCTAGTTACTGTAACGCCTTATAGGCTAACGATCTAGTTACCCGCCGCTCTATAGGTAGCTTCTACTTTACTATTGTAGGCGGACCTCTGTTATATAAGTCCGGCCGCTAGACGCTTGTTATACTATCGTTAATAGAAGCTGAGTATGTTTAACTTACTATAGGGGCTAAGGAAGTAGTTGCCTTAGCTCGTTTATTAAAGGAAATTAGCTATAAGGGCTATATTCTTCTAGTTACGCTCTACGAGGACAATTAGTCCGCTATTGCTATTACTAAGTCGACTAGCATTAATAGCCGCATAAAGCATATAGATGCTCGTATCTACTATATTCGAGAGAAGATTGCTAATAGTACTATTGTCGTCTAATAGGTTAGCATATATAATTAGATAGCCGATAGCTTTACTAAGCCGCTTAACAAGGTTAAGCACGGCCGCTTTATTAAACAACTGAACCTAGTAGATTGTAAGGCCGCTATTAAGAATGCTGCAAAGCCAGCTATTAAGTACTAAAGGGCCCTTGTTTGCTTTATATAGATATGAGAATAGTCTAGTTTATTTACCTGTTTTGTTTGATTACCTAATACCCTCCTATTTGCTTTGCTAACTAAATGGCTAATAGGTTTGTTTTATTCTATAGCGATATGCACGTGCTAAGGGGGTAACTTAGAGTGTGTGTCTAGGTGTTAGGGTCTATTACGTGCCTAATGCCTAAGGCTGCAACTGCTACACTTTATCTTCGGACTTCTAGATAGATTAGTCCTTCTTCTAATACATTAGTTACATTAAGTCTTATTCTCGAATTGGACCGCCGCCGTGTATTTAAACAGGCTAACCTAATACGTATTCAATTTATAGTCGAGGTAGAAACAGCTAAACGAGCTGTCTAGCTTTAATAACGACTAGAATCGAGGATCCGGCTAGCTAGTACTAACCGCGGCAATCGTAGTAGCTACGGAGGAAACTAAGGTTCCTACTAAGATAATAATGCTAATAGTAGGAATAGTAACAACGACCGTAGAAGGGGCCGTAGCTAGCGACTATATAGAGGAGGCTATAATAGAGGCCGTAGAAGGGGCTCGTATCCCTATAATACTAACCGCTCTACTAATAATAACAACAGCTACGGTAGTCTACTAACCGGATTGAAGTACTTTAATTGTAATAGTACTAGCTATCTACTAGGCTAATGCGACAAACCTAAGGACTAGGCCTAAATTAACCGTACTTCCGCTAAGTATAGGAAACACCTTTTAGCCGCTAATGCTACCCTAGTCGGCTCTTTTAATTAGTCGAAAAAAGAGTAAGCGCCGTACTAACTATTAGCCTTGTACGGCGTAAGACTATCGATATTGTACTAGCTATTATATGCACCTATCTCGTATCGGACTCGTATAGCACTAGTTATAAAACTAAGGTTATGCTAGATCTAGGAAATTCAGTTAGTGCCCTTATTAGCTATCGCCTAGCTAAGCAATTAGACCTTCGACAACTGCCTAGGACTAACCTACTAACCCTTGCTTGGTTTAATAACGCTCGGCACTTGACCTATAGGGCCTACTATGTCCCTATAGTCCTAAAGGACGACCTCGGAAATGAACGCCTACTAGACTTTACTACCTACGTAGTAGATATAGACAACCTATATAGGGGAGCTACTATTGTTACTAGCAACCCTGTTCTTAAGCACTATGCTATAGTTATAGACTTAGGCAGTTAATAATAGCGATTTAGAATCGCTAAGAGAGAGGATATTAAACATATCGATATTAGCGAGTGTCCTAATAATATTAGGGTCCTGTTTATTAGCAACCTAATACCCGCCTTAGCTAATCCGATAGCTAATCTTCTCGGTAGAGATAACGATAAACCTATACCCCCTAATAGTATAGACCCTAATTAGCTCTCTCGTATACTAGTGCCTATTCGAGAAACCTATATTAATGTATTTAAATACTACTTAGCGTCGACATTGCCTATATTTAAAGAGACGGACTATAAGATTAACATTACAGAGGGCAAAGAGGTTCCTTTTAGCCCCCTCTACAACCTTAGTGAGCGAGAGCTTACTATATTACGTAAGTACCTAGAGGAAAACCTAGCTAATAGCCGCATTCGGTATAGTAACAGCCCTGCTAGTGCACTAATCCTATTTGTTCTAAAGAAGGATAGTAGCCTACGGTTATACGTTAATTACCGTAGACTTAATACTATTACTATTAAAGACCGCTGTCTACTTCCGCTTATTAATAAGACCCTCGATCGCCTTTCTAGGGCCTACTTCTATACTATACTAGACATTAAGGATGTATACTATTGTATCCGCATTCGTAAGGGCGACGAATAGAAGACGGCCTTCCGCACTCGCTATAGCTATTTCGAGTACTTAGTTATACTATTTAGGCTAGCTAATGCCCCTATAACATTCTAGTCCTATATTAATCGGGCCCTTTCGGGCCTATTAGACTATCTCTATATAGTTTACCTAGATAACATCCTAGTTTATATACATTTACCTAATATTGCAGAATATTAGGCCGTAGTACGTAAGGTCCTCGACCGCCTACGAGCCTATAGACTATATTATAAGCCTTCTAAATGCACCTTCGCTACTAAGGAGGTAGCCTTCCTTAGTTTTATCGTATTAACTAGTAGTATTAAGGCTAAACCTAATCGGATTAAAACAATTACTAAATAGCCTATTCCTACGTCTATTAAGGAGCTTTAATCGTTCCTCGGCTTCGCTAATTTCTACCGCCGTTTTATTAAGGGCTATTCGAGGCATATAATGCTATTAACTAAGCTCACTAAGACTAAGGCAAACCCTTCTAGAGAGTTTAGGTAGACTAGTAAAATATAAGCCGCTTTTAACGGTCTAAAGAAGCGATTTACTAAAGTCCCCTTATTGTACTATTTCGTACTAGGCAAGCAGATCCAAATTGAGACTAACGCTTTACAGTTCGCTATATTAGCTATTATATTACAACAGGCTAATAATACCTACTAGCACCTAATTGCCTTCTTTTTACGAAAAATAATCGATATAGAACGTCGACACGAGACCTACGAGTAAGAGCTCTTAGCAATCGTAGAAGCCTTTAAGCATTAGCGCTACTATCTCGATAGTGCTTAGCATACAATTTAGGTCTATACGGACTATAACAACCTCCGTAGCATTACTAAGGTTACTAGGGTTACAGGTCGATAGGCTAAATAGGCCGTCTACCTCGCCGGGTTCGATTTTAATATACTATATCGGCTAGGCGTAAGTAACCCTACTAATAGCCTATCGAGGCGACCTAATTACGACAGCGAGACTTAGTATATCAATTTATTGTTTCTAACCCTGCAGCATAAGATTGCTATAGCCCGTATTGTTAATAAGCAAGCGTAGGATAAGCGGACTTCCGGACTCCGCGGCGGCAACAAATACTATAGCGGAGTTGTCGTTCTTCTAGTATACGTTAAAAGAAAGGACGTAGATCGCTCGAGCTATAATAACTCGATTAAAGACATTGCTATCTATAGTAATAGCCTATATAGCAATAGTACTATAAAAGAGGTTGTAGTAGTTCTAGCTGCTAGTACTATTAGATATATATAATACGTACCTCGTTCGATAGCACGGGTACTATTAAATAACCTTGCAAATAGGGATAGTTAATCGTTTATAGATAAGCTATTACGTGCTTAGTAGAGGGACGCCTTTGCTGTCGAGCGTATTAATAGGCTTGTAAGTAGACGGGCGACTCGATCTAGCAAGAGTAATAACAATTAGTCGATCGACGATAAGGGTTACTTAAAGTTCAAGGGCAGATACTATATCCCCGCTAAACAATCGATTAGACAAGAGCTTTTAAAGAGGCACTATAATAGTAAACTCGCTAGTTACTATAGTATAGAGAGGTCGTACGAGTTACTATCGCGCATATACTACTAGCTAAATAGTAAGCGGCATATAAAGGAGTATATGCAGACCTATATAGTATACTAGCGAGTTAAAGCACCAAAGCACTTACTATTTAGCGAGTTGTCTTTACTTCCTATTCCTAGGAAGCCATTTGCTAAGCTTATAATAGACTTTATTATAGGCCTTCCGCCTACTAAGCGTAGGGGCAGTAAGGATGTGTATAATGCTATCCTAGTTGTCGTAGACCGGTTAACTAAGAGCGCTCGTTATATCCCTGCTCGAAAGGATTAGACTACTATTAATATAGCTAAAGCCCTATAGAACAATATCTTCTATAGCTATTAGGGGACCCCTAAGGGGATAGTCTCCGATAGGGGCTCGACATTTATATCGCACTACTAGAGCGAATTATGCCTATAGCTAAGACTAAAGCATCGGCTATTAACAGCCTTCTATCTATAGACTAACGGTCAAACAGAGAGGCAAAATGCTACGCTACAGCAGTACCTACGTAGCTACATTAATAAGGACCCTAATAGATAGGTTAACCTTCTATAACTAGCCGAATTCGTATATAACAATAGTATACATTTATTAACTAAGGTCTTACCCTATATAGCTATAATAGGCTAAAACGCTGCTATACTATAAGACCCCCTATCGCTCGAGGCCGAGCGTAAGGAAAGGGAAGCGCGTTAAGTACTAGAGACACTAGCGGTAATAGAACGTGTCTAGAAGATACGAGAAATCTATACTAAAATAGCTAAGAAGCTAATAAGGGCTTAAGAGTACTAAAAGACCTATTACGACAAGCATTATATGCTAATAACCTTTAGACAAGGCGATATAGTTATACTAAGCACTAAGAACCTCTATATCCGCAAACACCTATTACCTAACGGCAAAACACGCCCTAAACTAGCACTACGGTTTATTAGCCTATTTCGCATCCGAGAACCGAAGGGTAATAGCTAGGCCTACTAGTTATATCTTCTACCTTATTATACTATCTATAACACCTTCTATATCTCCCTCCTTAAACTATACTACTAGCGCGAAGGCGATAAAGCGCCTACTAAGTTAGAAGAAGTCTTAGCTAATAGTAAAGAACTGTAGTCTATAGAACGTATCCTAAAGTATCGGACTAGGAAAGGCAAGAAGGAGTACCTGTTAAGATAGTAAGGCTATTTACCTAAATAGGACTTGTAGGAAGCTAAAGGTTCCTTTAAGGACATAACCGAGTTGTTAGATAAGTATTGGACTAGCGTAAAGAACAAGAAGAAGGCTAAAAGCTTACAATGTTACTATTAAGGCCTAGGGTTAATGCTACCCCTAGGGTGCTATTAGCTAACTAATTAGAGACAAGCAATTGTTAGCAACAAAGGACAATAAGACTATACTACTATAGAATCTACCTCTTTACTAGCGCACCCTATAAGACCCTTCTCTTAGCGCCCCCTTTTATTTCTTTATTCTGTCGAGGCCCTAAGGCCTAAGCGATCGATAAGGGCGATATACGCGCGCGCGTACGAATAACGGTAATAAAGATAATAGCGTCGCGCTATAAGCTAGCGAAGGACGGCGCAGCCGGCGCGGCTATATTAGTAATAGTATTGCAGAGTATATTGCTATTTAAGAGAGGAAGGATATAGCTATATTAGTAACGGTGTTACCGAGTTATTGTTAGTTAAAGAAGGAAATTAGAAGAAGGTAAAGTTAGCGCTAAGACGACTAGCGCTACTATTATTAATATTACTTATTATTGTCGCTACGCCTATAGAGACAACCTTACCTATACTACGAGCCTAAGGCACTAAGGGGTTAATCAAAACTTTAAGGCTAAGTTAAAACTTTAAGCCGCTTAAAAGATTGAGCGACTAATAGACTAACTAAGGGCAAAAACTATAGAGCTAAGTTAGCTAGGGTCGATCTTGCGGACAATAGGTTACTCCTCGATCTTTCCGACTCTTTAAGCGAGGCAAACCTTAACTATTGCACTTATAGTAGCCTTTACCTATAGAAACTAGACAACTGTGTTTTTTAAAAAAATAAGATAAGATTAATAATTAAAGGCTGCTAAACCTAACTAATTAGGGCTAGCGAAACTACGAACAATAATAGTCCTCGTAATAATAAAAACAATTCCTCGGAAACGGACAAACCCTCGGAGCGGACATTTCTAGGTCTTTTAGAGTAGACGTAAAGAACTCGGACAACCTTACTTAGAACGGGGGCAGTACTACAATACCCTATATACCTACCTATTACAGTAGGGAAGATGCGCTCGTATTGTAATTAGTTGCTAGCCTTTAATTTATATAGCTATATAATACCTCATTATTACTATAGCAGTAGTAATAGCGCAGTTAGAAGTTAGACATTGTATTAGAAGGTAAGGTTTGACATAGTTACATAATTAGGTAGTTAAGTATTTAATTTAGCGCGGGCTAAGCAGCTTATTAAACTTGCTAAGTTAGCGGCAATAGAGGTCGTAGAACATAGATAGGCTACGAGGGCGCGGCCTTTAGAAAAGAAGCGTATATTAGGGCTAAAGAGGCTACACGTAATTAGCATATAACTAGGCTAAGTGAAGCTAGGGTCTTAGTGCCTTAGGCAGGGCTTAGCGCTTAGTAATAGGCTAACTTGCCTGCCTTCCTCCCTCTCCTCCTAGCTCCTTATCGAATACTACCTGTACCTACTACTACCCTATCTACCTACTAATATAACCCTTCTTATATAGGGGACCTCTAAGGGGATAGTATCTAATCGTAGATCGATACTAACATCGTACTATTAGAGCGAAATATGCCTATAGCTAAGACTAAAGCATCGGCTATTAATAGCCTTCTATCTATAGACTAACGGTCAAATAGAGAGGCAGAATGCTACCCTATAGCAGTACCTACGCAGTTATATTAACGAGAACCCTAACGACTAGGTCAACCTCCTATAGCCTATAGAATTCGTATATAACAATAGTATACACTTATCTACTAAGGTTTTACTATATATAGCTATAATAGGCTAGAACGCCGCCTTACTATAAGATCTATTTACCTCGCTCGAGGCCGAGCGTAAGGAAAGGGAAGCGCGTTAAGTACTAACACCTAAGACACTAGCGGCTATTAAGAGGGTTTAAAAGATGCGGGAAATTTACGCTAAGTTAGCTAACAAACTAGCAAAGGCCTAGGCATATTAGAAGGCCTACTATAACAAACACTATACGCTAATAACCTTTAAGCAAGGCGATATAGTTATACTAAGCACTAAGAACCTCCGTATCCGCAAACACCTATTACCTAATAGCAAAACAAGGCCTAAGCTCGCACTAAGATATATTAGCCTATTCCGCATTCGAGAAGTTAAGGGCTCTTCCGTATAGGCCTGTTAGTTATAGCTTCTACCTTATTATACTATCTATAATACCTTCTATATATCCCTCCTTAAACTATACTATTAGCGCGAAGGCGATAAAGCGCCTACTAAGTTAGAAGAAGTCTTAGCCGATAGTAAAGAGCTATAGTTTATAGAGCGTATGCTAGAGTATCGGACTAGGAAGGGCAAGAAGGAGTACCTATTAAGATAGTAGGGCTATTTACTAGAATAGGACTCGTAGGAAGCTAAAGATTCTTTTAAAGATATAACTAAGTTATTAGATAAGTATTAGACTAGTGTAAAGAATAAGAAGAAGGCTAAGGGCCTATAATATCGCCTAGGAATAATACTACCCCCGGGGTGCTATTAAGCTAACTAATTAGAGGCACGCAATTGTTAGTAAGGATAAAACTATACTACTATAGTAAACGCGTACCGAGTGTTAACGAGCGCGCTATAACTATTAACTAATCGCCTGCTCCTTTAAGGAATCTACCTCTTTACTAGCGTAACCTATAAAACCCTTCTCTTAGCGCCCTCTCTTATTCTATATCCTACTAGGGCCCTAAGGCCTAGTCGGTCGGCGATAGCGGCGCGCGCGCGTATAGATAGTAACGATAATAATAATAACGGCGTTGCGCCTATACTAAAGGGCGGCACGGCCGGCGCGGCTATATTAGTAATAGTATTATAGAGTGTGTTACTAGTTAAAGCGTTACTAGTCGAAGGAAATTAGAAGTAAGGTAAAGTTAGCGCTAAGACGACTAGCGCCGCTATTATTAATACTACTTGCTATTATCGCTACGCCTGCTAAGACAACCTTACTTATACTACGGCCTAAGGATAGGAGCGTACTATACTAGTTAGGTTAAAAGGATAGCTATATTAAAGGTTTAATTAAAACTTTAAGGCTAAGTTAAAACATTAAGGCTTAAAGGATAGAGTAGTTTAATAGACTAACTAACTAAGGGCAAAACTATAGAGCTAAGCTAGCTAGGGTCGATCTTGCGAATAATAGGTTACTCCTCGATCTTTCCGATCCTTTAAGCGAGGCGAACCTTAACTATTATACTTATAATAGCCTTTACTTATAGAAACTAGACGAGCTGTGTTTTTTCTAAAAAGATAAGATAAGATTAATAATTAAAGGCTGCTAAATCTAACTAATTAGGGCTAGCGAAACTACGAACAATAATAGCCCTCGTAATAATAAGAACAACTCTCGGAGCGGACATTTCTAGGTCTTTTAAGAGTAGACGCAAAGAACTTAGTACGATATTACTTAGAACGGAGGTAGTGCTGCAATACCTCGTACGTCTACCTATTATAGTAGGGAAGACGCGCTCGTATTATAATTAGTCGATAGTCCTTAATTCTCGTAGTTATATATTACTTTATCGTATATAAGGATAGCGCAGTTAGAGTTAAACATTGTATTATATTAGAGGTAAGGTTTGATATAGTTACATAATCGGTAGTTATACGTTTAATTTAGCGCGGACTAAGCGGCTTATTAGACCTACTAAGTTAGTAGTAATAGAGGTTAAGATTAGAATAAAGACTAGCTACGAGGGCGTAGCCTTTAGAAGGGAAGCGTATATTAGGACTAAAGAGGTTATACGTAATTGGCATATAACCGGGCTCGAGTAAAGCTAGGGTCTTAATACCTTAGGCAGGGCTTAGCGCTTAGTAGTAGGCTAACTTGCCTACTTTCCTCCCTCTTTTTCTAGCTTCTTATCGAATACTACTTATACCTACTACTACTCTATCTACCTGCTAACATAACCCTTCTTATATAGAAATAGCCTCTAGATAAGGTCTAGTTTAGCTTTATTATAACTCCTTATTTATAGGCCTATACTATATAATTATAAGGCTTTAAATTACTAGTAGCTCGAAATTAGACCTCTTAGCGGTCTATATATAGCCTGTAAACAACTATAGAAACTACTATAGAAGTGGTCAAGCGGCCTTACAAACCTAGCCGCCGTGGCGGCGCGATCGACACCCTGTTTAGGTTGATATACTTATATCTCGCCGCCTCACACGGTCACACCATTCGACATCAGCAAAAACAGAACCAAAAGTTGTGTAGTCAAATGCCACACATGACATGCCCTGCCCTGCCCTTTCCTCCACCATCTCCCACCTTCTGGAAGCACAGGTCCTATGCTTCCGGAACATTGTACACTGTATCCTCTGACTGGCACATCGCTGTATGCCATCCATGCAGCTCGCTTAGCCCGCAGCCGCAGCCGCAGCCACCATCGTCCGGCGATCTCTAGATTGCAGTAGTGTTCTACTGTCGAGCGGCTGGCCGCCTGTGTAAACTTTGTAGTGAGCGCGGCGGCATCGACTTCACCTCCCTTTCCAAGTGCCAGTGGGCATCACATGCGATACGCCCGACGGGAACATGATCTGGACACTAGAAGACGAACGAGAACGATATGTCCAAGCGAGATGTCAGCCTTCACAGTCATGACAGCAAACATGACAGGCCTGAGCCAAGGCTACTCCGCGCAGTCGAAGCGAACGACATTCTCAAGATCAGACATGTCATCGAAGAAGCTCAAGGCCAGCGTCAGCTGAGTCGCAATCTGCTATCCATCGGCTTAATCAGGGCCTGCGACAAGGACTTCGCCGATGTGGCCTCATTCCTCCTCTCCAAGGGCGCCGATCCAAATTATGCGAGTGGCAATAAACCTCCCGCTCTTCTCAGGGCCGCGGAGTACGGTCTCGCTCGAATCACTGAGACGCTCCTTGATCATGGTGCCGACATTGAAGCAAGAGAGAAGAAACGGCGAACGTCTCTGATGACCGCGGCCTGGAAAGGTCATTTAGACATAGTCAAGCTTCTCCTTGCTCGCGGAGCATCCTTAGAGACCGTCGACATCAGAGGTCGCAATGTGCTTCATAATCTTGCCGCTGACAAAGGCGACAAGAAGACCTCTGGGAAGCCTACGAACAGGCCAAGACGGAAGTGGAGTATCGACATCGTACATTACATTCTTGGAGCAGGGATCAATCCGGATGAAGTGGACGCCCTGGGGAGGACAGCACTTCATTGGGCCGCAGTGACAGACAATGAGGAAATGATGAAGCTTCTCCTGACGGTCCGATTTCGAGGAGAATCGCCCCAAGCTCGTTGCAACGCTAGGGATAGCAGGATGAAGACTGCACTTCATTTGGCTGCGTCGCACAATCGTTGTCACTTGCTACAGGTACTTCTTGCTCATAAGGCGGATGTGCATGCTCGGTCGGATGGAGGCTGGACAGCTCTTCATAATGCTTGTCAGTCTGGCCCCTGGTCTATGGTCAAAGCTCTTATCGATGCTGCGTGCGATGAGGAGGAAAGGGCAAGCTTGATCAATTGCGAGCTGCTCAATGGCAGAACGCCGCTTCATGTCGCAGCAGAGTTTGGTAACCAAGAAGCTGCCGAATGCCTTCTGGAGCAACCATTGCTGAAACGTGGTGTCAAGGATCGCTTCGGAACCACACCTTTACTTATGGCTGCACAACACGGGAAGACTCATATTGCTGAGATGCTCGCTCCATGGAACCACATCATTGATCTATCCGAGGACGAAAAGGACGCCGCAAAGCAGTTTATGGCCACCATTGTCGATTTTGGTGATTTTCGAAACGAAAACCGAGTCACGCGGCGTTCAGTGTACGAGCTTCTGTATGCGAGAGACGTCAAGGATGCCACGAAGCATTTGATTTCGACTGTCCCCAAGAACGTGAAGTCGACCAAGTTCCGCTGGATCCACCTACCTGCGAACAACATTGCATGGAGTGAGACCTTACTCACGAAACGCTTTCTAGAGGAGGGTGCTACTGATATTGAAGGCTACAAAGCGCTGGAGTCATCGTTTAGCCATCAGCACCGTGGTCAAAAGCATCACAGCCGCTTCATGAGACCTATGTGTCAAGTTGTGCAGCGCACAACACCGGAAGGCGACGAATCTGGAACGCCTGCTGTTATTGTCGAAGAAGCAGACAAGTTGTCTGCTTTACCAGGGAATTCGACCAAAGGCAAGCAGAACGAGAAACATACGAAGGCTCCGGCACAGACGAGTGATGCTCAGGCGAGCGCTGGAGCGGACACTACCGCGGCCAAGAAGCATAAGTCGGGCAGACCACCAGCTCGACAAGATACCACAGAGACTAACTCGACACTGGCGACCTCAGAAGCTTCTATGGAGCCCAAGCAGATCAAACGCCAGGAGACGTCGTCTACATTGGGCTCGAGTGGTGCTAAGCGTGGTAGTAAGAACTCAGCAAATCGGTCGAAGAAAGATCCCTCACGCCAGCAGTCACGCGGCCTTAGTCTTGAGAAAAGTCCGTCTCGGAAAGGAGTAAACAGCGCGTGTAACGTCTTCATGTTCATGCCTTACCTGCATTTCGAGACAGATCGTCGTCGCCAGGAGATGCAGCGAGCTGTTGAGAATGCCGAAAGGCTCCTTGCGCGCCAAGCTGTCTCCGTGTTCGCTGATGAGGTACTTATTCGAGCACATCTTACGAAAAGCAGCTCGTTTCTCCACGTACGTCGCACTCTGGATCAATTCTTCTATCACAACATCGACACCCACAGCAGAGACTGCGATCAAGTGGTGTACAGATTCCAGAAGAAGAATAAGAAAGACGAGGATGTAGATCCCAAAATCTTCATGGTCGACCAGCTATGGATGTGGATCCTAGGCAAGGATCTAGTAGTCACCAGCTTCCCTCAACGATGGCGTCAGCCTCGAAACGATCCTCTCAATGTGCTGGAAGGCATTATCGAAGACATCAATTCGAAGACAAGAGAGCCTGTGCAAAATGTGTATGAGCTGGCCATTTCCATCGCTGGCCGCTGCTACGGAACCTTTGACCGACATCGCAAAGGTGACGATGACTTCCAATTCCTCGACATGTTCGAAGCTTCCATTGGTGCTGCCATGGATAACGAAGCGAGCCTTTTTCAAGACTTTAGCAAAGCGTCTCGACAAGCCTCCGAATGGCTTCACAGCCACAAGAAGCCCAACAAGTTCGCCCAGCACCTTGAACGAGAATCCAAAGCGTGCGAGCACGCTGCCAAAAAGCACCCAGGAAAGGGAGGAGATCTCGAACTGCACCTTGATGAGAGCGATCGGGAACCACAATTCGTCGACAAGCTGCTCGACGTAGGATCCGAGACCGACCTTCTCGCAGAAATCAAAGACATCCGCGACGAACTCGACATCATCCGGATGGTTCTCAACCACCAACAACACCTCCTCCCCGACCTTCAACGCGCAATCACCAACATCTACAAAGACGAGCGCTCCTACGCACAAGAGAAAAAAGTGCACAAAATCTTCGGCGAACAAGAAAAAATCATCGCAAACCCCCTCAAAGACATCGACCGCATGGACAAACAAGCAGAACGCATCTACGGCAGCATCCGCGACCTCCTCGATCTCAAACAAAAACACGCCAACGCCTTCGAAGCGCGCTTCGCCCGCGACCAAGCCGCCGGAACCCAACGCCAAGGCCAAACAATCATGGTCTTCACCATCGTCACCATAATCTTCCTCCCCCTATCCTTCATCTCCTCCTTCTTCGCCATCAACGTCGACGAATTCCCCCACCCCTACGGTCCGAACACGTCGCAATCCCTGCATTTATCTTATGCATCCGCCTACATTTTCGGCATAGGTTTGGCCATCAGTCTACCCTGTGTCGCTGCGGCGTTGAGTGTCGATCAAATCAATCGTTTCGCTGCTGCGATTAAGCATCGGGTTCATGCGAGATGGTTGAAGATGAAAGCCAAGTGGTATCCGGAGGCAGTGCAGCATGAACTGGAGGCTTTGAGTATTGAGAATTCGTTGAGTGTGGCGAGGAGTTTGAGGAGGAGTATGGATGTGAATGGGAACGAGAATTCTGGGAATTTGAATCTGAATGGAAATGGACATGCGAAGAAGTTTGTGAGTCCTGTGAGGAGGAGTGTGGATTCGACACGGGATGATAGGGAGAATGGGCTGGGGTACAGAGGTTATGCGTATCGCAGACCTTCGAGGGTTCAAGAATTGGACCTGGAGCGCGGAAGAAGGAATGCGAGGACGGATACACTATAGCCCTCCATCTCTTTGATTGAAGAGAAGATGTCGTATTTGGATGTGAATCGTCTTGATCAGAGTGTCTTCTTCGTTGCGCTGTCTAACCGACTGCGGCATTGCTGTATCTGTCGCGCTCAGTAGTGAGAACCCATGTCCTCGACATAATAGTACACTCAACCGGATCGCGCCATGCTCAGATCTGGCGTCCCAAACTCCTTACTCCTTCCATGGGTATGCTGTTCGTTACTCCTCCAAAATCATTATGCTCGTAATTAATCGCTTCTCAACATGCTCTCTACCAACTCGCCAAGCGGGCCGTACCATTCGCCCTTCTTGTTGCCCTTCTCATCAGCCAGACCAAACTCTTCCACGAACAAGACGTAGTGCTTGAAGCCGGTGTTGAGATGTGCTTCTAGGCCGAGACCACGGACCACACCGTAGTGGTGACAGTAGATGTGTGCGTATATCCGGTACAGTCTCTTGAAGATGGTGCGAATGGTGGACTGGAAGTTGGCGGGGAATGCGACGCCCGGGTGTGTTGGAAACACCGAGGGATTGGAGAGATGATTCGAGGTCCAGCTCAGGAGGTGAGAGATGTAGGAGGGAGCCGGAAGGCGTGTTGGCTTTGGAAACGCTGGAGGGTCGTGCCAGAGGTACTCGAATTCATCGGTAGCTTTCATCTCTGGGCATGACTGTGGTGAGCAGAATTCGGTGATGGCGCCGTAGAGTAAGTTGATCTGGTTGTAGAAGTCGACCACTGTGAAGGTCAGCTACAACTCTCGTTCCGCCTGACTTGTTCTCACATACCGTTCACAGCAAGCCACTCATCTCTGTCCTCGCCCTCTGGCAGCTGGACTACTTTGCGTAGACTACCGCTGCCCAGCGTAGCTTCGGCGAACTGCTTCAGCTGCCAGCTATTGGTGCCTTTGGCGCGCTTCGTAGGCTGAAATGCCTGGGTCTGCCGCGATCGAGCATTGCTGTTGCTGCGAGTCAGAAGATCAGCCTTGTTCAAGATGTCCTGGATGCCGAAGCCCAGTCCTCGCTGTTGCTGTCGCCCGCGATGCGTCTCATGGTGTCTGTATTCGTGCCTGACTGGGACAGGGATCTGCGACTTGGATGGTGGACTCGCGCCCTCAAACACGTTCTGGATATGTCTCTGGAGTGGCGATTGATATGTCGCCTTGGGACTTTCCGGATACGGCAGATGCGTGTAGGACTCCGAGTTGGCGAGGACGTTGCATTGCAGGGCCGGCAGTGGCTTGGGCGATTGCATGTAGGGCTGCGGTGGGGAGTGCGAGGGCTGCTTGTGGTGGTGGGGCTGGGGCTGGTGGACGAACATTGTGTTGATGAACGAGGTCATCTTGGCCGTGTCGCGCGATCTCGACTTGTCGGTCCCGCGATTGCTCAGGTAATGAGTGTAGTGCCGTCCACTACATTCCACGCGGTCAGCGGGGTGAGTGGTGTATGTTCGGGATTGTCACCACGAACCAGACTACCTCCTAGATCGCGTAATAGTGCCCTTAGCTGGAGACCGTCGACGGCGGTACTTTTTGAAAGTTGTCCTGCTAGTACTGAACGAGCGCAGATGATATTCTAGCCTCACAGCGCGAGAGGAAAGAAGTGCTATCTTTTGGGAGTCTCGAATCTGGACTTGCTCAGGGATGTGAAACGTCACTGACCATCCTCCTTGCCAAGACTCAACACAAGCGTCTCACAGGGCAACCACTTGCAGCACATTCGATACACAACAATAATAATTCAAGACATCTAACATACTGCATGATGGCCATGTGCACATGCTTGCAGACCAGACCATGCTATCCGTCATCGCGAGCAAAGGGTGGCACCTCTCCTTGTAACAAAGTGAGCTGGAGATCTACCGAAAGTCAAACGTGAAATGTGGCAGAGGTGGATATGAGACTATGATGAGACTGGTAGCCTCTATTTTCGACTTTTGTGCCGCCAGCCAAAAGGCGGCATTCGCTGACAAGTATCATTGATCTAAATATCAAAGGTACGATGGCGACCATGTCGTTGCTCTGCGCCATTTTCGGCTCTTAGGATGTAGTCGTACAGCTCCAGAACTGTGCCGTTCTCGTGATGATCTTTTTAAGAAACAAGTGCTCGCCGCCCAATGCATACATAATGAAAGGCTTCCAGTCCGAGGGTGCCGATGTTTAGAATCAGTCGTCCGATATTCATAGGTCGTTGGCCTCGCTCATATCGAGTGTCGGTGCGACAGGGTCGATTTGGTACATCCGGTGTGCGCTGCGTTGGCTCAAGATGGCAGTTTCGCAGTACTACCGCTTGATACTGCTTCGCTCCAGCGCCTCCAGGAGCTCCGGACGATCTTGTAGCAGGTCTCTGGCTGTGCGGAAGGTCATCCACTGCCGATCTCGCTTGTGTGCCTCGGGCCAGTTCTCGCGTGTGACGGTTACAATGACCTCGTAGAATTTGTACAATGCCTTTGGCGCTAGAGCGCCATACTTGGCAATTGATGCTGCGCTTCTCTTCTCCTCGATATTGCCAAGATCTTTTTGAATGCGACACTCGATACCTGCTTCCTCCCAGGCTTCGCGACAGGCGGCTTCTTGAGCGGTGGCCTCGTCGGTCTCCCAGCCGCCTTTGGGGAGCACCCAACCTTTACGGCTGGAGCTCTGGATGAGCATGACATAGGTACGGTCAGCGTTGAGTGGCACGACGCCGGCTACGAGACGCTCGCCATTGGGACCATATCTGCAAGCACGTGACTCAGTAAAAGTTCGACTTCACATGAAAGAGCAATTTTTGTGAATCGCAATTGGTCTTGAGCCGACTCACCGCTGCTTGTCCCGGCCTTGTCTGGAGGTCATTGACCTCTCTCCGGCCTGCTGTTGCGCCATTGCGGACGACAGCGAAAGGTCTAGTCCACGAAAGATGGTAAAAGTGGGACGGAGGGACGGAGCAAAGGGTATGCTATCGACGCGTGGCGAGCTTGGGGCGGTGATTTGAGGCGGTCACACGACGCTCGTATGCGGTATACCAGCAAGGCTGGTCGAAGGGAGTGGATGGGCCGCCAAGCGCACAGCGAGAGTAATCAAAGAAGGCGATGGACAGAATCCTCATACCCGCTTGCGCCGGGTCTGCGGACGGGAGATGGGCCTTGGTAGGCGTGAAGAGCCTCGCGTGGTCGTCTGCATCGTGAATGTAGGAGGGTGAAGAATGAGGGTCGGGCAGTTATTATAGTGGTTCGCAGCACGTGCCCTGCCCGTCGCAAGGCAAGGCGATTTCCGCCGTGTGCACTACTACCGTATTTGAGCGCGAGCGCCGGACGAGAACGATGGGCGTGGGCGTGGGCATTATTGTCTAGCTCGGAACTAGATGGAATGGCTAGTTCCTTGCGAAGCCTATATGCGGCGGCGGCACAGCGAACGAGCGTGCGGTGAGCCTGTCATCTTTGGTTGAGAAGAGGATGAGGGCGCACGCAAAAGGTGGACGGCCGCGCTATCCGGGGTTGCGTCAGCCCACTTCACCCCTCGCCTGCGCTCGGGGGATTAAGCTATACGCAAAATCGGGATTTGTTAGTAGGCTACACGCAAAACTCGATTAAACGTACATTATAACGCACATATAATAGGAAGCTAAGTATAAGTGCGATTATAGTTAAGAAGCAGTAGATTTCCGGCATATTAACGACTAAATTGCGACGGTATATAGTTACGTATATAGTCAAAATGGACCTATACTCGGCCTCCGCGCATACCTCGTATTAACTATATAGTTAATTACCTTATAAGTCGGCCTATATGTCTATTATATAATTGCTATCTCTTCTTGTTAGCTAAATAGCTAACTACTATATCTACTATCTACCTCTTTAAGCTTAATAGGGTTGCTCTTACTACTAGCAATTACAATAGCGCCTCTATAACGGTTAGACTTCTTCGGAGCTTCGTAGAAATAGCGCTTACTTTATATAGACTCGTAGCGGTAGCGAGGAGGTACTAAATAAGGCTAAATTACAGTATATACTATATCTTCGTTAAGTAGCGCCTCGTCTTGTTATAGCTAGTCCAATCGTATATTAGGCTCTTACGCGAATAGGCTATTCAGTCGTCGCCTTAGCTTAACGGTCTATACTAGAATATCGCCTTCTTCGTAGTTATAAGTGCGAGTCGGTAGTTCTAGTGTCCTTATCGGACTCTACGTATATACTATATCGCCGCTCTCGGTAGAGTAAGTAGAGCGCCTATAGAAGTAGATGTCCTTAGTATATAGATCGCTAGTCTTCTTTAATATAAGGTTGTTATTTAAAGCGAGAAGTCGCTTATCGAAGACTCGTCGTAGCGGCTTATCGATAGCCTACAATTTAACGTCTATCTACTTAGTCTTGCTATTGTTATTAAATACGACTCGGAATACCTTACTATACTTAAGTCGATAGGTACGTACCTTGTTATATACACTCTATGCCTCTTAGAGCATCTTCCGGCGGTCGTTATTAGCTAGGTCCTTATCTTATTATATAAGTTATAACCGCAATTTATCTGCCTCGATAGCACCTGCTCTTATAAGCCGATTAGGTTGCTCCTTCTAGCGCTTCTTTATACGCTTAACTAGACTCGTAGACTAGTATTTGCGCTTGTATTCCTCGCCTTTGCAAATAGCGGCGCTAACTAATATCTCGTAGGCTCTTTTAGCGTCCTTTATAGGCGACGAGGAAAAGGGGTTAAATGTTAATAATAGGTCGATACCTTCCGGAGCTAGTTTTAGATAATAACGTCGGAAGCTCTTGCGAGCTTGTATAGCCTTACGAGACGCTCTAATCTTCCGAGGGCTCGTTATCGTAGTAAGAAGCTAGTCTAGCAACTCGGGAGTAGGTGTCCGCCGCGGTAGTAGTAGTAACGATAGCATGCCCTAAGCAATTACGTTTTCAAGGTCCTATAAATAAGAGCGATTATTAGCGAGATGCTAGCTATTAGGATCGACAATAGTAGGCTCTGCTAAACGCTCTTGCTTAACCGACGCTAAGTGCTCCTGCTAAGCGGCCTCCGCTATTACTAGAGATTCCTCGTATTAAGCTTCTTCCTATTAGAGCTTACTCTCGATTGCTTGCTAGTTCTAGTTATAGTTAGTAGCCCTATACTAATCTCGAATATACTTGCAAGGGACCTCCCTATCTACTAGGAATATACCTGTCTTGCGAAACGCCGCCCTTATATTATACCTTATAAAAGTCTTTACCCGGATAGCTAAGAGCGCCTATATAAACTTAGATATACTAAATTCACTAACACTACGATATATAGCTTCTAAGACCGCTTGCCTATGCCTCAACTTGTATACCTAGAATAGTATAACGTTAAGAGGTTGTATAAAGTGCGAAGTGTATAGTTATAGGCTCTATAATTGAATCTTATAGCGCTTTATAAAGGCAGCGAATTCTTTAAAGCAGTAGGAGCCGTAATTGTCGCATAATAGCACCCTCTACTTATTCGGATTATTAGGTCTCGTCTTCCGTTTAAACTAGCGGATATAGTATATAGCAGTATCGTCTGTTATATAGCTAGAGTCGTTAATAGTAATTAGGAAGTTATCTTTGCCTATTATTGTTAGTAGGTAACGTTGTTCTTGCCTAAGGTAATAGCAATAGACTAACCTTCTTTAGGGACCTAACGCTTTTGAACTATTACTACTTTAATAATTAACTAATAGTCTATTGCCTTACTATAGGTATTAACGCTCTCGACGATAGTAATATATATCCGGTTGCTATTATACTCGGTCTACGCGCGCCGCTTCGTATCTATTATAACGACGTACTCGTTGCTACTAATACCGACTCGAAATCCGGTCTCGTCGAAATTCTATATATTCCGCGGCTTTACATTTAGTCGCTTTAGCATTGCCTTAAACCTATTAAACTAGCTCCTTATAGTAGAAGGGTCGTACGCCTCCTTACGCTGCACTTTAATAGATTTAGACTTAACCTTGCTAAGTCTATAGCGACTAAGAAAGCGGTCCGCCTAATCTACGCTAAATAGTACGATTGTATCCTTCGGCACCCCTTCTAGTAGTATACTAACTATTATTTCTATCGCTATAATAGCGACTAACGCTACTAGTAAGAATATACCTATCTCGTCCCTTTTTCGACAATAATCCGCTAGCGCTAGTTCCTAAGATCTATCTAGCTTAGTATTTATTACGTTACGCGATATTAGCGATCTACGACCTCTTAACCGCTAGTAAATACGATAATATAGGTCCGCTGCCTTCTTACTCTTATAAAGCGCTCGAAGGCTAACTTTTAACAATTTGGCCTCTAATTCGCGGTACTTCGAAACCACTCGATTTACTACCCTCTCCGCCCTCTCTGTCTCTATTAATCGCTCGGCGCGCACCCTCTTAACAACCTTTCCGACCTTCTTACGCCCTATACCGATAAACAGATACTATATATATACTAGAAGAAAGAGAATACGAAGAATACGCGTTTAGAATAAGGTGGACGCGCCTGCTAAGGAGGCTAAGGAGATTATATAAGAAATAGCGGTAGCGAGGTCTATAGTTACTATATACTTAGATAACCTCGCTAATATAATATTTAGACTAGCGGTTCGATACTTCATATACCTAGATATCTATATAGGACTAGAAGGTGCGACTATATCGAGTTTTACGTATAGCCTACTAACAAATCGCGATTTTGCGTATAGCTCAAACCCCCGCGACCGCGGGGTGAAGTGTGACTGACGAAACCCCGGATATCACCAGCCCAGCAGATCGCCCGGCGAGCTCTCGTGCGTTTTGCTACAGTATTCTAGACCTCACTGCATGTACAACGGCACCGCTGACCCATGCCACCTGGGCCACCCTGAGCGCGACCCTGAGCGCGACCCTGAGCTCACCGCGCTTGCGCGCCACGCTGCCGACATAAAATAATCCCACTCTCCCGCTCGACATCTGCGCCGGCGGCAGCTCCATCCAACCTAGCGCCTGCAACTCCTGTGTGTCCTGCAGAGGGCAGCATGAGCTCCCCAGGCCCAGCGCGGTCTCTTTTGACACCAATAGGTAAGCTGTTCTCGGCCTCGTGTTCGCGCGCACGCCTTGGATATGTCAGTCTGCGCACTGCACATCCCAGAGCTCTCCAGCTGAGCTCCAATGCTACCGCTGTGCACCATACCACCAACACTGTCCACGTCACAGTCGACTTCCACAGTATCGAGGCTAAGGATCGTGTTGGCTAGGATACCAGAGTGGTGATTGCGGATACTGCAAAGCAGAGCATTCAAGTCAGCGAACTCCCGACTCTCGTGCGTTTCCGATCGCCCTTGACGCAGACCGCCCCTTCCCACGTCTCTCTTTCGTAATACATCTCATCATACACCTGCATTCTGTCGGATCTTTTGCAAGTCATGGCTCAAGGAACGACGAATCGTCGGGCTAGCACCCTTCTGACCTGCAGCTCGCAGGCGCATCGTACTATGCCCGAACGAAGAGACTGAGTCCTGAGCACTACCAGCAGCTGATGGACCGAGGATGGAGACGATCTGGCAGCCTCCTCTACATTCCGGACGCATCGCGCTCCTGCTGTCCGCACTACACGATCAGGTATGACCAGTATTGTGATACTGCATCTGCCTTGCCCTACTGACTGACTAGATTGCTGGCGTCAGAATTTAAGCCTTCTCGTGACCAGCGGCAGGCATTAAATCGATGGAATCGCTATGTGACTGGCGAAAAGTACCTCGAGGAATCAAGCAAGAATTTCCCGAAGACCAAAGAGTATGTATCCCAAGAAGTCTAGGAAACGCGTGGACTGAATGATACCAGGGAGAAGAAGCGGCAGAATGAGGGATTTGATCTTATCTCATCAGTCCATGAAGCCGAGTCGCCCAACCTCAAACCGGGCATTGATCCAGATCATCAATTAGAGGTATCGCTCGAGCCTGACAAGTTCACGGAAGAAAAGTTCGAACTGTTTGACAACTATCAACGGCACGTGCATCACGACGGTGACGACGACATCAGCCGTTCTGGCTTCAAGCGCTTTCTTTGTGACTCGCCCATTGTCCGGCGCGTAGATGCCGATGGCAAGAGACTGGGCAGCTATCACCAGTGCTATAGACTAAATGGTCGGCTGGTAGCAATGGCTGTGCTTGATCTCTTGCCTCATGCCGTAAGTGGCGTGTACTTCCTCTATCACAGCGACTTCGCAAAATGGTCGTTCGGAAAACTTTCTGCGCTGAGAGAAGCAGCTCTTGCGCTTGAAGACGGCTACAATTACTACTACATGGGCTACTACATTCACTGCTGTAGGAAGATGCGGTACAAAGGAGATTACAAGCCACAGCACGTACTCGATCTCAACAACATGCAATGGCAGCCATTAAACGACGAGCTTCGGCATCTGATGGAGACAAGAAAGTGGGCTAGCGTGTCCAAGGAGCGGGAAAGACAATCACTGTTGCGAGCTGCAGATTCTGGCAACTCGGATGCAGATGTTCAGGAACAGATGCCGAATCGAGCATTAGCTGAAGCCATGGACGACGTGCTTTACCCGACACCACTAGAAGCGATGCACTCTGGTCTCTCGCTCCTTCAATTAGGTATGCCAGGTGTGATGACCTTGGAAACTTTACAGCAGGCCGTAGATCTTGATAATATGAAGATCTTTCTCAAGAATGCCGGAGTTCACCCAACACAGGTACGTCGTCTTCTAGCTGAGCATCCTGCTGCCAGCCGCATGAATGTTCTCGCTGACTATCGGCTCACAGAACATCGTCTCCTGGGACACGGGATCACCGCTGGACAAGACCACGCTCAAAGGCCTGTTCGCAGAATTTGCCGCTGCTGTGGGGCCAGTCATCGCCCGGGATGCTATTGTCGACTTCAGCTGACGAAGGATGATGCTGAGCGTGGGTGTCCAAAGCCTGGTTGCGGCGTTCGTTGGTTGCCGACTCGCCACACGGAACTTCGTCATGCATCTGCAGGGCTTATGGAAATAGTTACCTGTCGCGCGCCTGCTGGGCGTCCGATGCTACCCACAATCAGCCATATTCCGGAGAGGCCGTTGACATTATCCCGCCCACGCTGCAGGGAGACAGCGGCCTCACACGGCTAGCCTGAGCGTCTTGGTCATTCTATTCAATATCGACTCACAGAATGAAGAATGTTACGGGATCCAGGTGGTCGCCGTCTTTCATGGTTCACCTCCGCGGACGCGTGCGCGGGAAGTCGCGATGCCAAGACTCAGCAGGAAGTGCAACCGCACCACCTACCCAACCAATCCTCTTCTGTCAAGACAGCAGGCATCTCTCGCCTGTCAATCTCCTTATTTCCTGTCATGATGTCCAGCGCATGAGACCATATACGTACTCTGAAAACCTTATGGCATTAAAAGGACACACGCTTCATGAGAACGAAGGGCACGCGCAAGTGAGCAAAAGGGACAAATCAATCTCTCCAAGGCCGACCGAGACATCACTGGCTTAATTGCAGCACCAAATTACTCTCTGGTAGAGACCCAAGGTGCAGAACACGAAAGCATCGCACCAGCTCCCAGCTGAGACATACCCGTGGACGCCGTCATGCTGTAGTACACGCACGTTCGAAATGCTGGTGGAAATTGCTATGCATCATTATGAACTCTCCCAACAATCCCGCCTATTATGCCCGGCAATTAACTCCGATCGCTATGTTCAACAAATATATTCACGCTACCGATGCTGCCATTGCGATCGAACAGGGTCGTAGTAGCGGCCGACAGTCTCCCTTTCTGAGCTGGCCTCTGATTGCTCCCCTGGGCTGTTCTCAGTGTCCGTTGGTGTCGCACTGCCTTCCCCCGATGGCACGCCTCTCGATGCTGCGCCCTGGGGCGCTTTCCGATTTCTGTTGTTTCTCGTATCTCTGTATCGAAAAGCATGCCACAAAAGCCATCTTACAATCCAGTTTTCTTCTTCCAGACCATCTGTGTCTCGGCCTAGATCATACACTGCCTTCGTGTTTGGACTGGCCTGCCGATAAATGTTCAGGATCTCACTGTGCATAGCTGTTTCCTTTATCGATCCACTAATCCTTGTCAGTATGGACGCAGCGTGCTTGTGGCAAAAGCCAGACGCACGAATCACTTGCATCTTGCTCAATCAAACGCTTCCTTCCCTCGACCGCTTCCCTCTAAGGTCCCGTCAAAAGGTATCTCAACCAGTTCAGAGTGGAGACGCACCTTCATAGCAGCATACAGATCCCTATGCTCGGCGTCATCTTCGCTGAAATTAAGCCGTTGGAAGAATCTAGCTTTGCTTTCCGATTGTGCTAATGGGCAAAGCGTGGGAGGAGCCATTATGATGATTGCAGCATGACTCGGTGATTACGTTCATGAGATATGAGACATATAGATATATCCTGCTCAGCACTGGCACTGATGCAACTTGCAGCGTGGAAATACCACTTGACAACAACCAGGCCGGTCGTCATTGCCGTCATGGCTCCTGTATGAGACCCGGCTTCCCTTGCATTTGGGCTTGATGAATGGCCTTCGAAGCTGACACCGAGATCGCAATTCATCAAAAAGCACCGGAGAGCGGCCATCATGGGCGATCAATGCTCAATCGACGATGCACTCCGAGCGGATGTTTCTCTGAAGCTCAACCCTATCCTGGGAACCGAACCTTGCACACACCATGCGGCTTAGCTCTGGCGCCAACAGGCAATGGGCAGGTCTCCACACTGTCCACAGAACACGAGCTCTTGCAGGCCATGACGAAGGACGAGGTCGCCGTCTCTGCAAGCACTTCAAATGAGGAGTGAAGAGGAACATAAAGAGTCTAGATCGCGTCACCAACCTTGCGACTTTCGCCCACGTTTCACAACAGCTGCACGCGTGCAGAGGTGGAGGAGGAATCGATCAACTCAATCACACGACCCAGATCCAGATCCAGATCCAGAGCAGCCTCCGCGATGTGCGCCGTCATCAGCGCCGTCAGACATGTGGAGAGAAGAGAAGAGCCGAAAGGCGTGTCCACACGCGTTGCGCCAGTGGTTGTGAGAGTGTGGGCGGGCACAGCTCCTGTCTCTAACTTCACGACTCTAAGCGACATAAGGGACCTTCAGAAGCCACCAATTTCGCGCAGTCGGGGAACAAGGTGGATGCGAAGGTTAGTACCGCATCCTTCGACCGCCGGTTTGAACAGGGGTGAATTATCAACTCGTAGACCTTGGACCGTGCTTTTGAACGCGCGCGTTCAAAAGCATATAAGACACTATATTTACGACTCGTAGGGGTAGTAATCCTGCCTTAGCTAGGAGAAGTTAGGTGTTAGAAGAATATAGAAGGTAGCTTAAACCCTATCCGGCTTAGCTTATTAAAGGCAAATTAGCTCCTACGATAGCGAGGTAGAAAGTAGCTATTAGATCTTCGAGATAGTAGTGCGAGAGGGCACTAACTTATATATATAAAGGTCTAGGTGTGTAGCCGTTATTGTAATTAGCAATAGGGGCTACTAGGGGGCCGCTAAAGGGCTACTAGATAGAACCTAAATTCGAGGATTAATTGCAGAATTTATAGTATGTCGTCTATAGGATAAGAGCTACCTATAGAAGCAGGAGAGGTCTTTAATTGTTAGTATAACTACCCTTGTTCTCGATTATAGCTACTATAGACCCTCCCTCTTATCCCTCTTATATTATCGACCTAGGCTCCGGCTCTTCTATACTAGCCTTTGCTACTCTAGTCTATCTACTACTATAGGCACCGCCTATACCTATTCGAGCGGCTCTTTAAAGTAACCCTCTTTATATAGATGTCTCTTTAATATAGCTATATTTAGTTAGAAGTCTATTATCTCTAATCTAGTCGGTTGTTAAGCGGCTACTATATAGTCGCTCTATATCTATAGCAAGCTTATTAACTAATTCAAGCTATAATAGCGATAGCGAGAGCAGTATAGCTACTAACTAGATACCAAATTTAACTCTACCGAGGCCGGTTATTTAAAGAGATATAGACACCTCTTTAACGGCTTACCTCGAGCGGCAGCGGCAATAATAGGAACAACAATAGGCTATAGTCTAATAGCCTATACTAGATTTAAGCGACTCTTAGCCTTCTACTGCTACTAAAGACTCTTAGTACAACTTTAACCTACTAGAAGGCGTAGAAGACGACTATAATCGAGTTAATAGCGATAGCCGTATATCGGACGATTTTACCTTACTAATTATTAAGCACTTCGAGGCTAATGCTAGCTATTATATAGAAGGTCGGATCCGAGATATAGTTAAGCGCTGTTAGAAGTAGTATAACGACTATAAGCCTACTAGACAGCGTACTATTAAGGGTATAGATACACTTATTCGTAGGTAGATTGCAAAGCGAGTTATCGAGTGTAGAGCGCTATTAACGGCCTCCGGTATAGTTGCTAAGGACTCCGAGTTCAAACAGATACTTAATCGCTTTAAGGACACTATATTGCTAAATAATAAGAAGCTCCGCGAGAAGCTTCTTACGCCTAATAAACTACGTAGTTATAAGACACTAGCTTAGCAAGTCTAAGACAATATGCTCCGTATTATATCGTAGCGAGTCTAAGAACTAGTAGCGTTTATAAGTCTATCGATACCGAGTCTAGTTATAGCTCTATTAACGCTAGCACCAAATCCGGCTCTTTCTAATCCCCCTTCGACGCTATATATAACGCGCCGCCGCTTAGATATCGATAGTAAGAAGCAGCTAAATAAGGAGCAGTTATTAAGTCGAGTATTAGAGCCATTTCGAGAAGCTATTACTACGTTAGCAAATCAACTAAGAGCTAACTATTATTCCGAGGCAACAAATAACTACTATCTAATCCGCCGAATAGACGATATCGACAGCCGCTCTAAGAAGCGTATAAAGCTAATGTACGCGTCTACGGTACGTTAATTTAATAAGCTAAGAGCCCTTCTTATTAGACGTGTTAGACACGTTCCTCTTATTCCTTCGCAGTTATCGTAGGTTACCGACTTTAGCCTTAACGAGAACCTCGTTACTAACGTTATAACGCCGATAGGACATAGTAACGACGGCTACGATAGCGATGGAACTGTCTCGTAGTTGTTAGAAGCGTTAGATATTGGAAATTAATAGCCGCTAGTATATAGATATTCGCGTAATCGAGGTATTAGACTTAAGCGAAGAGGACTAAATCGGGTATATCGTATATAGTATTCCGAGTGCTCGTTAGTTCCGGAATTAGTAAGAAACTTAGTAAGAGGCGAATTCTCTAGTATAGTTGTTACTACCTTCGATACTATTAGTTATAATACTATAGTTCTATTAGTTACTAATAGTGAATTTCGAAGACTTCTAGAAATTTCTATATCCCTTACTATTCTCTGCCTTTGTATCTTGCTAAGATACTAAGAAGCAAGGTATATAGCTCTCGCTATAGTAAAACAGCTATCCGAAGCTCTTCCGTATCTAATCCGAGTATTAATAAGAGGATAGGGAAGAGTTAGATATTATCTCCTTACTAATCTATCGCTATTCTTTACTATTCTTTATTACTATTATTAATAACTACTTCCCCTATGTCTTCTATATTACTTCCAACCTCTAATCTATTACTAGAAGGGTTTGCACGCATTAGATCCGGCATTTCTATACCTACTAGCGGCATAGGTAGCAGCTTAGCACCTAAGTAATCTCTAATGTCCGGACACCTTAAACCGTAGTGCGTAGCGACCTTGTTTCTACGATAGCAAGACAGGCAATTAGTGAGTAATACTGCTACTAAATAGTAGGACCCTATCGGTATTAAACTAGTCCGCAGCCCCTTCTTATACTCGAAGAATAGCTAGTTGTTAGTTACCTTACTAAACCCCTATTCGACCGACTGTCGTAGAGCCGACTATTCCTTCGCAACCTGCGCCTATATAGGGTTACGATAGCCGCCTCTCTTCGACTTCTACGATTTAATAATGCTATTAACCTGTCTATATACCGAGTTACTAAAGAGAAAGAGCTTGTCTTCGATAGGGTCGTTATTAAACAACTTATGCTATACCTAGTTAATATTAGACTCGCGGACTAGTCGACTATCGCCGTAAGAGCTAGAATAAGGGCTATTAATAAGCAGTATTCTATCTAGCAGCTATATACCTTAGAATTTAAGGCTATAGAAGTGCTTATAGCTATTATAGAATACCCTCTAGTTGCGACTAGGTCTCGCAATCTTCCTTATAGTACTATCTATATATCCGAAGACACTAGACACTCTAACTAATAGATACAGCGACTCCGCTAGGCTCCGGAGATATTGCTTACTAAGCCGCCTCTTATTAAAGAATAAGAACGACTTCTACCTTAGCGCTAGGCTATATACTACCGTATTAAATATATAACTTAATATAGTAGCTAAATAGCTAAACTTCTTATCTATATCCTTCTAGAAGCCTAGACTAGATAGCCGCTTATAGACAATACAAAGCACCGTTATAGGTAGCAATTTAAGGCTAACTAGTAACACGATTGAACTAATATCTAATAGGTCTACTAACTCTATTAATTTAGGCCTTATAAAGCGGAAGTTACCCTTAATATTAGCCTCCGGATAACTAAGAAGGTCGAAGCGCTGTTTATTATATATTCTTGCTAGTTTAAATAGTCGGTTACGCCTTAACTAGCGGTGCTACTATTTACGTATAGATTTACCCTTCCTCTACGCCTACTAGTTCTTATTACTACTGTCTTCCTCGAGGTATTTACTCGTAATAGTAACGACCGTTGCAGTAGCTGTAGTAACTATAATCGCTCTAGTTTCTATAGTTTAGTATACTACACTGTCTATAGGTCTATAGCTGAGGTTTATACCCCTAGAAGGTCTAGAACAGGGGCTCCTTACTACACTAAACCGCTTTCAATCACATGCCAATTAGCCTCTTCTAAAGGTCCGTAAAAAGCGCCACATTAATCCTTCACCTAACGGTCACGAGCTAGCGCTTATTTGGAAGCCGGTGGCCAGGTTGACCATTTCTGAAGGTCCCTATAGAGCCAAACGTCGCTTCACGATGCAAAGTCCGCCGGTATTTTTCGTGGCGGTTTCCGGAATGGTAGATGCTGCGTCCCCGGCGACCACCTATGACGCATTTGCTGTGCTCTGAAAGCACCTGCAGCAAGCACAACGGTGCCTTGAGATCTGCATAATGAGGCATTTCCTCTCCTGGCTTTGCCGCTGGATGAGGCTGTCGCATCATTGAGAAGGCATCCATCGATGATGGAGGGAGCAGACAACATGGATGCGCTGGCTAAGTCAGGATCACTACAGTGCAAGCCCAAGGCCCACACACACGGCGATGCATCGCCCTGACGTCTTCCATCCATTGCCAGGACTCCCACCACCCGGATTGATCGTCTGCGAATCGCAGCGACATGGACGGATCGCGCTCCGAGAATATGCCAATCGACGCGACCAGCCACAACGAAAGAGCATCTGGACCATCTCTTGCTAAACGTTTAATCAGGCCATATAATACTTGTCGCAAGTGACTGTTTCTGTCTTGCGAGGACTTACTCCTTCAATGGCGCCATTACTTTGAGAAAACCCAAGCCTGTTTCCTATTCTTATTCTATACTGCTGCCAACAGTATTCACCATAGCTTCAGGCTGACGTGACAAGCGTGTCTCAGACAGCAACGAGATGAAATGGTCCGCATCATACATGGTGCAGATTAGTAAGGACTTCGATTCAATTTCCATCTCGAGAGGTTTAAAAAGCATTCATCACAACACTTGCATTGCTGATTGCTCTGTGACTCTGTCGGAAGGTCATCGGCAGTTGCTCCCCAGCTCAACTGCCGTGGCTGAGCCTCACGTGACCGTTTGGACCTTCGGCACTTGGAAAGATGCAGATCCCATCGCGAAGTGCTATTCTAGATGTCGTCACGCACGAAGATCGCATGTCAATGCGGTTGGATTGGCGACCGGAATCTACGGCAGCAGTGTTGGCCCTAGAAATAATTCGCATAACTTAGCCAGCGTGTCCATCTGCCGTTCAGCGAAGGCATGATGCCGTCTGTCGCGAACGTGGCTGCTCACGCTGCAGAGCGGCAATTGGTGCGCACTATGTCTTTGACGCTGCTATATAGGTAAGTGCCCATTGCGTCTCCCTCTAGGAAACTGGCTCCCCTTTTCCCAGCAGCAGATCCCCTACACGTTATCATGCTCGCAGGTGAACTGTTGAAGGCTCTCATTAACTACTGGCATATCGTACTGGTGGCCCTTCTTGCCGCCCATCTTGCCAGCAACAAGTACTACAAAGGACTCAATAAGTACCCGGGCCCTCGATTAGCAGCTTTCACCAACTGGTGGCGATACTTCGATGTACTGTCCAGGAAGGCGGAACGGACCCATCTCGATCTGCATCGAAAACACGGTGACATAGTGCGACTTGGCCCGAATGTTCTGTCCTTTGCGGATCCACGAGCGATCAAGATCATCTATGGACTGAATAAAGGCTTCACAAAAAGTGACTTCTGTAAGCTCGACCTCATCCTCAGCAATCCGCGTTCGTCGCCATACTGACCCCTACATGCAGACATTGTACAACAAGCAGTTGCCAAAGGCGAACGATTGCAATCACTTTTCAGCACGAAAGACGAAGACTACCATGCGAAATATCGGAGATGTGTCAGCAACGCTTTCTCCATGTCTTCCCTCGTTGGTTACGAACCTTTGGTCGACAGCGCTCTGAACGCTTTCATCGAGCAGACACGCCGGCGTTACTGTGACACGGGACGAAGCTGCAAATTCTCAAGGTGGCTTCAATTCTTCGCTTTCGACGTCATCGGAGAGCTCACCTGGAGCAAGCAACTGGGATTCGTGCAGCGTGACGAAGACGTCGAAGGCATTGTGAAATTTGTGGCAGACTTCCTCAAATATGCTGCGCCGGTCGGACAGATGCCCTTTTTGGACCTCATATGGGAGAAGAATCCGCTGAGGCTGAAGCTGCAGCAGCTGGGATTCATCAAGACCGAATTTCCAGTATCCCGCTTCGCACTCGCTCAGAATGCAACTCGAGCCGCAGAGATCGAGAAGATCAAACAAGGAGCAGCTCTCGATGATCGCTCAGGCAAAGGCATCGATTTCTTGATGAGGTTCACCCAAGCCCAACACGACCATCCCGAGTTCATGACAGACAAGCAAGTCCTCGCATCTTGCAACAGCATGATCTTCGCCGGCTCCGAAACAACATCCATCAGTCTCAGCAGTGTCTTCTACCACCTCATCAAACACCCTCGCGTCTACCAGAAGCTCATGTCGGAACTGGACGACGCCGCCGTCAACGGCACCATCACAGAGAAAAACTACGGCAAAGTCTCCTGGTCCGAAGCCCAAAAACTCCCCTATCTCGACGCCGTCATCCAAGAATCTTTCCGCATGCATCCCGCCCCAGGCCTCATCCTCGAACGCGTCGTCCCACCCCAAGGCATGGACATTCTCGGAGAGCGAATCCCCGGTGGTACCATTGTCGGCTGCAACGCGTGGGTGCTCCATCGGCGACCCGAAATTTTTGGACCCGACGTCGATGTCTTCAGGCCGGAACGCTGGTTGGAGGCCAGGCCGGAGCAATTGAGGGAAATGAAGGCCACCATGTTCCAATTCGGCGCGGGCGCGAGGACTTGTATTGGGAAAAATATCAGTTTGTTGGAGATTTATAAGCTGGTTCCGACGTTTTTGAGGAATTTCGAGGTCGAGATGGCGGGAGAGGAGGATGCGGAGTGGAAGACTTGTAATGCTTGGTTCATTACGCAGGACTTTGATACGAAGTTCCGACCGAGGAGGATTGCGCAGAGTGCGTAGGGGAGGGGGGGTGGGGGGGTTGGCGCTATGTACATTCGAAGTGTTTATATACAGATAGATGGAGAAGATATTTCATAACAGGCTGTGCCTGGAAGAACTGGATGAAGCGTATCCACGAACCCTCCTCTACAACGCACGCGTCAAGTATGTTCCGGAGGCGTCAGCAGCTGTTTCGCACGACGTCGATATCGACATTTCGCGCTATCACACAAGCACTCCTTGTCGAGATTTTTCCAATATGTGTCGGAATAATCCACCGTGATCTCCTCGCCGGCTTCGATGCCTTTGCTCACCAGCACGATCCTCTGCGTACCCAGCCAAATGAACCTCTCGAACTGGCTGTTGGGCTGGCAAGAATGGTTGACAAAGCGGGTGTAGTTGCCTTGCTTTCCTTGCCAAATCTGGTATGCTGCTCGATCGGTCTGCCCGACCATGACGTCGAGGTTGGCAACGCCGCTTGTGATTTGACCGACGAACTCGCCTATCGCCGTCCCTCTTTCGAAGGAACAGCAGGCGAGAAGTCCATTGTTCTTGCCGGTGGGTGTTCGATACACTTGTACTGGCATGAAGCCGGCTTTTGCGCTTCCGTAGAGATTGGAGAAGCAAGCGCATACATTATGTCTGGGATCGTCTGACTGGCGTTCCGAACAGATTGTGCATTGATACGCCGCTGGATCGTTCAAAGGGGTGACTGTTCTTGGATCGAAGAGACCCCATGCTTCCTCATCAATGGCCGATTCGTCCAGGTGAGTATAGCTGAAGTTTCGATCCCATTGATGGTACGTCGTTGCCAAGGGTAATGCTTCGTCTCCAGGGCCGCACACAACCCAATCGTGAGGATGGCCGGTGTATCTGCGCTCGGTCGGGGCGCCGACTATGGCCAGCAGACTCCTCCATCGCGGGTGTAAGCAATCAGCAGCGACCTCGAATCTATGTCGCAGCGCCCTCAATTGCTGAAAGGTATCTTCTGTGAACGAGACTCGGTATTTGCAGAATCGATACAAACCCATCCCGGCGAAGACAAGTGCAGCCCAGCCGCCAGCGCTTCTGATGTCATGATAGCCTCTCCAGATGGCCATTTTGTTCCTCAGCTCCTTTTCGGTCCAGCTGAAGTCTACACATGCTTCGGAAATTGCCGTCTTCTTGGCTTTTTCCTTGGTCATGCTCAGGCCTAGCTCTGCTGCGCGTTCATCGAAGGCTTGCACCCAGTGTGCCTGTACAATGACTTCTAGTGAGCGACAGGTGCGGCTCGTCTGACTGATTTTTCGAGCCAACACGTTCATGCGCCCAAATTTGCTCTGTGCGACCGAGTCATGACGACTGGTCAGCTCCGTATTGCTCGCGTGTTCCATGAGGAGCTTCGGCTGGCCACTCGACTCTATCGCTTGCCATTGCTCAATGACTTCGGCCGGATCCAACCTGACACCTGAGAATATGCTCTCCCAGACGCCTCCAACAAATTTATCCAGACTTGAAGGCTGGAGATTCGGGTTGTCAGGAAGACGTTTCTTTCGCTGAGGGAACACTCGCACGTTCTCGCTTTCAAGTCTTCTTGACACGGCAGTAGAAGGATCATGAACATGTTCTCCCGCGGATCCTGGGCGTCCAATGCGGAGACCTCCAGTCGCGCGTCGCTTGGCTGGTCTCTCGTCGTCGTCAGAGAACGCTGGAGAGGTCGAAGGAGGAAGCCTCGGCCTGAAATGTCGTGCGGGTGAAGCAGGCGCACTCTGCCCGGTCCGAGCGTGCACGGAGAGAGGCGGGAGCTGGACGGGATCACTTGTGTCGTCGTGCAGATGCGGCGATGGAATGCTCAGCGGCGTTGCAACATCCGAGATATCGAGGGAGGCGATCTTCAGTGGCCTATTGGCGCATCCAGGCTGACCGCTCAAGAGGCTGCATTCCAGTTGCAGCGGTCCAGCGCCAAACTCGTGATCGGCCAACAGTTGTCGGAGAACAGCAGGTAATTCCTCGCTGATACGAGAAGACAGGTCCCGGGCCAAGTCATGGACATCCGGTGTTGTGGTCACGTTGCCAGCCATTCTGATCACGTACGAAGGCCGAAAGGCGAGTGAAGAGGCATTGTCTGGTCGTTGCGTTGGAAAGGCCCGGCGCTGCTGTGATGGCTGGGCGCGCGCGTTCCTCCGTGAGGAGAGATGGAGGTGCACTGCTCGAGGTGGTCGAGCTTACGCCATAGAACAAACCTAGAACTAATAGTCTAGTTCTAGGCCTTGGCGCTGCCGAGGAAACGCCGGTTCCCGTGCGGAACACCTGGCAGCATCACTGTTGCCAACTCCGATTACAACAACAACAACAACTCCTTCTCACGCACGGCATGGCATGGCATGGCGTGTTCCAGATCAACCACATTATCATATGCGAAAGGCCCATCAGCGCAACTCCCGGTCTTCGACGCGCAGTCTATGACTTATTGTGCTCCTATCTGCCAAAAAAAGAAAAATACAAGTCTAGGGCCTGGTTTGGAGCCAATTCACACCCGCGCTGTGTCAACTGTGACGCTCCAGGCCAGTCGACGATACCGCAATCGCAGCCTCAGTCGAGACGATCGAGCGCTGACTCTCCCTCAAGCAATAGTAGCATTGACTTTCAGCCCATTTGGTCCCATTGCACACTGGATACACGCCACCTGGGCGTCTGTATAGAAGAGCTTCGTCACACCAGCGCTCCAATGTTCTGCTGCGGGCACACGTAGAATGGAGTGGAAGGCCAAGTTTTACCGACATTTTGACATGTGCCTAGACCGGGACGTAGCGCACGCATGAGCGTGCTCGAGCACACCGGCCGAGAAGAATGTTCATTTGAGCGCCCTGCATCGTGCCGTAACGCCGACGACACCCGCCCACAGATAAAACCACCCCGAAGATGCTAGGCCCACCGAGCTGCTGCCGAAAAAGTTGTTCTACTGTTTGGATTAAGACTCCCTGTAGAGTCCAGACTCCAGAACAGTCGTTGATTTCCGCATGCAAGCGTACGACAAGACCGCGTCTTAGCACGATTCATGAGCCATAAATGCTGTGTTCGCTGGCCGACGCAATTTGACGAAATAGGATCCGACTCTGACCATTGACGGGCACTGCAATTACACCCTCTCGTCCACCTGCTCTACCAATGACAGCTGTTCGACCATCCCTTGCTTCCAAATCGGGCCTTGCCGCAGGCTCGGACCGCCACTGAATATGCTCTAGGCCACCAAGTTGGGAACGCTGCTGGTCGTACTCAGACTAATAATACCAAGCCTCGAAGCGCGTGCCTGAAAGCTGCGAATGCTCTCAGAGCCGAATGCCTTATCGAATGACTCTCGCTCGATCTAGCCTGCTGCAGCGGCACAGTCGTGTACAAGGAATCCAAGACGTGCGTGTGGTCGCATTTTCAGCTTGCGCAACATGGCGAGATTGTTTTATTGCCAGTGCTTTGCCGTAATATTCAGCTCCAATCTGACCAGTCATTTCCTGCCCTACCAAACATTTTCAACTCGTCTGCATCAGTCAGAACAAGTTCCGATGAGCTATACCTCCCCAAGTTTCGAACCGTTCGAGGATTGGCAGGCTTGGACCTCGTCCCAGGGAATCTGCACGAACAACGAATATCCGCGAATGAGCTTGGACTCCAGCATGTCAGGGCATGTCTCCGAGACCTTTGGCGACTTTGCTCGGCCCATGAACATCGCAATTCCGCAAGAATACAACATGAACGTATTGGAATACCATCGAGATTCGATGTGCTATAGTAGCGACATTTATGGTGGACCTTCTCCGCCGGCTTCGCGGCACTCCACCAGCTCTTCTGGATGTTCGTCCTCGGATCATTATGGCTACGATGTCCATTACTCATATCCTGCTCAGAATGCCCCGACTTTCGACGCGAGATTCACTTCGCGGTCGCCTCAAGACACCACCTCAGTGAGCAATCCGGGACACGCTGCCTGGCCCGGATTCGTAGAGGCTCCCACGGATCAGAGTGAGATCTCAAATCCGTACCCGTCTCGAATACCAAACATTTCGTCGTCCAATGCATCGTTCTCAAGCTCTGCCCCAGCAACCATCAGTAGCTTGGACTTCAGCAGCCTCCGATCAGATCCACCAATGAGCACATCTCAAGAACAGCAGCAGCCGAGAAGGCAAAGTCCGAGATTCTCTGGCGACCAGTACACAGCAACTTGGGTGCGTGGTGAAGGTTCCGATCGTGCTGGTTGGTGTGGCGTGTGCTCGTCCTGGTGAGTTCTCGGCGCCTCAAGCAGTCGTATATCCTTCTAATACCTTGCAGGCACAAGCTGAAGGACTCTGCTTACTGGTATCACATGCATTACTCGCATGGTATCAGGTAAACCAGGATCACCCAAGGCATCATAATGTATAAGATCTTGCTGACCTTGCATTGACAGTTGTGCCACCGGCAAACCTTTCAACGACCCGGACGACTGGCGGCGCGCTCATGGCGCTATCGGCTACGAAGCACTTTGCGGCGGATGCTCTCAGTGGGTATACGTCGGTCGTAGCGAGCGCTGGCATACGCCATACTACCGGCATGCCTACAAATGTTTGATGAGAAACAAGCCTCTCATCGATCGATCCCGCTCCATTGGCAAAAGCACCTCGCCACGAAAGCCGCAGATCAAGCACCTCAAATCGCTTTGATTGAGCGGATCGATGCGCCCGTCCGCCATTGCACCTCACATTCTCCAAGCATATTCAGCTCCTCCTGAGCCCTTCTGTAAGCGTTCATCATTGCGATCGGCGGCTGTCTCAATACTGTTGATGTTATCTGATTTATTGACGACGATTGACGAAGAATTCTAGTTAGCGAAAGCAGATAATCGAACAACAAATTTTAAGCATTTTCTTTACGCACTTTCCTCGCTTCACCTGGCCTCTCCTCGTCTCACCTGCTTCCCTTCTCGCAATACTTACCCAAGGATTTCGCGGCTCGTGGTTGGAACAAGGATTGTGAGGCACACATTTGCGGATGAATTCAACCGGGCCCATGGGGAAATCGTCGGCTTCTCCAGATTCGCTCTCCCGCAGAGCTTGACAAGACCGATTGTGGATTCTCGCGTTACCACGATGTGGCGAGTCGATCTGGTTTGGCGTATGACTTGCACGTGAAGAGGGAGTATTTCTTTTTCGCTTGGTGCCGTCTTCACTTCGTGTTTCTCATTGCATTCCTTGACCTTCCCATAGCTGTCAGTCGTCATGGGTCGTCGATATCTGGGAGGCAGTGGAGATACTCTCACCGTTTGGATCTCAATGTAAGAAAAAAAAAAGAAAGACTCCTACGTGAGCAACAGTACTAAAGCAACGATCCCTACAGTGCTGCAAGCACAGTCCTCATCTTCTACGGTAAGCCAAATCAACACAACCTCCATCATAACGACCAACAAAGAACTCACTGACTTTTTTTTGTTTTTTTCGCAGGCTACGATCAAGGCGTCTTCGGCAATGTCATCATATCCGAGAATTTCCTCGAAACCTTTGGACACCCTTCGGCAGATACTCAAGCTACAATGACCAGTATCTATAATATCGGGTGTTTCGTCGGAGCCATGTCCACCATCTTCACCGGAGACTGGTTGGGTCGACCAAAACAGATTCTGGTGGGGAGTACGGTGATTGCTGTGGGAGCTGTGATTCAGACTGCGAGTTATGGTGTGCCTCAGATGATGGTAGGGAGAGTTGTGGCGGGCTTGGGAACGGGGATGAATACTGCTACGGCTGGCGTTTGGCAATCGGAGACTAGTAAGGTGAGAAGAGAGAGAGAGAGAGAGATCAGAAATCTTTCGATGCATGCAAAGGATTGTATGGCAATGCTGACGCGTTGGTAGATGAGGTCGAGGGGCAAGCTGGTAATCATCCAAATGGCCAACTGCATTACTGGCTTCAGCATCTCGAACTGGTTGACACTGGGCTTCTCCTTCGCTCCACGAGACGTGGCGTGGAGGTTTCCTCTCGCATTCCAAATCTTCTTCACGCTCTGTATCTGGGCCATGTGTCCATTCCTGCCAGACAGTCCGAGACTGCTGATCCGCAAGGGTCAGTACGAGGAAGCCAAAGAAGTTCTTGCGGCTTTGCAAGGCCATGGAGCTACGCCAGAGAGCCCAGATGTGCGAGCGCAATTCGATGTGATCAAGGATATTCTGGACCGCGAGCAAATGCAGTCGTACACCTGGTGGCAGCTTGTGAGTGGTCGTGGACCGGCTGGAGTGCTGAGGAGAATGATTCTCGGGGCTTGGATGCAGGCTATGAACCAGATTTCTGGAATCAACGTGAGCTTTCCAACCAACGTCCGTCCATCCTTCTTGTGGCCAGCTAACATGGGTGTAGGTGACGAGCTACTACATGAGCTACATTTTCATCAACGCTCTGGGTATCTCTGAGCTTCTGGCGAGAATTTTGGCAGCTTGCGGCTCAGTCGATTACCTGATCTTTGCTTGTCTTGCATACTTCGTCATCGAGCGATACGGTCGGCGCAAAGTGATGATGTGCAGTGCTTTGGCGTGCTCGATCTGCTGGATTGTCATTGCGATTGCTACAGGCTTGACTGAGAAGGGCGGAGACAGCTATGTCTTGGGCTCAGTGGCAGTAGCGTTCTTCTTCGTAAGTGCTGCAGTGAAGCGTCTATGGGGAATACCAGAAGCTCACAACGATAGGTCTTCTTTGCGTCGTTCGGTATGGGAGTACTAGGCGTGCCCTGGCTATATCCAACAGGTACGCCCATCACATCCTGTGCGAATGATTTTCTTGCTGATAATAAGGTGTCTTGCAGAGATCAATGCCCTCGAGATGCGAACGAAAGGCGCAAGTCTCGCGATGGCCACGAACTGGATATGCAACTACGCCGTTGTCCAAGCCACGCTTCCTGGGATAGCGAATCTTGGCTACAAATTCTGGATAGTTTGGGCAGTAATTTGCTTCGCTTTCATCCCCATCACGTACCTGTTCTATCCAGAGACCGCCAATAGGACGCTAGAAGGTATGATATTTACCATACTGTTCTTGAACCCGTCCCTTGACTGACATCAAACCCCAGACATTGATCGTTTCTTCGAGACCAAGCCTGGCATTATTGTCTGTAATAACACCCTCGCGACTCAACTGGCCAGGCCGCAAGTATACATAGAGCAGGATGACCGCATTGCACAGGCTGCTGAGACTGTTGATTGGCACCGTACAGAAGAAAAGGCGGAAGGCAATGTGGTCATCGAGCGCCTGGATTGAGCTCGAGATCGATGACTAGACTCGCGGCGAGGGGATTTCATGCAGCTGTCGCGATCGCTTTCCAAAAAGATGCGATTGAAGGACAATGATTCAGAATGTGATCTGCATGCAATGTAATCATCTATCAGTATTCGGGTCTATAGCAAACTTCTATCATGAGCCTTCACTTTGCTTGTCATTCTCTTTTAGCCAAGAAGATCTCCAAGCTGATCGACGTACGCGCTCGGCACGACTGGAGCGCCTTCAGCTAGGAAATCCTCTTTCTTGGTGACACCTGTAAGCACAGCAAGAGTGCCTCCCAGCCCGCCCTTGATGCCAAATTCAATGTCGGTGTTGAGACGGTCGCCAATCATGCAGGCCTTTTTGCGATCGAATTGGAACTTGCCCTCAACAGCATCCATCATGGCTTGACTTGGCTTGCCGAGTGACAGAGGGTCATTCCCTACTGCTGAAACAAGCGGAGCGCTCATAGAGCCCGCACCAGGGTACAATGATCCGGCGTTTGGAAGGGTAGAGTCGATGTTGGTTGCGAGGAACCTGGCGCCTTTGCGAACGTACGCAAATCCGAGGGAGTACTTGTAATAACTGGGGTGAAAGTCGAGGCCAGTGAGGACCACCGCGACGTCAGGGTCAAGCCCTGAGCCATCAGCGATGCCCTTGAAGTCGGCATCTGTCATGTCTCGTCGATATGCCGGGTCTGTGCCGCCGCAGTACGGGATATTCTCGCTCTTCAATTCTTGCTCTACGCCCGATTCACCAAGGACGAAGACCTTGTTCCTCGGTGCTTGCAGCTTCATGATGCGTGAAATGTAGATTGCTGCGCTGTAGCTCGACCCGAAGACTTCTTGCTAGCTCGTTGTCAACTTCACCGAGATAAGTGCCATGGATTCGTGCACAATCATACTTCACTTGCAGTGATTCCGACTTTGTCAAACTTCTTCTTGTAGTCGCTGCGTGATTTCGTGCTGTTGTTTGTCACGAACACGAGCTGCTTGCCTACAGTGGCTATGAGCATAATCACAAGCACGTCTCGCCGACAGCGATGTGCTTACCTTTCTTTCGCAGCATATCGATCGTCTGAGGCACATTGGGGAAGAGATGATCTCCAGACCAAAGCACGCCTATCCTTCACGCATCATCAGTCTCAATGTAGCCTTCTCAATCTCCACCGCTTCGTCTCTGTGCCAATCCAGCTCTTGCCTATGTCGCTCTCTCAGAGCAAAGGGTGAGATCGAGGCGTACCATCGCAGTCAAAGAGAAACGTCTACGCGATTCAGCCAGTGTCTACTTCTTATCTTTTCATCGCTGCTCTTACGTCGAATTTGTCTATGAAGGCATCGATACCAGCCTTGTCGCCGGTCAAGTACTGCGGCTTTGCCATTCTCGCTGCGGTCACCGAGTTCTGAATGTATGCAGCTAGAGGCACGGGCTGGGATAGAAGGGTTGAGGTTGGGAAGTGCGCATTCAGTAGAGGCCGAAGCCGAGTCAGTAGCATGGAGGAAGAAAAGTTGTCGGCGTATGGCTCGACATCGGCGGTTGAGCTTTGGCGTCAGCTCCGGTGCATCAAGTCGTGGGCGGAAAAGCCAGTATACATAACATTTGGGCGGTCAAAAAGTTTAGAGATATAGACAGACTTGGTTCTGTATAGCTTTCAGCCTGTACTTCCGATTGAGACGGCTACAATGCCAAGAGCTGTCTCCAAGTGCTCTGTGAGTCCACAAGTCCTCCAGCGCCCCTATGCTACCAGTCCATGCAGGTACAAAATGCGCTCAATGTCATAAAAGGTCGTAAAGTGCGGGCCAGGAAGTAAAAAGTTCCTCCAACCACGCGATGCTCTCATGCTCGTGCCGAGCTCTCCATCAACGAGCGCCAAAATCAATCTGGATCACTCATCGTATAACGCCCCATTCTCCAACGATACCACGCTTCGCCTCCTTGTTTGGCTTGTTGAACACGTCCCAAAATCTCAAAGTCTCGTCTCCCGCTCCCGTCACAATGATGGCACCATCCGGGCTCATACTCAAGTAGAGAACACGATAAGTGTGTCCCGTGAGGCTCACAACCTGAGTCATGCTCGGATACTTCCAAATGTTGATGGCATGCTGGGAATATCCATGTGTGCTCACAAGTTCTGATGTGCGCTGAGAGAATAGCAAGTTACAGACCTGGCTTCCTGTATCGTGCGAGCTCAGAAGATGCGGGTTCGGCATAATCGGCGAAACCGAGGGCTCAGGTAAGGGTGAAGTCGACAAGCCAAGACCGAGATTTGTCTGCTCGACCGGTATTGATCTCGACGCTGAAGTTTGGGCGGTAGACACGGTGTTCCAGAATTTGATGCACCTATCAGCAGTTCCGCCACCAGACGCCAGCACGCCACGTTGATGCGGATTCCATGCAATGGCTTTGACAGCAGCCTTATGGCCGCCTTCTTGTTCGCCCCATCGATGCTGCCATCGCTCGTCCATCTTATCCCAGATGAATATCTTGTTATCGTTGCCACCTGAGGCTAGCTGCTCGGTTTCTGAATTCCACTTAAGACCACACACTTCCTGCTTGTGTCCGGTGAGTCGACGAAGATATTGAGCCGGTAATCGTACATCTCGGTGTAGTATTGATCGATCGCGGGATCCAGTAGACAGAATATGGGCATTCCACGCCAGACTGCTGATTCGCGCGCTATGCCCAGTCATTGTCCTCAGGCGCTTCTGAGCGACAGTGTCCCAGATATGGAGCAAGCCTTTCGAAGTGCCGATCGCCAAATGCGTCCCGCGCTGTATCCAGCTGACGCTCGTCACGCTATCGCCGTCTAAAGAACACAAAGTAGTGACTTTACCGGTCTCCCGACTCCACAGGTAGACCGAAGGACCCAGCCCAACTGCCAGAACATCGTTGGAACCCCAGTCGACGAGATTCAGGTAGAAATCATCTGCCAGGTCTGGCGCATCCAGAACTTTGTAGGGAACCTTGCTGACTGCGCGAGGAGTCTTGCGAGGTGAAAGCAGCATTGTCTGTGAAGAATGCTTGACCGGCGATAGACTGTAAATTTCAGATCTTGCGTTGACGTTTGGCCCTCTCTCGCTTCGTGATATGGATCTTGGGGTCAAGGAGACTTGCTGGGTTGGACCGTACGAGAACAAGTTTTTGTGTGGTGTAGATGGTGTGAGGGATGCTCCTGATATGTTGGCAGTCGCCGCGGAATTTCCATTGGTGACCGGTGGCGTTTGGGCTCTTGAGCCCGTCATGTCGTTGATAAGCTGTGGTATCTCGTTGTCGAACATCTCGGATCGGAGGATGGTGGAATATGTGCGGTTCGCATCCATCTTCTGGAATTGGATGTCGCCCGGTGTCTTCCTTCTCAGCTTCGAGGGCGTCGCAGGCGATCCATCGTCATGGTGTAGACTGTAGCTGGCGGAGAGGTCCTGGCCTGAGCGGTTTGGAATGAAACGGTCGCTGGCTTGCAGCTTTTGGCGTTTCCGGCTAGGGCTTGCCGTAGGAGAACTGACTCGCCGCTGTTCATCTCTCTTGATATTTTGGAGTGCCTTGTTTAGTTCGACGGGATTGACTGGCTCGCTGTCGCTACGATATGTGCCTGGTCTTTGCACATTGACCTGCGCTTCGCTGTGTGACCTCTTGCCAGTGACCGTAGGCGGAGTCTTACTTCGAGGAGGCGATAGCGGGTGCGTAGGGCCTGCATCGGCGGCAGGTATGTGAGCTGCGGCGGACGCTGAGGAGTCCATGGTGCAAGTGAGGTCGATCAGAGTGAAGTGTAATGAGTGAGGCCGGGTGGTAGAGAGCGAGCCAGCGCGGCGGCGGCGCAGTGGTCGCAAGAGCTATAAGTCGCTATAGTGATCGCGTAATGGTGATCGAGGGTTGCACGGCGTGTAATTGCGTAGTGAGGGCCTTACGGTGTGATCGAGGCCGGTTTGCGTCGGTTGCTATGCAGGTGTTTGACTCCTTTGCCCCTGTGCTCGGGCGCTGAGACGTCGCCAGCTCCAGTCACGGCCAGGCGCACTTCATCGCATATGTACAATTGCTGCGTCGATAGCGAATGTCGGCGGGATGAATGATGTCGGCGACGATGCCGAAGGTGTAAAGTGGGCGTGGTTCGTGCTCTGTCGGCAAGGTATCGATGTCGCTGGTAACGATTACGAGGATGGATGGATGGCAGGTACCTTATTAGGCGCGGCTCCCCCAGAGTTTACTTGGCTCAGTTTAGCGTAGAGCCTCTGCCACCTGCTACCTGCCACTTCGACTTCTTCATCACTATTGTTGATTGTCCAATGCATTCCATTGTCGAATATACCATTCAATACCCACGATGATACTCCAACGCCTTTCGCTTGCGCTGCTTGCGATGATCACAACAAGGCGAACTATACCGGCACTCGGCCAACTCCAGTGGCAGCAAGAAGTGGTGGCCTCCCCGACGCGACCGCGACGCGTCTCGCGGCTCAAGCCTCAATCACAACAAACTTCAACGCCTCCCGGAACAGTTGATGAGCTCCGAAGTGATGACTGATGACCCTGACCACACGGCTGGACCCCTATGCAAGAGCAGCACGAGGCACTTCCCGCCAGTTTAGTCCTGTCCCGCTGCTCTCCTTCTCGACAGTCGACACCTCCATTAACAGCGCGTCAAAATTGAGATCCAAGCAGCCGGCTGCAACCTGAAACGTCAGCATTCGTATGCGCTTCTGCCCTTCCTCCGCAAGCCTCCTTCCGCCATTGATGGTGAAAACTCCATGTCTCATTGACATCGCCCCGCGCATGCTTTCGCTCGCTTACATATGTTCTCCTTGACACACTGCAGACACATCACACGTGACAAGCATAAAAGCTCTCAGGATGGACCAAATACCTCGCGCGCATTTCGAGTGTTCTGCTTGCTATGGACCTCACGCTTCGTCTTCTGCGAACATGCTCGGATTGTTTGAGCCAGCGTCGATGGCCCCCCTGGGCTCCGAACCGACCGCAAAAGTTCAATCATATCCAATGCATGATGCATCGTCGCACCCCCCAGCGCATGACGCTACACACCACCCACCCTTCTTACATTGTCAAAGTACGCCAAGGCTGGAGAGATCTTCAGAGGCCACGATGGAGCCCGGCCACGACGTCAGTGAGAACATTGTACGGCGGCACATGTTCCTGCAGCTCTGCTATTGGATCAGAAGCTATCCTGGGAGGTCACCTGAGGCTCGCTATCTTGCATAGACCCCGAACAAGCTCCGGACGGTCGGTACACAGCATTACCATGGCTCTCTCCATTGCGAGGCTGTCGACACGCAACATGACACGGCGCAATAGATTAGATTCAGAATGGTCGGGCTATCATCTTGTCACCCCGTCACGCAGCCCTTGGAGAGGCTTACACGGCATTGAGGGCTCCAGCGACAGTGCATATCAATGCCAATGAGCGCAGTGGCATTGTCCCGAACACAGCGGTCGCAAGAGCTGTGCTCGCGAAGCTCGGTTCAATTCCATGTACAGGCTGCCATGGGGATATAGTGGCCAGTTGCATGGAAATGACAACAGCGGTGTGTAATGCTGTGCCGTATGACTAGAATCGAAGCTTGAAGAGGCGGCCGCTCTTATTATTGGCTGGACACGCGCGTCTGCCGCAGCACACATCCCTCCTCCAAGATATGGGCTTGCTCGGGAGATCTGCCCTTTCCAACTGATCGACCACGAGTCTGCGGTATACGAGAGGCTCTCATGCAACTCGTTCGCTTCCCGAGGAGCGTCCGTTAGTTGTTTCCTGTAATTCCTTTGCATGTGAAACCACCACACGGACGGGTATCGCATTGCTCATGTACGGAGGGGTAACCATTGATAGAAGTATCCGTGCGGCGTACCTCGAGTCGAATGCATATGATGTCGTACTGCATGATTTTGGATCTAAGCGCTGGGATCTCCCTCATGAAGTTTTGTACTAACAGACACGAGCTCTGCAGCGCCGTCAATCCCCGGTACTTGTCCACTCGGCATTGGGTACTGTATATTTTGCGTGCGCGAGCAGGCAGCTCGATGCACCAGATAACGCGATCTGCTGCTTGCAAGCCCCGCTAGAATATTGTTGAGCATCCATGAGAGATGCCCGCGAGGCTGTTTATTAGACTGTTGAGAATTCGATTGTGAGGCAAGGGTGTCGTGCTATCGCTCGGCAAGCTGCATTTCTTCGCAACGGCATTGTGGCAGACCTTCGGCCACGGTGCAGCAGCAGCAAGCATGTGTGTGTACGCATGTCGCGAGCTTACCCCGGTGGCCATGGCATGCGCGTAAAACGTTGTAGCGTCTTCTGCATGAATGAAGATGCTGGAAGTGGCTGGGTGATACGCTGCTCTGCAATGAAGCTGACGTCGCTACTGTATACCAATGGCACGACAAGCAGGCCATGGGCTTAGCGTTGAGATAGCGCCTGCAAAACGCAATAGCTAAAATTGCGATGCTGAGGACGGCCGTGCGCTGGCGGGGTGTTCGCTCGACTCGACGTCCACCTCGCTCACTGCATTCTTCTCATTCATTCACCTCTTCGGGCCTGTGAGTGCACACAGCTTCGCACAGGCGTCGCAGCACCACTCACGACGCGCCCCCCGCCGAGTGAGCGTGAGCGTGCCTGCGCCGCGCATTGCAGATTGCAGCTCCAGATTACCGCAAGAGGGTGAGGGTGGTGGTACAGAATCAGAATCAAGCGCAGCAGCAGGGTCACACATCCTTCAAGTACTCCACCCAACATTTTAGCAGACTAGCGCTGGCGCCTGCATTGCTCGCAGGACCCAGTGGGCAGCTCATTGGACAGGCGTGCAGCACATCCCGCCAGCAGAATCTGAACGACGATATTATCTCTTGCCTTCTCGGGGGCGGGCATCTCGGCGTGTCCACACTGCTTCGCTCGCAGAGCGTTGGAGTTGAACCGTGGCTGACTGTCAGATCGAAAGGGTCACAAGATCGTAGGGGTGGTAAGGTAAGATCCCTCTACCCTCCTTTACACGCATCCACGCACCACAATGGCCGCAGGCAGACTCCTCGGGCCCTGCTGTTATCAGGTGCACACCGGCACGCGGATCTGGTCGTTCGGTCGTTCTGACTCTGCGTAGATTCTGGCGTTGGCTGCGCGTCGGCCATCCACACATCTCGCAATACAACGCAGCGTCGCTGTGCCTCTGTGCGGGCCTGTGTGTTTCAATAGCCTTGTTGCAGGCACGCCGTCACGCCGTCACGCCGTCACACACGGCTGTCTGCGTCAAGAGTCCACCGGGGCCCTCGCCGCTCATATCATCACCGCCGACCCTCGCCGCTCCTGTTGCTCGATCCTTCCTGCCGCCCATGTATGGGTTTGAAGCATACGCTCTACCATGGACAGCGAGGATGGCAAGCTATTCGTAAAGGTCAGTAACATCACTCCTGGCGCAAGGATAAAACGATACTTCAATCAAAGGGAAGCGGCTGATTTGCTAAATTGGCTACAGAATCTAGCATACTTTGTTCGCACGCATGAACGAGCTCTCGCGAGCGCGCTGCAATCTCAGCGACAGAATACGAAGAATGGTAAAGACCAGACTACTGCTGGGGCCACGAGCAGCTCAGCTCCTTCAACGACAATATCCTTAGCCGAAGCGCTTTCTCGGCCGTACCTGTCGTTCTCGACATCGAATATCAGACCGTCGAAGCTGACTCTGACACCCCATCACCTCTACTACCTTCTCACCAGATTCGAACATGTCTTGTCAATGGATCCAGGAGCCATGGATGTGCGCTTTGAGAACCTCGACGCAGAGCCTATATACATGTCTTTCCTCAACGCACCCAGATCGCGCGGCAAGCAATCAGATGCAGATTCTCTTCGGTCTGTATCGAGCGTGCGCAGTGTGATGTCGAGCATGTCTTCAGTCTGGTCTAGCCTGACCGGCTCAAACAGCGCTGCAAAAGCTGAGAAACAAAAGGTACAATACGGTGATGATCTCAAGTACTTGTACTCGTGCTTTACAAAGATCCCCGCCTTGCGATTGTCTCGCGATGACAGGGCACGCCGCATTGCTGGGTATGAGGAGTTCCCTTTCGATACCTGCGTGCCACTGTTCGTGTTCAAGAACGTAAGTTCGCTTGAGATCTGCGATCTTGATTTCAGGACGTTCCATGGTTGGGACAGGCTTGCAGAACAGCTTCGAAGCTTGATCATCAAGAATGCTTCGCTGGAAGATCCAATGGAGCTGCTACGAGATATCGTCTTAGATGATGCAGAGAAGCGCCGGAAGCGGTCGTCCAAGACGCAAGTGCCAACCACTCCATCCACACCAGGTCTGCCGTGGCCCCTGTCAGCAAGTCCGAAGCCGTCACCTTCGAATAATGCGACGCCCTTGCCGATGCGGCGTAGCTCGGCGGCCAGCCCAATGGCTCTGGCGAGGGGAGGGTCTTCAGACGGTATAACCGGAAGACAATCGAGCAATTCTCCTCCCCGGCCCTCCACCTCGAGACATACTTCTCTTCACAAGTCTCACGCAAATCGCGGAGTCATTCCAGCATATCGAAGGTCTTCCGGAAGCTCGGGCTCCAGTCAACATGAAATGTCGCCTCGACACAGTGCTTCTGACCTCTTGGCGATGGGTATACTGCCGTCGTCAAAATGGCGCTTCCTTCGGCACCTCAGCGTTGCAGAAAATGGATTGACTCACCTCTCGGTAAGCAGCTTGGCGCCAGTGGCAAGCACTTTGCAGTCTTTGGATCTTTCAGGCAACCTCTTTACTGAAATTCCGGACGCGCTCGCTAGCTTGACGCATCTACGAGCGTTGAATTTGAGCAACTGCATGATAAACAGCCTCTCGTCGCTGTCCCGGAGCCCGCTCCCAGCAATCACCACTCTCAACCTTCGATCCAATCGTCTCTTGTCATTGGCCGGGATTGAGCGTCTCTACTCGTTAGAGCGTCTTGATTTACGCGACAACAAGTTACACGATCCGACCGAGCTGGCACGTTTGACCGGCATTCCGGACATTACCGATCTATACGTGGTCAAGAACCCCTTCACACGAACTCACAGCAATTATCGGGTCGTTGTTTTCAATCTTTTTCGATCATCGCCCGGACACGTCCAAGACCCTACCATTGATACTATGGGGCCTCTCTACCACGAGAAGAAACATCTTGTAGACCGTGTTCCAGAGCCATCCAATAAGCCTGTTGTAAAGCCGCCACCCGAAGAAGAGGAGGCTCGTCTTGTTCGAGAGGTAGCGGACGCTGGACTGGAGCCTGTTCCCAAGCCTCCGACACAGCCCTCACGACACCGCCGATCTGCTTCTGACATGGGCCCACTGTCCACTGTGCGACGGAAAAAGACACCTCGGCGACGAGTCGTCGAGCTTGCCCAGGCGGATCAACGCGCCTCGAACTCAGCAGATCTTCCCTCTGAGCCGCCAGTGCCGGAACTGACCGAGCTACCTCCCATGCCGCACACCCCTACTACTGAGAGTGATCAGCCTACCACTCCAGAAGCCACACCATATCACACTGCGCCCTCTTCACAGCTGCCTCAGACCTCGCTCGCGGTTCGTCCAAGGTTGGACACTGCGTTCGCATCACCTACGCCACCTCCGAAGATCCGTGATTCAGATGACGATGACAACTCGCCAGTGCGGTCTCCGGATGGTCTAGGTCCAAATACGGATGTGTATCGGCAGAAGATCGAGGCATTGAAGAACGAATTGGGCCCAAATTGGCTTTCGGCCTTGAATGAGCAGCGTCTGGAAGAACCGCAGACGCGGAACAGGTCTTTTAGCCCGGCTTCTCGGACGTCTACCTTGAGGCCTGAACACGCTGGCCGCGGTGTGAGTGTTGGCGGACGAACGCTTGGTTGATTTTCGCTCGGAGCTTTGTGCCTTGTGAGACCTGGCGTTTCTCTCCTCGGGATCGAACGACGAAATTTACGTGAAAGACACGATGGACCTTGCTCCTCAAGTATCGAGGACTCATGTCCAACACCACTATGCGACTGCACTGGATTGCAAGTCGCCTTCTCTTGGACGCATCACGGCGGCGCGACTTGGATAGCGTTCCTGCATTTCTCCGCTTTGACTTTGGTTTCCTCACTTTTGCGGCATCTTGACGACTATTCTTCGGTGGCCAGGGATATCAAAACTTCCGGATGGCATTTGTATCGTTCTGTTCCATGTAGAAAATACCCTCATCTTTCTCGAAGCGTGGTTTGGGCAAATAATGCGGTTATGTGATTTGCGGCACATGGGAAGCCGGCGGCATTGGTGCTGTAGATGTTGCTTCTGAGCACATAGACCAGATGAGACGATTGTGGTGCATTACTGATAGCGAGGCGTTAGGCGGCGAAGAATTCTGGGAAATATCTAGCGATTGAGTGTCTTCGATGGACCACAGGTTGATCATGTCTCAAAGCCAACTCTTAACGTTCTTTGTTGTCGAGATCCCCATCAGAGGCGATCTCGAGTCGAACTGGGCAATAGCGGTGATGCATGACGACGATGTAGGCCCAACTTTGTGCCCTGCCAACCCGGCGCACGCTGAGTCTCGCAGCGCAGCGCAACCTATGTGAACAAAACATATGCATACATAGTATGGTGGATTAGGCAAGCACGGAGAAAATGCTGCCGCTAGCAATACGAGGTTGCGTGCCTCGTGTTTGATGTATAATTGCTGGATCAGCGTCAGCGTCCTCATTGGTAGCTCCATGAACATACCAGAGTCGAGCGCGCTGCGTCTCTCGCATGCTGTAGGCCATGCCGTAGCTGGCTGTCGTAAGGGTAGACGTGCTGCACCGTGAGGAGAAATGTGTACATCGAGTTGTGGCTGCACGCCGAGCAGAATCACGTTGAGAGAGCTCGCGCGCGCGGTCACTTGTTCTGGCAGCGAGTGACGACTGCTGCAGCAAGCGCAGTGCAGGCGAAGATCCTGCTCGCGACCTGCTACACACGGCCATCTGTCATTTCTCCTGCTGCCCATTTTATTCTCCGCCCGTGTCTGCCTTGGGCTCCTGTGTCGTGTCGCGCGCATTCAGAAGCACATTCGACTCGCCGTCGTGGTGGTGTAGAAAGGGATTGGGCAGCACGACTTGGCTCCTCGACTAGCGCCCTTCTCTTGCTTTGAAACCTACTCGCAAACACCACCTCCAACTCTCAGCTCAACAAGCACCAACATCGCGACCGCACCACCCCCACGCCGGCGCTGATTCCACTGAACCGCCTGCTGAGCATTCGACGCACTGTTCACGCCATCCACCACCTTTTTGCCGCTGACTGCGAGCCCCACCTCTGACCGGCGGTGAAAAACATCTCAACGCACGCCCGCTCGACGACCACGACGGCCCTCCGCGCATCGCAGCAATACCGTGACGCCCTGCTGCACCGTCCGCACTGGAATCGATCTGAACATCTTCATTGTCGCACAACTCGACAGCCGCGCCTGCGACCTACCTACCTCGAGCCCACTCAAGCTTCCCAGTCGCGTGATCCTGAGGCTACCCTGGGATCAAAGAACACGGAACCTCACCTGCGAAGAACACTGATAGCCTACATCTCTGATAGCGGCGGAGAGGAGAGAGAGCTCGTGCGTCTCCAGAGCCTTTGCGCTCATCTCGTACACTTTCGGTAGGTGCATTTCCCCTCTTTACATGGCGTGGCAGCGGCAGCAGTGAGTTGAAGAGGGACTTGGTATGGCATATGATTGAGTGGCACGTCTTTCTACCTTCACCTCAGCTTCGTGGCATTGGTGCCCCAAGGCTGGGGCATCACGGTCACGTGCTGGCGGCCGGCCTCCCATACCCTTTGACATCTTTAGAGCTTTTGTCAAGCAGCATCCATGAATACATCTGCCATGAAAATCCCTCGTGGCTGATTTATAACAGTTTCTAGAGCGCCTTCCGCTTCCTGCGGACCATCCTGCGCTTTTGGCTGAGAGCAGGCTCCGCCCAGACGTTCCTACCTACTTTTCCGACGACGACCGCCAAAGATGGCGGACCAAAACGACGTCGATCTTGACTCTATCATAGATAGACTGCTTGAGGTCCGCGGCAGCCGCCCCGGCAAGCAAGTCCAACTGCTCGAAACCGAGATCCGATACCTTTGCACGAAAGCCCGTGAGATTTTCATCTCCCAGCCGATATTGCTCGAGTTGGAAGCACCGATAAAGGTCAGTCATACCGAAAGAGTAGTCTACACATGACACTGACGTAAGAGCAGATCTGCGGTGATATTCACGGTCAATACTACGACCTCCTCCGGCTGTTCGAGTATGGAGGCTTTCCACCTGAGGCAAACTACCTTTTCCTCGGTGACTACGTCGATCGCGGCAAGCAATCTCTGGAGACCATCTGCTTGCTCCTGGCCTACAAGATCAAGTATCCGGAAAACTTCTTCATCCTGCGCGGTAACCACGAATGTGCCTCGATCAACCGCATCTACGGCTTCTACGATGAGTGCAAGAGAAGATACAACATCAAGCTTTGGAAGACTTTTACGGATTGCTTCAACTGCTTGCCCATCGCCGCTATCATTGATGAGAAGATCTTCACCATGCACGGAGGACTGAGCCCAGATCTGAACTCCATGGAGCAGATCCGCCGTGTCATGCGCCCAACAGATGTGCGTGTTGTCCAAACTGAAGATCCGCGATTGGCCAGAACTGACACTTCCCTAGATCCCCGACTGCGGTCTGCTTTGCGATTTGCTATGGTCTGACCCAGACAAGGACATCACTGGATGGTCTGAAAACGATCGCGGCGTCTCATTCACCTTCGGTCCCGATGTCGTCTCCCGTTTCCTGCAGAAACATGACATGGACCTGATCTGTCGTGCACATCAAGTCGTGGAAGATGGATACGAATTCTTCTCGAAACGTCAACTGGTGACTCTGTTCTCAGCACCAAATTACTGTGGTGAATTCGACAATGCCGGCGCCATGATGAGTGTGGACGAATCTCTGCTCTGTTCATTCCAGATCCTCAAGCCGGCTGAGAAGAAGCAGAAGTAAGTTTACTTGCCGCACGCTGTTCCCCGAGATTTCCAGCTAATATTTCCACAGCAGATTCGGCAGACGATAGATGCGACTACGTACGAGTGTTCTTGGTCTACAGTGGTGTTATACCAACTCAACTGCAATGCCGAGCTGCGAATGCTTCCCATCGAAAGATTTTCGACGAGCTCTACGGCAGCATGGCATCGAAGGATGGGAAGGTCCCATACACAAATGAATGCAGGTGGTGAAGGCGGAGATGTACGATTTGCATGGGTTAAAAGGGAAGAGAGCGGCAGCATGTAGCGCAAGAGTGCTCACCAGACGCACTTGTCGTGCCGCATATGGCCATTAAGATGAGGTTGGACGGACGTACTGACGAGTCGCGATGAGCCTGGACTGTCTACATACTTCAAACATGATGCTTTTGCTTACAACCCATGGTCCCTCGCCTCGTGCCTTGCAGACGTTTCGCCAAGTTCCAATAATACTTTTATGCTTTGCCGTTTGGTCAGGTCCTATCTCGGAGATATCTTGGCTTTGCGGAGCTGTCCAACGTCATCTGAATCTGTCAAGTCAAGCTTCCACAGCTGCGATCGCATTGTGCTTCAATTGTATTGACAAGAACGATTGACACCATGAGTTTCTTCAAGAATCTGTTCAAAGAGGTACGATGTCTCAATCTGATCGATGCTTGTTGAAGCTTCGTGAGCACGCTAACACCGATGATGCACGAATCAGGCCGGCGTCAAGGATGTCATTACACTCTTCCACAGCACGAAAAGCCCAGCATCGACGCGGGTTCACACCTTGCTAAAGCAGCTCAATGCCACCGCGGTAGCGCACGCGACCGAAGATCAGGCGAGTGACCATAGCAAGCAGAGCAAATTGGAGAGCAGGGAGTTTGAGCTGGGTACGTCAGGAAAGAGGCGCACAAAGAAGGAGATATGATAGGCTTCAAAAAAAGCTAGCTGGGAACGGCTCAAGGCTCTGAGTACATCATTGCTGACGATCGGACAAACAGACATTCAGGAGGGTGCTCCAACCACCGACCAGCTGAGCAGCATTTTGGAATACCTTGGCCCATCGCAGGCTGGCAGCGTCATCAAGGATGCCACGGGCACCAGTGATGCTCTGCGCAAGTTTAAGCAGAATGAGACTCTCTTTCAGAGACCTGTGACTGTGGACTGGAATAACGGACGTGCTGGTGAGCTTTATGGAAGCAAAGTAAGAGAGGATGCAGCTAACGTTGGAATCACTAGTTGTGGGTGAGAAGGAGAGCGAGATTCTCAAGCTTGTGAAGAGCTTGCCCAAGGAGGAGAAATCATAGGTTGAGGCGCGAATGAGGCACACTGGCGCGAGACTGGCTGTGGAGGATTGGAATGAGACCATACACGCTCGGCAGAGTGAAGGGTGCTGAATGGGCCGCCGCGTAGCTTTAGACAGAACAGGTTCTTCGGCTTGGATGAACAGCAGCTCGCGGACTAAGGACCAATGGCAAAAACATTGTGGGAGCCCGAGCGCAGAAGGGTGCGATGATCAGAACAATGGCATTGTGAAGACGCTGGTTTCGGGAGCGTGCAGCTCACCATGACCATGGCCCTACTCGATTCTGGTCCCGTTGGAGATGTTTCATCTGGCACCCGAAGCGACAGCTGGCACCGCACCGCACTTCATCGCTGTCATGGCACCTCTGCATGAGTTTTCCTGTCTCTTTCCCTGCGAAAGCACACGCCCGCTGCACATGCAGCATGCACAAACGCCGGCGTTTCCATAGCATTCACCGCTCGTGCAAAAGTCAAAAGTTGCCCACCGCGTGCTTTCCTTGTTGGTTGCAAGTGGCGTTTGCACACGCATACGGAAAGTGCGCTCTTTCCGCAGCTGCTTCACTCGAGCCGATTCACGATCTTCATCTTGCCAGATCCGAGACCTTTTGACTTCATCCAAATACAGCGCACGCACACACTCGACACCACCTCATCAACACATCAGCACAGCAAGCATTTTAAGCTTTCTGCTGCTTGTACAACATCTCATCCTCACCTCCTAGCAGCCATCGTCCAATCGCGCCTACAACATAGCGCATCCACGAGCGTTTCCGCCTGCTGATCGCTGACCTGCGCTTGGATCAAAGCCAGCTTGGACAGCATCGCCAGGATGGCGGATAACAGCATCGGTGGTGGTGGTGGTGGCGGCGGCGGCGGCGGCGGCGGCGAGGACGACAAATATGTGCTGCCAAACTGTGTCATCGCCTCGAGCAATCGCGAGAGTGACATTCGCCCGTACTGCGACATTCTGTATGCGACCGATGGACACAAATGGGGCGGCATAATGCCACAAGACTACCCGACCCTCCCGACTCGAGAGCAGGAAGAAGCCTTTCTCCGCCAGCACTTCAGCGAAGATGAGATCCACATGCAAGGCGGTGCGAGTGGCGACGGCAATGGCTTCCGCTTCCTCAAGCAGGTCTGGTGGTCAATCGCTATCTACAATTTTCAAGTCCGCATTCCACTGATGGTTGACTGGTGGTTCAAGGACAATCAAGACGTCTTGACTGACCAGCTGAGCCATCTGCTGAAGCCAGATGCCACATCAAGCACCTTCTTCCAGCAGCCAGAGATTGAGTCGTGCGGCACGAAGTTTCTCGACGTGGTAAGTAAGGCTATCCAGTGGACTCTCCGTCATGGTGATGAGAACCATCCATCTGCGATCACCCCTGCTTCCGTATCTGCGATCTCAACCCAGACTGAGCCGCAGCCGGCCACCCAAGAGTCATCGGCGACAACAACGACCGAATTGCCAACACCCAGGTCTGCTCCATTGCCATTGAAGCCCACTGCACAGAACTTCGATACGCAAAGCCCATGGTCAGCCAACCCGACAGGTCAGATTCGCAACTTCAGCGGCCACACTCCATCCATGCCGCCACAGTCTTACCAACAGCCACAGCGTGGTCAGCAGCAGCGGAAGCGTGGTTCGTATAACAAGCGTGGCAGCTTCCATGACCCGGCCACCTTTCGACCTGACTTTCGCAGTATCAACCCACAGGCCAATGCGCCAGGCTATGGACCTCCGCCTCAGCCCTTCATGCATGGGGCTCCCTATGTGCCGCCAAATCAAGCTCGTGGGCCGTCTTTTGGCGGACCACCACCTGTTCAGGAATTTGTGCATGCTGGAGTGCCTGGTCAGCCCATGCCAGGTCACTATCCGCCTGGCAACTTTGACCCTTCAGTCCACGCCATGACATACCCACCACCAGATCAGACATTTATGTCCGGTCCTCCAGGTTTTGGCAATTACCCAGATGCTGCCTATCCTCAGCTCTACCAGCAAGCGCAGCCGTTCGGAGAGCGCAGTAATGGGCAGTACTTTGGACGCGGTGATCATGAAGGCCAGAAGACCCGCCGTGAGAGTGTCTCCTCACGAGCTGGCAAGCGTTCGGGTTATGGCACACATAACGGTCGTGGCAGCAAGTCGAGCCGGGGTAGAAACAGCATTGGCTATGGAGACGCCCGACTGTCGCTACGCAAGTCCTCCAATGACTTCAACGCGCCTTCAGAGGACATGCATCCTCGAGACCGGCACTCGAGTGTCCCCAACAAGTATCGACAAGATTTCTGGAGAAACTCAAAGCAAGACGAGAATACCATGCCAGGACCAGGTCCGCTTCCCGAGACTCAGCGCCCGTTTGTGCCCCGATCTCGCGACCTTCCAGCCATATCTCCCAGTGACGATTGGCTGTTGCACAACTGTACCAAGAACCAGATCGGTGAGAAGTGTGTATACGTCAACAAGCTCATTGTTTTCGACGTTCCGAGAGACGTCCCTGAGCAGGTGCTCGTCTCCTTCTTTGCGAACTTCGGACCTGTTTACAACGTTGCTCGTCAAAGCACACCAGCCACCGTCAAAGGCCACAAATACGAGAAGCCTCTGGTCTACGTCAATTTTGATCAAGTCGACAAGTCACAAGGAGCGCGGGCGTGTTTGCAGCCACGGCAAGCTCCTTGGGGTTCATTGAGAGCAGAAGTGCCGCGTGAGTATTGGGATATTCAGCACGAGCGCTACTCCCAGCGTGACGCCGCAGGCAACGAGATCAATCCACGACAAGCGCTGAACCGGTTCCACCATGGTAGAATGCTGTCCACCACCGACCAGTCTCACTATCCAGGCTATTTTCCTTCGCCTTCGCATGCCGAGCGCACCTTTCCAACCGTCTCACGGCCTGATGTGGCCACTGTAGAGATGGCGCCGCAGCCACTACAGTCGCACAAGATCACGAATGGCTCAGATGATGCGTCTGAAGACACAAGGTCTACAGCATCTGGTGCTGCTACGCCGAACCGTAAGAAGGGCAAGAAGAACAAGAACAAGAAGGTTGGGCTTTACCAGGAGAGCCTTAACCAGGCTTTCGAGGCTAATGCTCTGAAGAGCGGTTCTCTGCCTGATGTCACTCAAGATAACAATATCTCCGATGGTTGTGACAAGGATGCTGCTGTTGACGGCAAGTACAACGACACTCCTATGCAGCCAACGCCGACGGAGTCTGGATCACCACACTCGAAGAGCGCACAGCCGGAGAGCAATGCACAGATTGTGACAGACGCACTACCTAGGTCGAACGAAATTGTGGACTCACAGACAGAGCCGGCTCAGATTACTGTCGAAACTTCTGTGCAGTTCGTCCCTCCAAGCACCACGGTTGATCATGACTTTGAATTATCTTCTGAGCAGGCCGATGTTGCTTCCAAGGATGTGAAGGCAGAAGATGAACAAGGTGATGACAGCTTCCACACAGCCAGTGGCACGCCCGAGGAGGTCAAGGAGGAGTCGGCTGAGACTGTCTCTCCTGTCGACATTCCTGCATCGATCATCAAGCCCGTCTCGATTCCCGAGCACAGCTTTGCACGCAAGATCGCTGAGCCTCCGGTAGCTGTCGCTTCAACTCCTGATGTTCCGGCATTGTCGCAGAAGGACGTCAAGAAGGCCCCGATACCTCAACCTCTACCGAAGTCCAAATCACAGCCAGCCGTTGCCATTCCTGGGCCCAGCTCGAGCAAGGCTGGATCGGAAGAGTCCGAGACAACTAATAGCGGAGCTGTTCAGACAGAGCTGCAAGCTACTCCGGACGCTCCCTCCGCACTCTCGACCAGCTTCACCACGGCGCCCAACGTTCAAGTTGTGAAGGACACAGAGCCGCAGCCAAGCCAGGCAAAGAAGATTCCAAAGGCCAAGGGTGCTGCTGAGACCGAGTCTCTCAGCATCTTTGGCAAGAAGGCCAAGGCCAAGGCGAAGAAGCCAGTCAAGACCTCAAAGAGTCAAACGTCAAAGCCTACGGCGGAAGAGAAGACGCGTAAGGTATCAAACACTGCGCCCACACCTGTGCAGCCAGTCAATACTACGGAACCATTGGAGGAGACACCTGATGAACCAAAGCCTCAGACCACAGAAGACTCTGAAGTGGCGCTGCCACAGAAGCCAGAAGGATCTTTCTTGACGAATGATGATGCTCCGAAAGGGAGAAACATTTTCGGCAGAGTGACTGATTTTTTATCTTTGGGCTCGCAGTCGGGATCGTCTTTTCAGGAATCGTCACCAAAGCAGGATGGGTCTGAAGATCAGCAGCTCAGCGTCAAGGCCGCTTCCACCACTGACCAACAGGCTACAGAGCTTGGTCAAACCACTGATCCTGCTGGTCATGGCCATGCCCATCAGAACGAGCCGGCGTCGGCCAGTAAGGATACAGCAGTCGACGGATCTCAGCTCAAGCCAGAGCCAAGCAAGACCGCAAAGAGCAAGAAGAGCAAGAGCAATAAGAAGAAGAAAGGCAAGGTCACGATTGATTCGAACGACACAGTTCCAACGAAGACCAAAGCAACCGAAGCAGGATTGGTGCCAAAGAAGGAGGCTGACAAGGCCGAAATTGTCGAGATGTGCCACCCAGCTTCATGCACTGAGACTAAGAGCCCGATCTACCAGTTTCGGGGCAGTCAGGCCTTGAACGGAGAGCATGAGCAGGCATCGCAATCATCGGAGCAGTCGTCATCATCGCCTTTGCACTCGCCAGCGAGAAAGAGCCAACACTTGTTGACTACAGAGTCAAAGCCTCCCATTCGGCAGCATAAGCGCATTCGCAGCGGCAGGAGCTCTGATGGTTCAAACAGTAGTGATGAGAAGGCTTTGGTGACGCGGAAGGCGAGCGGTTCAGAACAGAACAAGGTAAGTCCATTTGCGTCTCAGAAGCGATTTCTTGCGATGTCGAGCGTTTCGAATAACCATGAATTTAGGTGCCCAATCAACCTTTGCTCTTGTTACTGCTCAACAATACTGACTCGGGTGAACAGGATCGAGACGCTGTGCAACAGTCTCTCGGTGCGCGTTTCCCGACTGATCAGGAGTCGCTGGGTCTTGGAATCACGGACCAGAGTAAAGCCTTAGAGTGGAATCAGGAGATGCCATACGTGTCTGCGCCTCAGAAGCGCATGGTCTCGAACCATGCTACGAATGATGAGCCGTCGATTTCCGATGAGGTGAAGCGTGCGATTGAGCGGGGGAAGGAGATGGCTGCCAAGGAGCAGCGCATCAAGAAGGAGAAGCCAGAAGGTGGCAAGGCAAACGTGAAGTAGTATTACGGCGGCGCTTGGCGTATACCGGCGTTTGGGAGAAGTTGCAAACGGGTCATCAGTTCGGGTGACCACGTTTGAAGGCGGGCGAACGTGAGTTGCCCTGGCCATCTGCCCTGACTCCAAGAAATCGAATAGAATGGCGCATAGCATGGGTCAAGTGGAATGTGGATTTTCATGCGATGGAAAACTCTCAATTGCATTGCACAAAAGCTAACAACAGCTATCCACGGCGCCTGGTAGAAGGCGAGTTTCTGGGCTTTTCTGATCCACTGGCCTTGATTGCACCTGTAGCTTGAGAAATGGCAGCTTTGCCTTTTGGCTCCAGCTTGGTCTGGGTTGTGGCCTTGCTACTTGATGAGTTCCAGTAGTAGACCATCTGAAGAGCCAGCACAAGATTGAGCGAGAAACCGGCTAAGAAACCGTACAAAATGAGTTTATCGTCCACCTCTTGGAGAGTCGTGAATACACGAGCGAGCGAGCCTGCGAGGTAATTGAAGACCTGGACCCAAAAATTCGCGTCAGTAAACGTACACACAAACAAAAATCTCCTTGCTCGTACGCATGTATATGGTAAACAAACTCACCGCAAAAGCACTCAACTGTCCCGTCCCGCCCTCCATCGCAATCGTCACAATCTGAGGCAATTTACTCGCAACCCCCAAAATTCCCGCCCCAGCCTGAAAATACGCCAACATCTTCCCATCCACCACCTGTTCATTCAACAATCCATATCCCGCCGCGACTAATCCTGCAACAAACACGCCTGCCCCAGCTCCTTTCCCAGAGTACTGCAACACCAGCACAGAAATCGCAACATTCTGAATCGCGATCAATGCGATTTCTCCGTACGTGCTGAACGGGAATTCGTTGCGGATGTTGTAGACCAGCGTGATGAGGTAGGACGACGTCTCTAACAAGTAGGAAAGGAAAGAGATCCCTTCGGCGGATTGCGAGTTGAGGAGTTTGAGGAGTTGGGGGATTTTCACGATGGATGAGGCGGCGATTATTGCGATTCCGAGGGCTTTGGAGATGGCGAGTTTGAGGCAGACTGTGTCGGTGATTGTGAGGTTGTGGATTAGAGAGCGGGAGCAGGAGTCGCCGAGGAGTTGGGTTGCGAGGTTTGTTATGGGCGTGGGCAGGTTTTGGGTTATGGGGGTGAGGAATTGGCGGAGGGTGCTTTCGAGGGATTCCATTTTCGGTGAGGACGGGAGGATGAGGGAGAGGTCTGTGGAGTGGTGGTGTTGTTGTGGTTGTGGTTGTGACTTGGTAACGCGAGAGGAGTCTATGTAAGACTCGAGAGAGCTGGAATAGAGCTCGGGACAGGGGTTGATCCGAGACCGAAAGCTTCGTGGCTGCCCCCATTTCCTCTCAAAATTCACGTGAGTCTTGCATTCCTTCTCTGACAGAGATTGATATATGCTGCTCACTCACACAAGATTTGCGAAGCCACTTTGCAGCACCTTGCGCCCAGCAAGCTTGTTTGCACAAGCAAGAGCCCCTGCAACATCCGCCTTCTCAGAAGTTGTGAGCTGGAACAGCATTCCAGCGATGAAGGTATCGCCCGCCCCTACCGTATCCACCACCTGCTTCTCCTTGTCCACGAAAGCAGGTTCATGGTGATACATTCCATCACTGGGTCTGATAATTGCCGCACCATCACCTCCCCATGTACAGCATAGAAGCCGTGCTTCCTTGAACCGCTCTGCTTGGGCCTGGAGAAAGGACGCAACGTCGGTATATCCGCCTGCCTGGGCCCAGGTTTTCGAGAAAAACACCACATCAGCCTCAGATGCCATCGCATCCAATCCGGGCCGAGCTGGCTTTTCCGCCTCGGCACTGGTGAGCACATCTGGGTAGGTCTCCTTGAGCCAACGCATGCAACTCACTGAAGTCTCTGGTATCCTGCCTTCGAAATGATACCATGACCTCTCGTTCTTAGCCTTCGTCCGCTGCTTGACCAGATCCTGGAACTCTCCAAGGCTCATCTCGGCCAGGTCGTTATAATTCACGATTGTCCGAGAGCCGCTTTCGATGCTCCTAATGATGAAGCTGCTTGCTGCTTCAGAGCTAGTTTCTCTACACAGTGACAAGGAAAGATCCACGTTTGGTGCGAAAGATTCTCTGATGAATTTGGTTGCTGCCGAGTCTGTTTTCGGCAGGGGACAGATGAGGCTGAGGTCTATGGATCGGCCATTGGGTATAGAGAGCTGCTGCAGTACTTCGAGGCTATTCGCAGCATTACCGCCCCTTCGTTTCTCCAGCGAGTTTGCACGAAGCTTGTCGTCCTCCGCGGGGTATTTGGAGACACTGATCATCTAGGTCAGTCGCATATCTGTATGCTTTCATCAATACCGTGCGGTACCTTAGTATTGTGTCAATGTAGCAGGCTCCAACCAGATTCAGACTTGTCACGGGTGGAGAGATATCCATGTCTGTCTGTCTCTTGCGGGGCACTGCCCGTCATCAGGAACCCAACTGTATTGCCACCTCTTTGATCAACAACATGAGGGCCGTCTTCGCGATGACGTCAGGGGAAATCGATGCTCAGATTGCCTGCAGAAAGCTTTGAGATTTTTTACCTTGTGAGCAAAAGTAGTGGTCCGGAAACTTGGATTGGGAACTTGACTCTCCACAACGATGTGATAAGCTACACAGAGATGCATGCATGCAAGCGAGACAAAACGAGGAAACCGGTGAAGGAGTCTAGACTATATAGCGCGGGATGACATGGGCTGGATTGTCATTGTTACTTGTGCGAATTCTCTCCAACTACGCCGAGAATCTTGGTTATATGGAAAGCATACTACTTCACAGTTTATACAATCTGGAGCATCTGGAATCCTCCTTCCCTGCTTCAGCTATCAGAATTATGAATACAGAGAAAGAGCACTCTCCTTCACAACTAGTATATTCGCGAATCAAGGCACTGTACATTGCTCGCTTCATGCTTTTTTTGAGATAAAGCTCTTGTATCTTCATATCACTCGGCACGGGGCGGGAAAAGCAAGTCTTGGTATCGCTGGGGTTCTCGTGTAGTGTAGCATTCGCTGAAAACTTCAGATACTACAAACAATCACACTAAGCGTATTGTTTCCAGCTTCGTTGCTCTCTGTTTGAAGGCATCCGCGGACATTCTAGGATCGTAATTGATTATCTCTCCCGTTTCGCTGTTCTCGAAATAGTCGACATGTATGGGGTCGTCGGCAGTAATCTGGATTTCTGAGCGGCGCCAGACACGGGGCAGAGGTCCTAGTCGGGGATCGTCCAGATATTCGTTGCCAGCAGCGTCAACGAAGCGTGCGCTCCATCTCCCTTCTTTCTGCCTGTAATGTACTGTCCAGCCTTCCGGTAAAGGGCCGAGGAGAGCCTCGCCGTCCATCACACCGTGAACGAAGGCCCAATCGAGAACGCGAAATTGCCGATCGCCACCTTCTGTCTTTCGAATCAAGAGCGGTGTGAAGAACCCGAGGAGCAGGCATATCTGATCTCCAGCTTGCATGTCGATCGGCCCGAATCCAATGTGTCCTGTATCTGTGGTGAAGAACTTTGTTCGCGTTATGGTGCCCTTCAATTTGGCGTCTTTGACCAGTAATTTCAATGACTCTTCATCATCAGGCGTCTGCGTGTTTTCAAGCAATGGCCGTGCAAGGTCTTTAAGCTGTGCCAGAGTCGGCCGATTGATGCGTTCTGGATGACGCTCTTGGGACAGATCTCTTGTCAAGCTCCTCAGCCAAGCATCCCACATTGGCTCTCCAGTCACGTACGTTCCCTCTGACAAATTATCTGGCCTGATCTGTCGCAACGTTGCAACAATGCTCTCGTCGTCACTTCCAGCCTTGTTGCTCACCGATTCCACAGTCATAATGATACGGCCTACAACGTCAAGGATGTTTGGGGGAGTGTGTTTGATGTATGCGCAGGACATTCCAGCCGCCAGGTAATAGTAGCCTGGAGTAGAGGCACCAGTTGGAAATGACCTCCAGTCAGTCACCCACGAGGGCCGTTCAATCTTGTCCAAAGATGAGATCAGAGTCAGCAGATCAAGTCGTCCGGTGAGCTGCATGTATTTGACACTAATATCCGTGAAGATTTCCAGTAGAGACAGTCCATAATCCGGACGCATCTGCTCCAGTAATTTTGGTCCCAAAAAGGACGAAACGCCATATACTTTATCCTGAGGATCACTGCAAGTATGTCGACGGGACAGTGCCACTACCTCTCTCAAGAACCACCCTAGTTTACCGTATGCAATGATTCTCTTCATGTATACCGACTCCTTGACGGAAGCAGGAACGCCTGGTCTGCCATCGAGGGCAACTATAGCACGTCGAAGACAATACCACGAGATCGAGTCAACTCCGCAGTACAACATTGCACTTTGATTTGCCAACCCAATTTCTTGGAGGACCCACAGTCGTCTGAACCAGCTCCGAGAGAAAAGGTCTTCAATGGCAGTCCACTGCAATTGGCTATAGGGCAGCGCTTTCGAGCGATCCCACCAATGTGGCTCCTGTGCTTCAGTAGATCGGTAGATCCATCCGTCTTCTGAACTTTCTACTTGCTGGCCTAGGTATTGCAAGGTTCCCAATGCAAGATTACTGTTCTCGGTGGAAAGTCCAAGCCATGAAATTACCCTCCATGCCAATGCATAGATATGTCGCATGCGCAGAACCTGTCGACTTCGCTCCTCAATATTGCCCTGATCGATGCAAATCCCATCGACCCAGAGGGTTCGGCTCTCAGAATAATGCCTTAGATGTCGTAAAGCAGTATCAAGATTTGCAGTAATTTCCAGCCGGTATCGCGTCAAACCCGTCGGAGTGGCATGGAATACTTCAGCGGTTTGTCGTCTTGACTTGTCCCCCCATGCATAGGAAAGCGCTTCAAATGCTGGTTCGGTTCCGACAAAATGTGAGATCTCATGGTCTTGCGGCTCGCAGTACTTGATGACCTCTTCATCTTGTTCCAAAGCGGTATACCACCAACGGCCTTCAGGCGATTTAAAAGGTCCTCTGTGGCATTGGAAGCCTTCACGAAGCGCTGCGTGGACGTCTTTGTTGGTGTGTGACTTGGGAGGATCCCAGTCTTCTGTGATGACCAGGGGTACGTGTTCGATCTGGAATCGAACGACATCGTAATAGTTACCGGGTAAGAGGTATATCAGTCGGATCTCATTGGCTCGCAGAGCTTTGTAGGTGTACTCCGGAAGCTCATTTGACGAAGCAGACGAGCTTCGGGCCGGACGGTTATCTGCTGAAAACAAACGGCCGAAGCTTTGTCGCAGTCGATTCATCCTTCTTGCGAACTTTCGACCCTTTTTCCGGCTCGAATTGGGCGGAGAGACTGGTTGATGTGTAGCATGTGAAGACGAGCGCGACAAATTGCGTGCAGCTGTGCCAAGTTAGCGATGAGAGAACGACGGAGGTGCGATGAGTAGCAGGACGCGAGGCTGATGGGAAGTAGATGTATAGCACTGCCTTGGAGCCTGACGAAGGCAACTACAGAGCTGCACACCTCCGTCATATGGGTGTGGCTCAAGATGAGGGTGGAATGGCGGCCAGGACATACATGTACCGTCGAGGCTGCGCAAGCCATGCTGTGAAGAAGGATGCATCGCCCTGGTTTAGCGCGCTCTACTGTACCATCGACAGACCCGTCACCCGCGTGTCTTCCTGCTGTGATGCGCCTTCCGACCCGACCATTCCAGGTCTGCGAGAGATGCCTCGAGGGGAAGGCTGAGCTCAGTGAAGCAGTCTAGATTCCAGCCCTCAAACCTTATGCATGCTATGCGTTGAGGCACGGCCACCAAGCACGAAGCGCGCGCGCGCGTAAAGCCGTGCAGACAACTGGTGGCGCAGGTACATGCAATGTTCAAATCGCATCTGACGGCGACGGCGACGGCGCGGCGGCGTACTGTGCTGTCGAAGTGGGAGGAAGTGAAGTTCGATGAAGGTGGCATGGGCGGGTGTTGCAACAGGAGTGCCAAGCCCCGCGCCAAGAGATTCCGGCCAGTATTTATGGCACCGAGCCTGCGCCATCTTTGCGTGCCCTGCCCTATCTCCACTTAGACCAGTAACAAAGGGTTGTTAGTATAGCTACGTATCTATAACAACTCCGCCACTATAAGCTACTATAGCTAAAATAAGCTCCCGCACATACTATATAATACCCTTTGTTACTAGTCTAATCCGTTTATATCGGGATTTAGTAAGCGTATATAAATAAAGCGTCCTAAATTTTTTTTTCGAAGAAAGAATACGTAGTACCTAGACCGAAATTTGAAAATCCGCTACGGTAGCGACCTAGATAAATACTTTATATATACTAATTACTGTTTTTTATTCCTTAAACGATAGCCCTAGTTTAGGAAAATCGAATATAATCTAAAAACTAAATACGCTCGGCTATATAGAAGGCTACTCCGTACCGCAACGATAAGAATACATACTATTTAGACTATAATTCGAAAAAGTACTACTAGTTAGGCCTAGATAATTATATTATCTAGGACTACTACTATATATTATATATTAATTTGTATTCCTCGACGAGTACTTCCTTAGGAGGGGAAATCTATATAGATAGCCAAAATGCGATAGAAACGGCCTAGACTAGCGATAGGATCTCTGTATCTAAAGGCTAATAAGCTTACTCTACCACACCTTAGCTATATACTATACCACACACCGTGACACATATACCAAAATACTACCTACCTATACACCCTCAAATAATCCTATCTTTGGTCTGGTCTCGAGATAGTGCACTGCCTGGCAGCGACTCAACCGTGCACATGTACCACGCTTGAGAATGGCGCCAACATCACGCATTTTTCTCACCCGCCATGCTCAGGCCGAGAGCAACGTCGACCTCGACTACAGCAGTATGTCTGCTGAGCACCTCCAATCCATCCGCATACAACACTAATCGACACCAGTCCCCGATGCCCCTTTGACGGCCTTAGGCAAGAAGCAGGCCGCTTCTCTCGCCCTTCAGATCCCCAAGCTTCAAGAAGAAATCGACCTTGTGCTTTCCTCGCCTCTCAAACGTACATTGCAAACCACAAAATTAGCCTGGGCCCCGGCGATCCAGCGTCTAGGTGGGCTATCCAAAGTCCTCTGCCTGCCCCAAGCGCAAGAATGCAACGGATGGCCCTGCGACACTGGCTCTTCCAAAGACACTTTACTAGCAGATCCAGAATTCGCAGAATTCGACCTCTCCCTCCTGACGCCGGACTGGACCTCCAAGCAAGGCTTCTATGCGATCGACATCGTGAGTCTTCATAAACGTGCACAATGGGTCCGGCAGTTCTTGAGAGATCGACCAGAGAAGAATATCGTTCTGGTCGCGCACGGTGATTTTCTGAGAACCATCACGAGAGAAGCAGACCGTTTCTCGACTTATCCTTGGAAGAATGCCGAGTGCAAGGTCTTCTCTTTTGACCCTGGATGGGTGGAGGAAGATGAATGCTATCTTCGCGAAGAGAAGACAGTAGCCGCTTCCGGCGGTTATGCGCCGACCAGCACTGAGGCAGATCTGTGGCCAGTCGCTCAATAGGCATGTCTGCTCAGAACATGTCTGTGCTAGATGCGCAAAGCAAACGCCAATTGTCGTGAAAGTGGCATGAAAGCCGCTTCGAGCCAAACGTCCATGCATCGAGCGACTTAGAAGATAGAAGAGTCTATAAAAGAGATAGATATGCGTAGAGGGCCGTGACAGGATTAATGCATTGTCACGAAAGGCCTTTCATGGTCATGCTTCGTGGAGACCAGTATTAAACACCATGTCCTACAGTTTGAAACCTGACATGCTCTCCTACCACGATCGATCCAGTGATCATTCAATGCTTCCAACAAGCGGAAAAATTGCGTCAATCATCAGTCGTCAGGTCCACGAATATTTGCGCTTGATCCGCGTTCAACTTGTCCTTCTTGCTGCCTCTGATACGCCTGGTAGGCTTTTTGACGCCTTTCCCACATTTGACCGGGCTTCTTGAGTTTCCTGAGGTTGACTGCAGAGGTTTTCGAGAGATCTGCGATCGGCTTGGCGAGTATGCGATCTTCTTCATGGGACTGCCTCCTTGCTTCGAAGGACTTCCTCGTTTTGCCGGGCTGGCCTGGCTGGGCGAAGTCTTGATAGTCTTCCTTGGGCTCGGACTCTGCTTCTCAGCAATGTGCTCTGCATCTTGTGTGCTGAAGTTAAAACGGTGGGTACCGTCGGCGTTTGTTGGCAGGTCAAAAGTCCAGTGTCTGTCGTCCATCATACTTAGCATCTTCTCCAGCAGCTCATTGTGTTTCAAAGTCTCCCGATTTCCAAACACGACAAGCTTACTTCTCCCTCTCGTGAGTGCGACGTTGACGCGTCTCCAGTCTTTTAGCAAATCGCCTACAATGCGAACTGCATTGCTCCGCACCATGGATATAATAATGCATTCCTTGTCGCGTCCTTGGAAACGATCGGCGGAATCTATCTCGACGCTGTCCGGGATGTTTGCTCGGCGGAACAGTTGCCGCATGAGAGCTAGTTGTGAACGGTATAAGGTAATGACACCAATTTCAGATCCAGGAACGCCGCGTGCGATGAGAGCGAGGACGGACTGTGCCACAAGTGTCGCTTCGAGATTGTTTGTTATTTTGCCCCCGCCACTGAGAGTCTCAAGAGCGCTCGTCCCGAGCTGGCTTGTGTTGGCAAAGAGGACTCTCTGATTCGGCTCAGTAACGCGATTGAGCCAGCATGTAGACGGCATGGTATAGCACGGCGCATGCTCATCGTGGAGCCTGTTTAGTGCGCCTACGTCATCTGCTTGAAGTATGCGAGATGCCACAGCCTCGTTGCCACAGCGCAGCTTGCCATGATAGATGAGCTCATTTGACAAGGTCATGATGTCTTCGCACATCCTGTACTGACGCCCGAGATCTACCACGGCGTCTGGCTGTGCTTCGCTGAGCTGGCGAAACAAGCTGACGTCGAGCCCTCCCTCAAGAGCGGCTTTGTTCTGTACCAATGGCGGAAGCTGGTAGTGATCACCAACCAATACGAACTTTCTCGCATGCAGCAGTGGTCCGAGTATAGTCGGCAGTGTAATTTGCGATGCTTCGTCCACGATGCAGACATCGAAGGAGCGCCGGTTGAAGAGCGCATGGTTGGTACCCATGCACGTTGTGGCAACGATGCTCGTGCCCATAAAGGCGTCGTCAACCTCTTCGATTGTGCTTCTTGGCTTCGCTGCAAGCTGTACGAACTCCTGGACCTGAGTATTAATCTTGGCCGGAACTCCCAATCGCAGCACGCTGTTTTCTGGCACAAGATCCTTGATCTTGAGGAGAATGTTGTCGACTGCCGTGTGGGTGAAGGAGGTCAGGAGTATCGACTTGTTCTCAGCGAGAAGAGCACGGATAATATGTGCTATCGTTGTTGTCTTCCCGGTACCTGGCATTCCTAGGATCAGCGCATAGTCGTCAGCGGCAAGAACCTTTTCCACTGCATGCTGCTGATCGTCGTTCATGGTGCCGAGTTGGGTCGGGTTTGCTGACTCATTTCGGCATGCGGGCGATGGCGTGAAGGTGGGCCTCATGTCAAAGATGATCTGTTCACGGAGCTTTTCGTGGATTGGATGCGCACTCATCAATCGCACAAGATTGTTCCGCACCAGCGCCAATCCGTTGGAGAACTCGTCCTTGTCCAGACGATAGCGCATCTGCTGCTGGTTGTCGTCTCTGCGAGCCTGATCTTTGCTTAAGCCTCGGAAAGCTTGGTTGTTCTTGCCGTCAAAGTCAGCCTCTCGCATCCTGGCATTCCCGAGCTTGCGGTCGACGGCCACACTGATCTTGGCCGGAGAAACTTTCGTCACGTATCCGTTGGCGAGTGCCCACTGGCCCTCCTCGGATGAGACAACCACAGGCTCGCCAACAGTCAGCTGACTGCCTTCCGTGAAGCTCCCACCCGAGGAACCGGGCGCACGTTTGAAGGAGTAGGCGTAGCGGTTGATCTTGCCGCCTGAGCCTTCAATGTCGTCCACAGCAGCTTGACTGGCGACTTTGGAGTGTGGAAGGTCTTCTTTGATAATCAAATTGCCAAAGCAGCGACCAGCACTTTCCCGCTCGAAGGACGTCATAGTCCAGAGCTCTTTCCTCAGTCTGCTTTGGTCGCGTTCCTCGAAGGTCAGAAGCTTGTCCCACCTCGCGAACCATTTCTTGAGCGTCGTCGCTCTCTCAAGAGAATTACCGGTCTTGCTCTCGAGTTCAAGGTGTCCAGTCGCTTCTTTCCATATCATACTGTGCGTTTTCTTGTTGTCGTCGATCATCCCAGCAGATTCGAATGTGCCGTTCTCCACCAATGCATGGTATGAGAAGCAAGACTCTTGAGCATAGCATCTACCACATTTGAAGGGATTGCGTAGAAGAGCGGGCAATCCTGATTCTTCCATTGGCTGAGACGCCGCTGGAAGGCTGGTGAGATGTCCTGCGGCATTTGCTTCTGGCGGATTCCTCGCGCGGAAGATGTACGAAGCAAGTCGATTGCGCTGCTGCACCATTTGTTTGACCTCGTTGAACGGTGGTGCAATGCGTGACATCGACGAAGACTCAAGGTAGTACAGGATACCTGCCCCAACTTCAACATCGTACCGATCCGATAGGAGCAGCGTATACAAAGCTGTCTGAGCTCGATGTGATGCCGATTGTGTGGTCCGTCCAGTCTTGACCTCGAAAGGCACAATGAGATTCCTAAGATCCGGTGCTCCTGGACGACTGGTCGTAGTCGCTTGCACAGTCGCATCGATGTTGCCTTTAAGCCCATATCGAGGACTCCAGACGTGTTCTTCTATCGCGATGAGCTTGCTGATACTCATGAGTACCTTCCCACCCTGCCGATCGTCGACTGTGCTGTCTGCAGCTGGCTCGGATTTGACAAAAACTCTTGACCATGCTTCCAGTTCACCCATTTTGGCTTTGACTTCTTCAATTGCAAGAACATTGTCACGCATACCCAGTTCCCAAAGCCCTTCGACATGAGCTTGCACTGTCCTTTCGACCATTTCGTTCAGGAATTTCTGATCCCATCTGTCGGCAGAGAGACATTGCTGAAAAATCTCGTGAAGAATTTTGCCATATACCATGGACTTGTTAGTCTCACCCGTTGCCTTTATGCGGTCCTGAAGAACAGCCTTCCGCACGCAGTCAAAAGAATCGGCGACAGTGGTTGCAGATAGCATATGGTCGGGATGCACAATCAGGAAGTTGCTTTGCTCGGTGTCATCGATGAATGTCTCTCCAGAGGGCGGAGAGCTCGCGACCGGCGTGCTATTGCTGTGGCGTCTCAGTTTGGCGATGTTGACGATGTTCCCTTTTGAGACGGCAGTGTCAAGCCAGGAGTCGCGCAAAATAATCACTTCGCTCGCCCGAGTCCGTTCGTCTTCAATTCTAAGAACCTTTTGTTCACATTGACGGCCCTTGCTATTGGTGTATGATCCTGTTCGCACGTCTATAACCATATACCGCCGGATTCGAGAGGCTGCATTTGCGTTCTGATTTTCGAGGCTTGATTGCGTCGGTCGTGATTTGCGCAAACTCTTTCGAGGGCTATGCTTGCGCGGAGATCTCTACACATATGCATGAGCTATCTACTCCAATATATACTCATCTCTTGGGACGGTGACTGACCCTTAATGCTTGCGTTGCACTCAACTCTGCTTGCGCGAACGAATCTTCATCAATCTCGTCACCACCAAACTCATCGTCGTCGTCCTCGATAAGAATGGTAGGATGCTGTTCTGCCGATTTGCTTGGAGCGCCTGTGTCGATGAACTGAGACTGTGGCGGCGGGTTAGGATGCGAAGGAATGTCGTGCAATGACCTCTCATGAAGCGGGATCTGAGAGCATAATTCATCCAGATCATCAGCGGTCAGGTCAAATTCATCATCCTCGAACTCGTCTTGCCCGTTCTTGGCGGCTGCCGACACAGGTTCTTCCCGTACTTGCGGGACTTTGGGCTGACTTGGAGCCTTTGTCACTGATGGCCGCTTGTACGCTGGCAGGGGCGCTTTGCTCTGAAGTGTGTACGTTGGAGCTGCACCTGGGTTCAGAGGATCTCCGACCGCTTTCGAGGGCTCGTACCTGACGCCGCCAGATTGTGTTCGCTGCATCTGCGGCCTTTCTTTCGACTGCGTATGATCGAAGAGTATTGCGGGCGGCCTGGAGGCTTGTGCTGGCACAGCTGGTCGCCTTGTCTGCAACGGACTTGTGTTTGCAGTTCTCGGCCCTGAGTTTGCTCCAGAGTTAGGCAGAGGACTCGAGCTGGAAGGAGCTTCGGTACCAGACATTGCTGTTGGTGTATCTTTGTGCGTTTGCTCAAGCCTTTGAGATGCCAACGTCTCTTGCATCTTCTGCACCATAGTAGCGACCTTACTTTTGCCACCGGATCCAATGGCAGTCTGATCTTGCCAAATGGCAATGCTTGCTCGACTATTGGTACATCGCCGCTTGTTCTTGCTGGTCGGCCAGTCATTTCCAGTGCTTGCCCATCTTCTCAGCTTTCCGTCTTTGAGGGGCGTCTCTAGTGGTCTCGGCGAAGCCTGGAAGATGAGGCTGCTGATTTCCGGGAGCTTCAGAGTGTCCCCTGTCTGTCTGCCGTTTGCATACTTTTGCCACAAGTCTGCTGCGGGATCTGCAGCAGGGGTCTTGAAGGTCGAAGTAACGTCCTTTTGTGTAGAGTTCTGATTCGGTTGAGATGATGATCCTGGGCATGTAGGTGACGAGCTCTTAGCCCGTCGTCGCTTTCTTCTATTTGGTGTAAGGAGATCTGACGAGCTATTCGGTATCCAGCCAATCTGTTCTTGAGGCGACCGTTTCAAGGGTTCTTCTTCTTTGACCTCATCCACGTTTCCGATCAGCTCCTCGAGCGGCAGACGTGCACCCGGTGTGTATGTGAACGTGTTCGCGTGGGGTATCGATGGTATTTGACGAGTGCTTCCGCCCTCATGCTGTGCATTCTCTGCCGCTGTGTTGTCGCCCTTGCCATTCTCCGTGGCACTCGTCGTTTCCGAAGTCTTTGCAATTGCTTGCTCGCCTCCCGCTACGAAGTGGAAAGCCTGTAATTTCGACTTGGCCTCTGACGTTGCAGGAATTGCGGGCTTGACAGGTACATTGGTCGGAGTATCGTGCAATGGCTGTCGTCCATGGTGGTATCGATTCCATTGTCCTGGTCTGGGCTACTCCAACGTTAGCACGTAACTCGCCGCCGCAGCAAGTTCGGTGGCTTGCCTTCTTGGGTTCCTGGTCGAAGAAGCTCTTGGTGCGAGTCGCCATTGAGCCTCGCTATGGATGTGAGATGTGACCAGCACACTTTTTTATGGCATTTGACGCGTACGAGTACGAATATGCACCATTGCTGAGCTGTCGTTGAATGTTTTGGCGGGTCGAAGTGGGTGACGCGACAGGACGCGCGCTGTCGGAGCCGGCGAAACATTCGGCCGTTTCTTTCACAAGATAGCGTCAGACCTTAATAATCATCTACACAGGTACCTTCAGCCGCCTCTCGAACATGCACACATTCGAAGATTTCAACGAGCCATCATTGCACTGTTGGATATCACGTTCTGATTTGACATGGTCTTGTCTTCGCTACTTCCTCTCGAGGTTCGGATACACTAGCAGCGTAGAGATACATACAATGCTGCTAGTCAGCGCTGGCAAGTCCCTTCTCAAAGGGAATTGTGAAAAGTATGCATTTAGACACCCGCTTGAACGCTGCAATAACCAAAAAGCACACTTCCTCTCCTGCGTTGCATCAACAGCACGCATTTGTCTTTCCCTCGTCTCATTCGAGACCCATGCCGCTTCCCATAATTTCCCAGGCTGCAGACTTGGGCTGCAAGTCCTCGGACACTTGTCACTCGAATGCCCCCAAATCTAGCGGCACTGAACTGCCTCGTCCAGCTCTGTATCTCTTCGGTCCACCAATGAATTCTCGTGGCTTAGGCAATTGGTCGTCGCTCTGGAACTTGAACCTGCTATCCTGAATGGCCGCTCTCGGGCCTGCACTCCGAGCGCCGGAATCCGCTCGATCACGGGTACCATTTGTCAACGTGTAGGCTGAGGGGTCCATGGTGTTCATCCTTGGTGCGGCCCCAGGAGTTCCTATGCTAATGCCACCGGCTGTCGGAATTCCGCCTGGCGTGCTCGCTTTCGGTGGCGGAGGAGCTGGCGCGGGAGGAGGAGGTGCCGAAGGTACTGAATTGTTCCGCGCTCGCGTCGTAGGCGGAGGAGGGGGAGCATGCTGAGCAGGTCGACTGGGAGCGGGCGATGCTGTTCGATTCGCGCCAAAAGCATTGCGTGCTGCTTGTTCTGCTAAGCTCGTTTCTCTGTGTCCATTCGCTTGGGGAGGTGGTGGCGGAGGTGCAGGAGGCACAGATCGTCCGCTGTTGTAATTATATGGGTCGTACTCATTGTCATTCTCCACCACGCTCGCAATCCTTGATGCTGGAGCTGGAGGCGGTGGAGGCGCTGGCGGAGCACTGGGAGGCGAAGGCGTAGGTCTACTTATAGGTGCGGGCGGAGGTCTGGGAGCACTTCCTGGCATAGGTGGAGGAGGAGGAGGTGCTGTTGAAGGTGCTGGACTTGATGACGGCCGCGAAGAGTCTGTCGTCGGTAGATTCAACATCGATACGGACCCCATTGCCAGACCTGATGGTTTCCGCGAAGCAGGAGGTGGGATCGGGGGCTTTTTGCCTATTGGAGGTGGAGGCTTCGGTTTACTTTGCGCAATGTCTGGTAATGAATGTGTGCTCATCGGACGCAGATTATTCTTCAATGCAGCCACAGAGGGTATCGTGGGTGCTGCTCCTCGAGGCAAAGGAGGAGGCGCAGCACCAGGCCTAGGAGGCGGTTGTCCATTTGGTTTCGGTGTTGCTGGCGCTTGTGCTGCAGGAGGACTCTTTTTCGAATTCGTTTCTGGGTCCGAGTCGTATATGTTCACGCCACCACCTCTGCTCTTCAACTTGGGCATTCCTCCCGCGAACAACCCTCCTAATTGAGGTGCACTCTCCATAGCTGCTCCCGCTCCTGGATTTGATGTCTGGTCGCTATTGCTTCTCGCTCTGTTTGCGCCCGGAGGCGCAGGCGGTCGTAGGCCTCCAGGTATGGGCGGCGCACCGCCCACAGGTGGTCCGCCCGAGTCTTTGGGCTTGTCGATTATGGGTGCGGACCTGTCGTTAACAACTCCCACCTTCTTGAGTCGCGTGCCCTTTTCAATGTCTCCCAGTAGAGCTCCCTGCGCCAAGCCGCGTCAGCTAATCTCCAGCACGTCCACTTTCACACAGTTCTAGTCCTCGCTTTCACACGTACTCTGCCTTTCACTTCCGCTTTAGAAGGTCTTGCCGGGGTATTCGATGGAGCTGGGCCTGGTGGAGGGGGCGGCGGAGGAGGACCTTTGTGCCTGTTAGCAAACATTCTCAAGGACCACGAGAAAGCTGTGAAACGTACCTCCGGCCATGCCAGCAGGCATCGGGGGCGGCGGCGGAGGAGGCGGCGGTGGTGGTGCAGGCATGGTGAGAGGTTGTCGTTGCGCTGCTTGCTCTATGCGCTCAGCCTGCAGCTCGATTCTAGAGATTGCCGGGGAGAACAGTTTGCGAGCACATGTGAAGCGCTTGTGAACAAGTAAATGCCAGCAGGCGACAGAATAAAGAAAGGCTGCCGAGAGTGTGGTGGCAGAGATGCAGTCGGAGGCACTCACAGGTGCCTGACCTGAGGCGATCCAAATGTCTTGGCCCGGCGAGCGAGCGATGATGCAGCGCGCAAGAGTCAGCGCGAGTTCATTACTCCATCGCAGCGGACAAACACCAGGCAGACGAGATATAATGCATCCCAGGACGAGGCTCACAGTTTGCTCGGACTGCCTGTCTCTATTGCGAAGACCTCGAACGTCGCATATCAGACTCCCGGCTCAGTCGCCATGGAATTACTGTAGCTTTGGCACAGCTTCGTGCCAACCACGAGCCCATCGAAGCACGAGAGCGCAAAATGCTGGCATACGGCAAATCAGACATCTCGCCGCCCAGGCTGCACAGCAACAACAGCCGCCCGCGCCATATCAGGCGGCCGATCTGACTTCGATCCATAATCGCGTGCAGGAGCTGGCCAGGTCAGTGCTGAAGCCTGACGATGGAAAGATTCCAGCCGAAGAGCGAATCCTCTACGTACTGGAGCAGCTCGAATATCTGGCCAAGCTTATATTGGACGAACGAGTGGCATCGGAGCCAAGCACAAGCACTCGACAAAAGCCCATTTCCCGTACGCAACAGAAAGCGAGTGCGACTTCAGCACTGCTAGGTAGTGTCAACGCAAGGGCATACCCAGTCTCAATCACTCGCGCCTCTATCCTGAGCTCCATTTCTGAGAAGGCAGAAGAGATCGTTCGTCATCCAGACGTCTTTATCTCCCCGGGAGTGCTGAAAGCGTATGTCAGTCTTCAGAGCTTACTGCATCAGCCATCCTCATTTCCAGACGTCTTCGATCTCTATGCGCGAAAGGCAATACCGATTCAAAAAGGAAATACCATCACATATTCGTCAGCATCACCGGATCAGATCAAGTCTGCCGTGCCAGGCGAAACCGCAAAAGCGGCATTGCATGCTGCCATTGAAGCCCATGACTTGCCTCTGGCAGTGGACATCATCTCCACCACGTACTGTACGCCAGCTTTCAAAAAAGCCAAGACATTCAGACAAGCAGCATTTCCAATTGTCGGACTAGGAGTTGCTCCACTTGCTGCATTGACTTTGAGCACCACATTCGCAAATCTGCAGCAGACAATGGACACTAGCATGGCTACCGGGATCGCCTTTGCTGGAACTATGACCTACGTCGGAGCCGTTGCAATGGTCGGTTACGTCGCGGTGACCACGGCAAATGACCAGATGGACCGAGTCGTGTGGGCCTCCGGCGTGCCGCTATGGGAGCGTTGGGTTCGAGAAGACGAAAGAGCAGCTATCGACAGAGTAGCAGGAGCCTGGGGTTTCAAAGAGGTTGACAAGAGAGGCGAAGAGGAAGGTGAAGACTGGGAGGCTTTGCGTGAATGGATTGGCTCGAGAGGCATGGTTTTGGACAAGGTCAGCTTGATGGAAGGCATGGAATGAAGACATACCCAAACGTCGTTCCATTCTGGCTTCCAGAGACACGAGGCATCTCCCACTTGATCGCTGAATCGCAGGACTTCTGCACCGCGTCTTGTCGAGTGGTACAGAGACGAAATAGGACTATGAAACTCAGACCAGAAGTTTGCTACTGTGTGACACGAAGCATGGTCGTCGCAGTGTTGCATGATCATGCCTACGCGGCTGACATTTTCATGCTGTGCGCAGGAGAGCGCGGCGTGCGCTTCATCAAGCTGGTGGGATGAATTATAGTCTCCGTGACTTTCCGCTCGCGGTACTGCGGTCGATGACACTGGTCGAATCCCCTCTTATACCAGTGCCTGAGATGCTATGGCACGTGCACTCAGCAGCGAAATCCTCAGCCACGACGGCGACGCAGTCGATACAGAATCACCGAGGCAGAAGAAAAGGTGTATGCTATCAAAACTGGACGTCACTGTGTTGTTTGGCATGCCACTCCTTGGTGCAGCATTGGCTGGCATAGTCTCCTTTCCACTCAAGGCACCACACAAGACAAGTGAGGCCACTCGCGATCAGCTCTTCACCTGCGATGCGAATGGTAACGTCTACTGGACAACAAGGCCCCCTGGTTTATTCGACACTCGCTTCGCGTTCGCCATCAATCTGGGATTCGGAAGCTTCTCATACTCAATTGCCAAGTCCTTGGACTTGGCATGGGATCTTGTCATTGGCCGCGTTGGACAAGCTCTATTCATCAGCCTTACCTACATCACCTTCAAAAGAGCGCTTACCACATCTCGAAGAGCTTATGAAATGTCATACGAAAAGTTCCTGGCTCTCACGTACGCGCCAGGCAGTTTCATGGCATTCTTGGCATACCTCGATGACTCTGTACGGCACTGTGGCTCATTAAGACACTTTATGGTCGCTCTGGCAATTGTGTATTGCACTGTGTACGTGCTAATCTTTCCCACCTTTGTGTCGGCCATGACTGGATATCAAGCGGAGCTCAAGCCTTTTGAGAACGAGACCAAGATAGCGATGAACACTACCCCAATATGTGGCTATCTTGCTTACGACAGTCTTGACAATTTGGTCGACTGCGTGGAAGTGTCACAGAACAGGAGCGTCCTCACCGCAGTGGTTTGTAAGTACTCCGCTCTTATGCTCCCACCATCTCTGACTAACAACTTCACCGATAACATGTCCATATTCGGCCAACCACAAGAGGGTCCTGATGGCCAACAAATCAGACTTTCCAGCGCTTCTTTCAATCCTCCCAATGGCGAGATGTATTTCATTCTCGACGGCGCAAAACAGCCCACATCGCAGACCGAGATGTTAGATCATGGTCTCTGCCAACCAGCGGTCCAGGATCCAAACTATCAATGGGGCTTTTCTTCGCTACTGCTACTCATCTTCTTGGGCGTGACCTTCTTTATACTCTCAACGCTCTACTTTATCTGGATTGACACCTTGAGGCTTGGTTATGCAGACAACGTTGAAGATATTTTTGGTCCGTTACGAGCAGCTTTTAGTGTTTCGGAAGTCATTCGGCAAGAGGTCGGAGACAACGCTGCGCAAGCAACTGAGCATGACCTACAGCGAATTCTGAAGGAGAAGAGTGCCAGGCTTCGTATTGAGCCTCGGATGTTTGATGAGAACGCATTTCTTGGTGACCGAGCAATCACGATCCAGCTAAGCACTCCTGCACGATTGTTCGCAGGTCAAGGTTGGAAAATCAAAGCACGAGGCGCCTCAGCCCGTCATCGAATGTAACAACATCAGCGTGCGAAACCTGTTACAGGCACTGACTATAGAGGAAGGCTGCTTCACAAAGGACATAAGCTCTTTAACAAAAATTAAAATGCCATTCAGTCGATGATACGCTATTTCTGGCACAAAGACGATCCAGAGATCTGCTCTCCTTTCTTGCCCACCACCAATGCCAAGCCCTCCGTCCTCACAACATCTTCCTCCCAAAACCTCTCAGTAAACAACCTTTGCACCCACTCATCAGACACCCTCCACTGCTCCCTCCTCGGCAACTTCTCGGTAATAGCAAACGGTGTCCCCGCTTTCTCATACTTCTCCCAAACCTCGTGTGTCCCAACTCGCCTCACCACGAATCCAGGTGTCTCGGAAATCTGATAGCCGGCATCACCACCGAGCAAAAATTTCAACAGCGCGAACCCTAGCTCTGCGAAGGAGTCATCGTTGAAGAAGGGTTCTAAGTCGTTGGGATTGTGAATGAGGTGGAATGCGTGGGCGAATTCGTGAGTTAGTGTTAATGCCACGCGGAGGTAATGTTTTTGGAGTTCGCGGAGGGAATTTGTTGAGAGGGCTAGGGTTAGAGCTGAGAATGTTATTGCTATGATCACGAGAGTTGAACGAGTCCCGCGTAGAGTGAAAGTTACGCCGTCGCCGGTGAGTTCGATGTTGTTTTGAGAAGAGAGGATTGTGATGAAGTGTTGTGAGGTTTCTTTCAGGCGTTTGTGAATGCGTGTGGTTTGTTTGGAGGAGAGAGGATGGCTTTGAGGGAAAATCCGGAGCCGGGAGAGATTTTGGATGTCTTTGATCTTTTTTCGAGAATTGTATAGCAGGGTATACCAGAACTTTAGGGCTTGTGGACTGGTTATGAGCTTTTCGAAGAGGATGATGGCTGGCTTGAGGAGGTGGTATTCGGCATCTTCTAGGTTGATGAAGTGTGCGCGGGTAATAACGATGTTCTGGTGTGATGCAACCCATGCTTCGAGAAGTTCGGAGATCGATGTGCATGCATCAGGATTCAAGGCGTCAGGTCGATCGAATCTTCCAATCTCGCGAAGTGTGTTGATGGTCGCTTGCAGTCGCCTCTGATTCGGTTCCGGCACGCTTGGTCGTTCAGTAAGCTTCAGTCCGAATTTTGAGAGAAAAAAGTTGACCTTTGACATGGTGTATCACCCGATTCTAGAGAGCAGTGTTCCACTTGGCCGATGCTGGTCTTAGAAGTTAAAATTTCAGCAGGAATGCAAGATTGTCCATTAGAGAGATTAAGTAGATGACGAAGATGACATGGTGAATATGGAGTTCTGCTTCCGACGATGAGAAACACGTATTGTATACCTACTCGTAGCACGCCGAGCAAGATCAAGATCTGCTTTGCATCTGCCGGTCAGCTGAAGCATCAGCCATGATCATTCCACCGACTCTGGTCAAACATGCGCACCAGGGTTTCGCCCTCAATAACGGTGAGGACTTTGCTCCTCAGTTCCTCGATCACAGGCGTGTTGGTTGCAACAGCATGAAGTTCGTGAGTTGGTACAGTCCTTAGATTCAGACTTTCTCTGGATGTGCCCTTATGATCAAGCTGAAGCACGCCTCCGAGCACGAACTGTTCAAAGGCAAAGCCTAGTTCCTGAAATTCATCGTTTTCGAAGCGCAGCTCCAAGTCCGGCCCGATGACGGCATTCGAGAGGCAATGAGAACACTCGTGCACGACCGATACAGCGCCAATTGCCCATCGACGCAGCAAAGCTTCGGGGGGTAATTTTGCAAGGTCTATTTCAGTCAGCAAAGATGTTGGAAGTTCTATGATGCTTTTAGTTCCAGAGGAGTCTCGACGATACGATCCATTTGGTCTTGTTTGTGCGTCGTGACACGGCTTCTCCATGCGGGTGAAAATAATGGTCACCAACTCCGCCAGCTGAGTCAATATTCTTTCTACCCTAGCTTTCTCCTGAGGTGGAAGGGGTTGCGAGTGGTCGAGAAAGACTCTCTTGAACTGATCGCCGTTCATCTTGCCAAAAAGAAATGCATGGAAGAAATGCAATGCCAGTCTGCAGGTGAGGATTCGACTGGCGAGCCAAATGGTTGGTGCAAGATACACGTAGTCCACGTACGACATACCGAGCCAGCGGCATCGTGCGAATAGTGGATGTGGCAATGAGCTTGCTGTCTGATAGAGAATTCGACCGATTGCAGGCGATGAAGGTTTGATCAGCGCCAGCGCCGATTGAATGCCAATAATGCGCTCTTGCGTCTCTCCAGGAGACAGAGCGGGATCCATGACGGCTGCTGCTGGACGGGATCAAGAAGGCTTGAGCGGGCTTGATCAAATACTTATATTGCAGCTCGCCTGCAGGACCAACCCTTGATCGCCTCTGGACCCAAGACAATGTCATTGTGTACTTTCGCGAAGAGATAAAGTGAAATGTCAAAGAAGACTCAAATGTCATTGTTCTGGCGACGCAGTCTCGGGGAGTCGCAGCCCACAGCAGACTGACGAGGCTCGCTCCACCGAGCATGATGTGCTGCTGTGTGAAGTATGTGAAGAGCAGGCGCTGGTCTCTGGGGATCACAGAATGCACCGTGATCGTGTTGGCGACGTGGCATAATGGGGTGGAGGAGGTCGAGACGGATGTTTGTAGGCACATGCGTTCCAAGGCCGTCAGTGCCCGCGCGCGCCGGGAAGTGTATTCAATAGACGTACTAGTAGGTAGGCAGGAACCGTCAAGCAACTTTGAGCACGGTCCCTGTTCGCGCACGGGCGGCTTGCTTGTGCTCTCAGTTCGTAAGGTTCACAGGGGCCAAGCTCGAGACTGATTAAAAGGCAAGGCTAGTGATGGAGCCCACCATCCAGTATATGGTATACACATTGTATATTATACCGTGTATACAGCCTTTACGGCCGGAGACCTGGTATACACCCATAGAGGAGTTATGTAATACGCTGATAACAGCCTGGATACAGGCTTAGCAGCCGGACTTCCTAGGTTATCAAGGTATTCGCACGGGCCCTTACCTGTATACACCGGGTATATACTGGTATATTATACGGTGTATACAGGGCCAATTCCTAGTATACCGTATATCCACATCCCTAGGCAAGGCAAGCTCACGGGTGACGCACGAGCCACGCCAAGTCAAGTCGAACGTGCGTCGTGCGACTGACAGCGTTCGGTTCGCGCCTTGTCGCCTGGTCTTGTAACGCATCACTTTTCACTTTTCACATCCACCTCGACGTCGTGCTTCGCGCGCGCCCTCGCTACTTCTAGCCGACATCGACACTTGATCCACGATTGAGTGCAATTCGCCAGAGTCTGGTATAGCGCGTCGCCTGCACCGCGTGCCACATACTCCACACTCTCACCAGCAGCAAACGCCGACACGATCCATTTTCAAGGCCGCTGTTGCTGCTGCTGCTGCTGCTGCTGGAAGGCTTGACTGCCTGGTCTTGCCTTGCCTTGCCTTGCCTTGCCTCGCCTCGCCCTGCCCTCCGCCGCCGCCGTCCCTTTCGACATCGAGAACGAATCGCGTCCGTGACGTCAGGCTGTTCTGCTCGGACACTCCGACCTGCATCTTTGGCAAAGCCATCAACGTCCATCGAAATCCCCATCACCACTCCCGCAATCTCCACTCGCCCGTACACGCCTGAGCGCATTACCCACCGACTTCGATCCATCCCAGCCATTACTGGAAGACACCTGAATTCGGATCTGCTGAGAGAGGTGGCGGTATAATACGGCACACCACTCAGGTCCGCGCTGTTCGCGGCGCCTGGCGCTATGGGGAGGATTAAGAAAGTCGCCACGGAGCGGCACACGGCGACTCAATCGCCATATGTCAAGGAATTCGTGGTCAAGGCGACTGAGGTGCCGTTGCACCGATTACCTGCATGCCTGGACACTTTCCCGCAGCACTGGCCGCTGCCGCGAGGCGATCTGTATCACTGGATCCCACTCCTCGACCGCTTCGACCATGTGCTCGAGAATTTCAACAAGGAATATGCTCTGAACGAAGGACCGCAGATGCAGCCCTTTCAGCGGCGTCTGCTCGAGAAGGGCGATGCAGAGGAGGGTATGCCATATCCTGCTGCGAAAGCATCGTCGCAAGAGCTGGACGCAGCTGGCTATTCTGCAGAGGGTGACCGTGAGTTGGTCGAAGCTGTGCTGCACTTCACGCGGATACTGCTTGAAAATTGTGGCAACCGTAGCCTGTACGCCAGTAGCACACACATCAACGATCTACTGCATACCACATCACTCAGCCTTTTGCGCCTTTGCTTGAAGCTGGCACTACGTCTGGCACAACGCTATCAGGTGGCTCGATTTAAGAACCATCACCCAAGCGCCCAGCCGTTGCTTCTCGCCAATCACTACAATATCAACCTTGACAACCTGCACAAAATCGCCTTGCCTTTTCCGAAGCCATACAGCTCCGGCGCAAGCTTGGCTCAGACACCTGTAAAGGGACGCGAGAAGTCCTCACAACATTCGAGCTTCAATCCAGCTGATCTAGTCGCTATCGCCAAGGATCCCATTGCGGCCAGCCTGCGGAATGAGCTGTCTGGCGTATTCTTGACTTACTACGAGCCATCTGTATCAGCACCGAGGCCGACTACAGCTACGCCAGCTACCGAAGCCTCTCCTACGACACCTACGCCGACGCGGAGGACGTCGAATTTGGGACCATCGCGCGACCGACCATCTGTGGCAGATAGATCTTTCAGCGCCGATGATCTGTCCACGACGCCAATCAAATCCCGCGAGACGGACGGCTCTTCCGATAATGCCCCCAAGCTCTTCAACATCCCTGCCAGGAAGGTCGCCGACACACCTGCATGGTCTTTGGTAAAGGACGCCGCGTCAGATCTTCCTTCCGAGCTTCGATACGAACTGCTGAATCGCGTGCGAATCGCCAAAGCGTTCGCATCTGTGAAAGAGGATGCCCAATTGATACTTGAAATTCGACTCCTGGCTGTTGCAAACATGGCATTTGCGTTGAGCGAGTCAAAGTTCCAGGAGAGGCTTGGCACTGCAGACGGCGACGAGCCTCGTCGTTACCATCTTGCACAACAGCTATGCGACTTATTGCAGCCTGCAACGAATGGCCAAACTGGTCTCACGCTCCAGAGTGAGACCGCTGTAATTATGACCCTGGATGCGCTCACTAAGACTCGACATAAAGTCAATGAAGTAGCTGATGCACTTTCCATCGCTGTGAATCATGGTATGCTGTATTACGAGCTCCGGAAGGTTATCGCAACACTTGGGGAGAACGAGAACACGGACAAGCACTCCGAGCTTCGGGAGACCGAGTGGCGCATCGCGACATTCGAGCTGGTGAACAGCCTCTTGCAGTCCAATGGACAAGCTCGCTATGGTGAGAAGATGGTCAATGCTGGCATCATTGGCATCCTTGTGGAATGCTTGAAGCTGCGGACACTTCGTGCCGAGCGCTTTCATGAACGTATCCTGCAATTCTTCGACAGCTTCATCCACGGAATACCCACCGCATTTCAGACATTGGCCAATGTCAGAGGTCTAGATACTATTGCCGACCTGACAGCTTTCGAAGTCAAAGCCGCTTTGGAGAGCGCGCGTAATGGGAATGGGATTCCTGCAGAGCACAAATCCAAGGTCATCGACTACGACATCCCGTATCACCAGTCATCAGTTCTTCGTCAATTGTTCAAGAACACGGTGCACATGTTTGAGCATAACAGTGGAGGTCAAGATCGCCTTCTGCGAAATCTGATTGATACGCCGCAGATCTTGGGCGCGCTCAAGGACGTCATCGAGAACGCTCCGTTATTTGGCTCGAATGTATGGAGTGGAGCCGTCAACATCGTCAGCAGCTTCATCCACAACGAACCCACGAGTTATCAGGTCATTGGCGAGGCTGGTCTTAGCAAGAGCCTGCTGGAATCCATTACCGGAGAACACATCCCAGCTGACCTCCCGGAGATCGGAGAAATCATTCCTCCTTCTGAGACTGCGAAGATTGAGGCGGGTCAAGACGGCGAGCCATTGTATCCCTCTGTTTCTGGCATTCTTCCCGTCGGCGAAGTCATGAGCGATGTGCCCACCGCTTTTGGGGCCATCTGCTTGAACGAGTCGGGCATGCAGCTCTTCCAGGCATCTGGTGCCCTGGTCAAATACTTCGACATCTTTCTCTCGCCAGCTCACGTACGAGCCATGGAGGAAGAGTCGCAGACAGCCACTACTATTGGCCACGCATTTGACGAACTGAGCCGCCACCAACCACGACTCAAGAAGCAGATCATGGCTGCGGTGTTCAATATGCTCAAGCGCTTGCGAGACCTGACTCATATTTTGGCAGAGCGGAAGTCTGCTGGTGCGAAGCTTTGGGAGTTGCAAGACGACAAAGCAGTCATTTCAGGTGGGAGTGCTGCTTTGAGAGGAGCCTCCCCTGACGCGTACGCCGAAGCCCTTGCAGGCAAGAGCGACTTCCTCCCGTCGAAGGTGACGGAAGTACGGATTGATGACCACTTGGAGGATGAACACGAGCGGGCGCCTGCGGTGCCATTTTTGAGTGCGTGCTTCAAGTTCCTGGACGGCTTCTTTCACAACAATGGCATGTGCCAGCTCTTCTGCGATGATTCCGGTGCTGAGTTGTTGCTCGACCTGGCCATGACGCCAAGCAATCCTTACGACTTGGTGGCCTTTCCACTCTTCGCAAAGATCACCCACGTGTTGAAGACTATGTGCGAAGCTCGATATGCTTTGGTGCTGCCTAACATCGTCAGAAGAACGCAGCTGGCTGTTCTGGGTTTGAAGGATCTCGTTGGCAACGAAAGCCGAAACAGCTCTTTTGACAAGTTCAGCAATCTAAATGAGGCCGGACAGTCTCCATTCCCTGACGGACGAGACGGAACCACTGTTGTGAAGTCCTTGTTGAATACGCATCTGCTTACTCACATCCTTGGACGAACACTGGCGCCGCCGCCATATACCCTTCGACATGGGCACCAAAACAATCATCTGTTCACGAATATGATCCTCACAGATGTCTATATTGAGCTGGTCGATGAGTTGAGTAAGCTTCACGCTGCATGTCTTTGGGAGAATCTTCTCTTGCAACGCAACATGCCGGAGCAGCAGAAGATACGAACTGAGCCCAAAGCATTTGTCATGCGGCGTATTGACGCCAACGGCGTCGTGGAAGTGGCCAATGATCGGACAGAGTCTTCTCGCTCTCAAAGCTCCGCTTCGAATGGACTGAATGACTCGACTTCCAACGAGAGTCGCAGATCTATCCTCGCACTCAAGAACATTCGAGCGATCAGATATCTGCTCAGCCAGGTGCCTATGGGCATTGAGTCATTCTTCCAGTCGCTCGGTCAGGCCATAGTCACTAAGCGTAGCGATTCGACGCTCAAGCAGCATGCAATGGTGGTTGCGGAACATCTTGCGCAGACTATGATCTGGGGCCTCGACGTCCGTCGCAACAAGCCCGACGAGGAACTTCTAGAACTTAGATATGTCTCGCAGATGCTGACCATGATTGGTCGACTGCTGCTTCGGAACTCGTACTCGATGGAGAGTCTTGGCACAAAAGAAGCCTTGACCATGGTGATGATGAAGTTCTATGTGCTTGGAGGATTTCTGAAGCTGAATGACTATCTGTCTCGCTTCGTGAAATTGCTCGCAAAGGAGCAAGAGCAGAACAAAATTGAGCCTCCTGTCAAGGACGCCATCCAATCAATCTTGACTTTCTACGGCCAAGTGGTGCGCTCGAAATGCATCAATGAGGCTCCGCAATCTAGCGTCATCAACAACAGAGACCACAAATTGCCGGACTACTTCCAGCCAGGCCAGCTGTTGGTGGAGATTCGTGACGCGGTCTTGCCTGCGATCAATGACATTTGGCATTCTCAAGATCTTGAGAAATTCACAGACGCCAACATGCGATCAATTGTTGACATCTTACGTATGATCTTGAAAGCCGAGGGAGAAGATCGTGCTCTGAGACGCGAGGCTAATGCCTATCGCCGAGTGCCCGCACACAAGCTTGAATTCAAGCTCACGAATACGACCGGCCTTGAAGAGCTCGCAGCGAAATTCAATAAAACACTTGCAAAGGAAGCACTTTATCGATGCAATCATATTCACAATCAGGCTGAGCAATATTGCGAGTTGCGGGCCAAGGACCCAAGAGTTCCCCGATTCCCCATTCCCGATGGTGAGACACCAAGCAACGAGGTCACAACCTCAGAGAGCTTTGGTCAAGCGAGATCACGATCACAGCCCAGAGTCTCAACAACCTCTGCGGATGAGACTGCTTCTGTTGAGATGGGCAATGCCGGCGATGGCGAGAGCGGAGGTCTCCATAGAGAAGTCGTCAACCCGGATGACAACGGACAAGCACAAGTCTTGCCCTCTTCTGACAACGATACGATGTCTGATGACGACAACTACGGAACCCTTGGTCGCATTCCAAGCGATATGAGAGATGTGGCCTTGGTAAACGATCCTGCCGCCTTGGACGTACTCAACAGTATCGAAAATATACCGGGGAAGGAGACTCGCCAACTTTACGTTACAGTCGATGACCTTGACGAAAAGCGTCAGGCCTTGCGCGCAGATCTCATCGACCGCTGTCTCGACGTCCTGAGCAGTCAGCGAGATATCGCATTCGAGCTTGCTGATTTAATCCAGGCTGCAGTCATGAAATCGAGCGAAGAGCAGAGCACTCGTGCTGAAATTAGCACGACATTGGTGTCCTCACTGATATCACTGAAGGCTGAGGAACCCAGCCAGGAATCTGGTTCGAAGATTCACGCTTACGCACATCTTGTTGCACTCATCTTGCAAGACCGCGACTTCTTTGAGGCGTCACTCGACGAGTTGAAGGACAACTTTGAGAGTCTTGTTGAGTGGGTGGAGCTTGGTCCGGATCAAAAGGCAGCCGACGCGCCTTGGATCGAGACTGTGCTCCTTATCGTCGAGAGAGTTCTTGCAGAGGACGAGCAGCCTCCGGAAAATCCGTGGGAACCTCCTCCTGCCGACAACCCGCTGAAGCCGCTAAAGGAGCTCCCAGAACCACAAGCGATTGTGTCTCAGGATCTTCGCTCGCAGCTTTTTGGCTCTCTTGTCGGCCTCCTGCCCAAAGTTGGCAAGAATGCTTCATTGGCACTCTCCGTCTCTCGCGTACTGGTCATTCTCACTCGGAAGCGGGAGCTGGCGATGCGTCTTGCCGACAGGCTTACTCTCAATCGCCTCTTCACGATGATCCGACAACTCGCAGGATCGGTCGATGAGAAGCTTCAGGCATCTTTCATGCTTATTTTGCGTCATATGATTGAAGATGATGACACTTTGCGCCAAATAATGCGAGCCGAAATTCGTGTTGCGTTGGCGCATCACAAATCTTCCAGGGCGCTGGACACCACCACGTACACCCGCAATCTATCCCACTTGGCAATTCGCAACCCAAAGATCTTTGTCGAGATCACTGGTGAGATGGTCGAAATCACACGCTTTGATGGGAATCCAAATCGTGGCCAACAGATCGGTCTGAAGCGCTCGACTCCTCCAGAACCGAAGCCAAAGGCTGAGTCGTCATCTGCCAAGCCTACTATCGATGGTGACGCTTCAGAACAGCAAAAGATGCCCGAGCCCAAGGGGCCAGTGGTTGAAACTACCGACGGCGTTGTCCAGTTCTTGCTTCGTGAATTGTCCAATTACAGAGTTCTGGAGGACAACATTCCACCAGCATCGAAAGAAGACGAGGACAAATCGACCTCTGGCAGTGCATCTTCTGATGTTGAGATGTCCGAGTCCACGCCCACGCCCACGCCGCCTCCAGCAAACGCTTCGACCGCGGCGGCAGTATCGACTGCTGATCAATCCAAGAATAGTAAGCCTGTCTTCAAGCCTGAGGAGCACACCATCTACATCTATCGATGCTTCATCCTTCAGTGTCTTGCTGAGCTTCTTGCGTCCTACAATAAGACAAAAATGGAATTCATCAACTTTTCGCGCAAGTCGGAAGCTCAGCCTGCAACGCCTTCCAAGCCGCGTGCCGGCACGCTCAACTACTTGCTCAATGCACTCATGCCAGTGGGAACTCTGGAGCACCGAGATGACGTGTCACATCGCAAAAAGGCCGCAACATCGAATTGGGCCACTCAAGTCTTGGTCGCACTCTGCACGAAGACACCAGAGCGACAAAGCGAGCTCCAGGCAGCTGCACCTTCATTCGCCGACTTCTCGGAGCAAGAGCCGGAACTTACATTTGTGAGGAAATTCGTTCTGGAGCATGCACTTCGTACGTTCAAGGAAGCAGTCACATCCGCTGAGCCACTCGACCTCCGCTACTCACGCCTCCTGTCCCTTGGAGAACTCTTCAATCGTATGCTCAATAGCAAGGTTGACCAGCAGAGAGCGAATGTGGTCTCAGCCGGTGCGTTCAGCGCTCATCAGCAGATCGGCCGACTCATGTACGAGAAGAACTTTATTGGCACCCTGACTTCTGCCATCGCCGAGCTTGACTTGAACTTTCCGAACGCGAAGCGCGCAGTCAAGTATATACTTGGCCCACTCAAGCAACTTACAGACCTCGGAGTAACCTTGAGCCAGTCCGCAGAGTTGTCCTCCTCTACCGAGCCCGGAACGAGTACTGAGGAAGACGAAATCTCCTCTGCTACCTCGATTTCGGGAGATGAAGAAGACGATGATCGCGAACACACTCCTGATCTTCTTCGTGACACCTCGCTCGCTGATCAGCTCGCAGATGACGATGAAGATGACGATGAGGACGATGACGATGACGAGATGGGCTACGACGAATACGACGATGGTATGGACTATGAAGAGGAGCAAGTAGCCGACCACGGCGAGGTTGTTAGCGACGAGGACGAGGATGAGCTTGACGATATGGGCGATATCGAAGGTGTTCCAGGCGATGTCGAGATGGAGATCGATGTCATGATGGACGACGAAGACGATGAGGATGACGAGGATGACGACGACGACGATTCTGATGAGGATGATGAGGATGATGTAGATGACGACGACGACGAGCATGGCCATGATTTCCTTGACCACATGGACGAGATCACTGGTGACGACGAAAATGCCAGCCTTGGCGAACACGAAGGCGACTGGGAGGAAGAAGGTATGAACCTCCAGTTCCATGGTGCTGCTGGTGAGGATGGTTCTCCGGATGGGCTTGTCGGACACATTGGTGCAGAAGATGGCTCTGAAGCTGGTGATCGAGACCCTATTGTGCGCATCGACCTCGGGACTGCTGCTGGTGAAGAGGAATTTTTCTAACATGACATGCCGCCTGAGGATGACGAACACCAGGAAGACGAGCAAGACTACGGCTTTGAACCTGAGATCGAAGAGGACGATGACGACGATCAAGATGGCGGTTGGACCTGGGACGTGCAGCCGCCTCAGGCAATACTTCGAGGTGGACACCATCACCATCACCATCATCACAGAGGGCTTGGCGAGATCATGGGTATGATCGGCGGAGACCCATTGCGTCCAATGGGCGCATTCAGCAGATCACACCGAGCTACCCCCAACCCCCGAGATGAGGACGGCGTAAACCCTCTGCTGCAGCGTGGTGGGGCTGCTGGACAAAACAACCGCGACCGCGAGGCTCCTGAGCCTTTCCCAGGCACACGATTCGCTGGCGCACGACGAGCTTTCGTGCCACGCCAGGGCGATCATGTGCTACAGGATCTGGTCGCTGCTGTTGGACCGAATGGCCACACTGGTCCCATTGATGTTGTGGTTCACACCGGTGCGATGCCGGGCCTTGGTGCGCTCCCACCCATGTTTGTTCAGTCACGTCTCGGCGGACAGGCTATGATTGATATTGACCCAACACGCGGCTGGCGAGAAAACGCCGGACTTGGACGCTGGGCAGATCCATTGACTGGTCGAGTGCACGAGCGTGGCAGCGGCCATCACGTCGAAGCGCAAGCAGTCGAGTTCCGGACGAGCCAGACTTCAGCCCGTTGGCAAGAAGAAGCTCGCATGCTCTTCCCTGGGAGATTTCAAGAAAAGGCACTTCAGATTCTCAACATGATCTTCCGAACCTTGGTACCGGCTGCCATGCAGGCAAAGAAGATCCGCGAGGAGCAGGAAGCCGAGCGCCAGGCTGCTGCGGAGAAAGAAGCTGAGGAGAAGCGCAAGCAGATGGAAGCAGAGAAGGCGGAGCGCGAAGCCCAGGAGAAGAAGGAGCGCGAAGAACGTGAAGCGAAGGAACGCGAAGAAGCTGAAGCTCGTGCTCGAGAGCAGGCTGAGCAGGCACCAGAAGGCGACACCCAAGCAGAGGCAGATAACGACATGCAGGGCATAGAACAAGATGCTCCAGAGGGCACAGCCGATGAAGAACAACCAGAAGCGGAGCCAGAACAGCCACCAGCAGAGCGCATTACCATGACGATTAGGGGTCGTGAGCTCGATATCACGAGTCTGGGCATCGATCGGGAGTATATCGAAGCTCTGCCAGAAGAGTTGAGAGAGGAAGTGATCATGGCCCAATATGCTGAACAGCGAAGCCAACAAGCAGAATCCCAGGAAGCACCGAGCGAGATCGATAGATCATTCCTGGAGGCGCTTCCACGTGAGCTCCAGCAAGAGCTTCTGCGCACCGAGCAGCATGATCGACGCCGCCGCGAGCAAGCTGAAGAGAGAAGACGTCGACAGCAGGAAGGCAATGCCGCTCCTGCTCAGGCGGAAGACATGAACAACGCCGATTTCATGGCTATGCTTGATCCCGCTCTCCGACAAGCTGTGCTTCTTGATGCTGACGACACGGTCCTTGCTGCGCTGCCCGAAGATCTTCAAGCTGAGGCCAGAGCGCTTTTTGGAGACAGACGACCTCGCGCAGATGGCGGTCGCGCCGCACGCCATCTCGAAGTCGCCGGAGCTCGTGCGATCTTCGGCCAAGATGCTGGCCGTGAGGAGGAAGCCACTCGTGAGGTCAGACAGCGACGACCTGTTGCTCAGATGCTTGACAAGGCTGGCATTGCCACCCTTCTGCGACTGATGTTTGTGTCTCTCAACCACAAGGCCAAGGCCAACTTGCACGGCATCTTGTCCGACATCTGCAAGAACACCCAAAACCGCGCAGAGGTCATTAGCATCTTGCTTTCGATCCTGCAAGACGGGACTGCAGATGTCAACGCAGTAGAGCGTAGCTTTGCTCAGCTCTCACTTAGAGCCAAGCAACCGTCTGCACCGAAGACGCCACAGCCTCTCAAGCGCAGCTTCACAGACCAGCAAAATGTTCTACCTACCACTGAGCTGTCGCCATTGAACATTGTTCAGCAATGTCTCGGTACGCTCAATGCACTGGCCAACGACAATCCTCGCATTCCTTCATTCTTCCTCAGTGAGCACGAAACTGCCGCTAGCCAGAAAGCCAAGACAGTAAAGAAGGGCAAGGGCAAGGAGAGCAAGGCTGCGAAATTCCCTCTCAATGCTCTGCTGACTCTTCTTGACCGCAAGCTGATCACGGAAAACGCTGCTGTGATGGAGACTTTAGCATCTCTGCTCAAGGACGTCACTGGACCTCTTTCGATTCTCGCACGTCGCCAAAAGGAAGCACAAGAGGCTGCCAACAAGGCTTCTGAGAATCAAGAACAACAAGAATCTGCGAGCACAGATGTCGCCATGGCAGAGTCCAGTGGCACAAGCGGTGCCGCAGAGACTCCTGCTGCGACAAGTGCCAGCACTGAAGCGCCAAAGGAAGCAACCGAGGCACAGCCAGAAGTGCCAGCCACGAAGAAGAAGCATCAAGATCTCACGCCGCCTGAGGTGCCTGATGAGAATATCGGTCTTGTGGTCAATATCTTGGCTGCACGCGAGTGCCCAAGCAAGACTTTCACCGATACGCTGGATATTATCAAGAATCTCTCAGCAATTCCTGGTGCGAAGGAGGTCTTCGGTAAGGAGCTTACACGTCAAGCCCAAGAGCTTGGCCAGACGTTGCTTAGCGATCTCGAAGAGCTTGCTACACAGATACAAGCAGCTCAAACTGGGACCGACCTTCAAGGCATGGCGCTTGCGAGCTTCTCTGCTGCTGGATCCAAGCAGCGCAAGTTGCTCCGCGTCCTGGTTGCTTTAGATCACCTCTTCGATCCCAAGCGCATTCCGCAGAGCACAAACGTCACCGGCACTGTTGTGGAGCAGAAGTTGAAGGAAGACATCCTGGCCACGCTCTATGAGAGCCCGACCTTCGAAAAGCTGTGGCACAGCCTCAGTGCATGCCTCACTGCCATTCGTCAGCGTGGGAACATGGTCAACGTCGCAACGATTCTTCTTCCATTGATCGAGTCCCTCATGGTCGTCTGCCGCAATAGCGCCTTGAAGGAAGCTCCCGCTGTCATCACCTCACCAGCCGAGACGAAGGTCAGCACACCCCCACCAGTCGTACGTATGGATACGCTCTTCTTCAATTTCACCGAGGAGCACCGCAAAGTCCTCAACGAGCTCATTCGCAACAATCCCAAGCTCATGAACGGCAACCTGTCAGTCTTGGCCAAGAACTCGAAAGTGCTTGAATTCGACAACAAGCGCAACTACTTCAGCCGCAAGCTTCATGACCGCCGCGCGGAAGTCCGTGTTGCTCACCCCTCGCTCCAGCTCAACATTCGCCGCGATCAGGTCTTCCTCGACTCGTTCAAGTCCTTGTATTACAAGAGCCCCAGCGAAATCAAGTACGGCAAGCTCAACATCCGCTTTCACGGTGAAGAAGGCATTGATGCGGGCGGCGTCTCGCGTGAGTGGTTCGCAGCAATGGCTCGACAGATGTTCAATCCGGATTACGCTTTGTTCAACCCTGTCGCTGCCGACCGGACTACTTTCCATCCGAATTCTTTGAGCGAGATCAATCCTGAGCACTTGATGTTTTTCAAGTTCATTGGTCGCGTCATCGGCAAAGCGCTCTATGAGAATCGTGTTCTTGATTGTCACTTCAGCCGAGCAGTGTACCGGAAGATTCTCGGAAAGTCTGTGTCGCTCAAAGACATGGAATCGCTTGATTTGGACTACTACAAGTCGCTGGTGTGGATCTTGGAGAACGACATTACTGATGTCACTTTCGAGACATTCTCCGTGGACGTTGACAAGTTCGGCGTCACGGAGACCATCGACCTGATTCCCAATGGTCGTAATATTGCCGTCACCGAGGAGAACAAGCAGGAGTATGTTCGACTTGTTGTCGACTATCGCCTCATCAAATCCGTACAAGGCCAGTTGGACAACTTCTTGGAAGGCTTCCACGACATTATCCCGGCCGAGCTCGTCTCCATCTTCAACGAGCAAGAATTGGAACTCCTCATCTCAGGTCTACCAGACATCGACGTGGACGACTGGAAGAACAATACAGAGTACCACAACTATCAGCAAACTTCACCTCAGGTGCAGTGGTTCTGGCGCGCCGTTCGCAGCTTCGACAAGGAAGAGAAAGCCAAGCTTCTTCAATTCGTTACTGGTACCAGCAAAGTACCGCTCAACGGCTTCAAAGAGCTTGAGGGTATGAATGGGTTCTCCAAGTTCAACATTCACCGTGACTTCAGCAGCAAAGAGAAGCTGCCATCCAGTCACACTTGTTTCAATCGTAAGTCATGTCATCAAACTCCCTACGAGTACAGTTACAGTTCACTAACATGGCTTCCACAGAGCTTGATCTGCCCGAGTACGAAAGTTACGAACACCTTAGACACCAACTCTATACCGCCATCACTGCCGGTAGCGAGTATTTCGGTTTCGCATAAGTCGATGTAGCATAAGAGAGCATATGGGGAATGAAATTCATGCATGGCGTTCTTTCGGGCATAACGAAGGAAAGCATCTTAAATGGCGCTGAGAACGCATGAGGTAGTAGGCTGGGATCCCAGGCGTGTATCATAATCATTGGTCAGCTCTTCGATTCACGTTCGCTTCGTAGATGGAAGTGCAGGTCCATCTGCTTTGCTGCTGGGGTTTCGAAGCTGTTGCAGCTGCTGCTGTATTAAGAATAGGAAAGCAAGAGTAGCTCAGTAGATATTATGAAGGGCCGTAAGGCTTGTTTAGCGTTCAGATTCATCCGTCCGGCTTCAAGTTGGCTGTGAAGTAGTGTTGCCTCCTGAAATGGCTTATTATACCTGCAGGTGCAGGACCTTCGGCATTGCGCACAGCTACAATGAATGGCTTCCGATGGATGAACGTGACTTGAAGCGTGAGCGATTCTGAGCACTCTCAGTTGTTGGCAGAAGCCACAATGGACATCAACAGAAGCGAAGTGAAAATCCAAGTTACGAAACCAATTTGATACAATAATGCTGCGGCCCCGATTCGAACATTTTCTTCATGATTTCATCAGGAATTTCAGTATCTACAGCCTCTCCTCCTCCTATGGCATAATCAACCTTGTGCCCAGTTGTTCGACGTTGCTGTAAGTACAATTTTGGGGTTTCCTCCGAAATGGAAATTTGAAATGCTACCATCCCTCCATGCAAATGCCACTACTCCATGCTGCGCTTTTCAAATGCTTGACCAGATCAAGTCGTATCCATCGTTTCACATGCCGCTGGCACATTCTTCAAGTCATCACCTTCAAGTCATGCTTGAAGAAACAGCCCGCGGCCGTGCTGTGCACATATGCATTTGGCCAAGGCTTGTAGCGTTGTTGAGACGTGTCTGCAGATGCAGTCAGGAATACTGGCTCCTCTCATGGCTGATAGAATGGGCTGGTCATGAGGAATTCGGCGTCTGTGCAGGACAAGATGTTAGAACGGAGTCCAGCTTGGGGATGCGCTCGCATAGGATTCGGCAAAAGAGGGATCGTATGCTGGCATTACGGCTCAGCATGTATTCTCAGACGCCGCCGAAAGGTGCTGTTTGCTTCGACAAGGAGCCATATGGTCCATAAAGCATTTCGGGTACAGAAGTGTTTGGTGCTCGGAGATGATCAGACCAGCGAGTCTTGGGTGAAGGAAATGTTGCTGACTTACCAATATCATCTGTGATTGGGCCTCCTTCATTCAAGAGATCAACGACTTCCTGCCCATCGCGAGGGTCGATCCTGCCCATATCATGATCCTGCTCAGTATGCGGAATGCCGTAGTCCGGCGGTCTCGTGTCAAGTGGCACAGGCGTCGGCTGAGGCTTGCCATGATGGACACGCTCCGAAGGGTTTGTGGTGGTGCTAGAGGCGTTTAGTGTCGTGTCTGTGGCGATTGTGGAGGAGGACCTCTCCTACTCACAACGTTAGCAGTGCACATTTGCCTGGGCATTATCACGTGTATCCTGATTCCCAATGATCGAACTCGTGATCAGCAAGGCCACACGCGGGGACTTTGCAAGTCAGGGCGTGGTCGCTGTGATGGGAATGCGGCGTGCTTGGAGGCTGAGGAGAATGGGTAGGACTAACAGTCTCGACCATCTTGTCGCCTTCCACTCGCACTTCACGATCTCTCAGCTTCCGCATGAGACCTAAGAACTGGCTGTTCTTGAATTTTTCCGATTGATTATGCTTCACCTTCTCGAGAAGCTCTTCTGCTGTTGCAGCAAGCGCATCGTCGTCGTGCGCTTTTTTTTGTTCTTGCTGCTCTTCTTGCTGTGCGGTCTGCATTGGTTCGTACTCTACGTCGCCGCCACTGTGAGCCATGTGCAGCGGCGTGTACTCTTCCATGTCCAGATCATGGCCAGGCTCTCTTAGCATTTCCGTGGCTGCTTGCTCCACCAGAGCCTCGAACTTCTCAGCATTGACCTCATCAATCAGTTCCTGTGCTGTTGGCTCCTGCTCCTGTGCCACGTTCCTCGCCTCCACCTCCGCCTCTGCAGCCTCAGCCATCATGTCATCCCGCGCCTGATCAAATGCTGCAGCAAAAGCAGCTTCATCGAATTGCTCAGTCACAGGCTCTTTGCCTTTGGACTGCACAGCGGGAGCATAACTGGGCTGAAATGGGTGGGAGAATTGGCTTTGAAAGCCATTCAGTCCATATCTGGCTCTTTGCTGAAATGCTTGCGGCGAAGGCGAAGAGTTCTGTGCTCGTGGTGCTGCTTGTGCTACGTGGGCTCGAAAGTCTTGTGCCCAGTCCGCAGAGGTCGGTGCTGGCTGGGAGTGCTGCTGTGGGTTCGGTGGAGGCTGAGATATATGCATTCGCTGGAAATCGGCTGCCCATGATGGTGCTTGAGCCTGAGCTGGGCTGCCCAAGCCGGCGGGCCTCTGAAATTGGAGCCCATTGTCTTGCGGAAGGAAGTTGTGTGCAGCCTGGAATGCTTCAAACTCAGGATCCAAAGCGCCAGCATAGGGATTAGGGGAGCGAAAGGCTTGTGCTGGATGCTGACGAGAGGCGAGACGGTCTTGTTGGAGCGTTCGATCGACATCGGTCTGCTGCTTGAACTGCTGCAGGGCGTTCGATGGCCCGCACACTGCCTCTGCCATTTCGGGAGCAGGGAAAATATGCTATACAGAAAGGAGAGAAGGAAGGTGTCTACATATTACAGGACGGTCGTGTGAGAGCAGCATGAACACATGCACTGCGCCGGCGCCAGCCTTCGAGGCACATGAAAGATGAAAGCCGAGGCACTTCACTCCACTCGCCTCTTCTTTCCCGGCCGGGTGCGGCGACTAGCAAGGCGCGTGCCGTTCCGCGACTCTAGCTCAGCCCTACGCGGACAGGGTAAAGGCAACGTGGAGGTGAGACAAGTGCGCTTGACCACGCTAAACGCGGAGTTGACTATCGATGTAGGGATCCGTAGACGCTAAAGCGGGTGCGTCCCGCACGCGAAAGTTTCATTACGCTAGGATCTTCTATTACGCTAAGCGTTACGCGATATCTATACGCGTATCTTTGCGCGTATACTCTCTTCCTTTCTTTCTATAATATACTACTAGTACGTATCTACCCCTAGCCCCTACCCCTATTCCTTTATATATGCCTATATATATACGCGACGAGCTAATAAGGCGACTTCGATGTCGCAGCTAACCGAGTTCCCCTATACTACTATACCTAAGCCTATAGCTCTGTATATATCTCCTAATATACCGTAAGACATTAAGACCGTTGCCTAGAACAACACCCTACTAGAGCAATCTATAAGTATAGAGACTAGGGCATACATCTGCCTATACTTATACCTATATAGAGCTCCTACCGCAAATATAAGAAGCGCCTCTTATAGGGCGAGTTATTTAATATGCCTAAGATAGAAATCGTAGTATGTAATCTCTCTTCTACCTATGCAATAGGCTAAACTAATGCCTATAGATCTGCCTAAAGACTAACTAGGAGGCCGTACGCACCTATATAGGTAAGGTAACTTGTCGTATACCGGTAGGATCTAAGAACTTCGGTCGCTTCCTAGCTGCCTAGAAGAATCGCGATAGGTATATACAGTATTATACCTATATTACTAGTTATTGCTAATACTATAATAGAAAAGACGAAGACGAAGAGACACTAAAGGAGTTATACGAAGAGAAGAGCTTCTATAGTATATAACTCTGTCTTTGCCTATACGTATGCCTAAAGCTAATACCTTATAGACTATCTGCCGCGACACTTCGGCTCTCGCTATATACATTATCTATAGTATACGTAGCTCCCTGCCTAGAGCTTTGCCTATACTAACGTATATATAGTATAAGGGAAAAGTCGAGCAGCCTAAGGAGAAGGACCGTAGTAGTCGGTACACGCCTAAGACTAAGATAAAAAAGTGCATTAGTAGGTTTAGGCAGCTCTATAGGTAAAGCTTTTTACTAATGTATCCCTTAGATTTCTTCGATAATGCCTAGGATCTATACGAGGTCAAGTATAGCTATATCTTTACCCTTACCTTTGCCTATACTAATCCGTATATAGCCCCGACGCCCTAGGTACACCGAGCAAGGGCAAAGCTAAGGGTAAAGCACCGGCTAAATCTGCCGAGACAATCGAAGACTTAGAGACTGAGTCTAAGTCTAAGTCTAAGAGTAATAGCGAGGTATATATGCCGATCTATGCCTATGCCGCTAGTTATATACTAACTTAAATAGGCCCTTCGTCGTCCGGCGCGGCAAGCACGGTAAGGTATAAATAGTTACGTACATACCTTTGCCTATACTAACGCCTATATAGATTGATCTAACTAAGGCTAACCGCGAGTTCCGTACCGAGTTCCCTAAGGCTATAGTGCCTTGCCTAGGTTGCTAGGCTAAGAAGGCTAAGAAGAGTAAGTCTAGAGCTTTAGCTATAGCAATACCTATACTAACGCCTATAACAGACTGCAACCTTAGTGCCGATACCTATAACTACACTAAGAACTACAACGTCGTTATCCTTACAGGATAAGGGTATAGATATAGGTATAGGCACGGGTATAGGATAAACATAGGATAATCATTGCCTATATAGGCACGTATATAAGTATAGAACTAGCTACTAGTTGAAAGCCCCGGCTATAGTTAGACTTGAAATCTAACTATAGCTAAATCTTCTCCGCACTCGTAACTTCCTATATACGCCGTGCTATAGCTATAGGTCGCCCTTTACAATATCGTAACTGCTTTCGAGGCTTCTAGAGTCTAACAAAGGTAGCTTAACTAAAAAACAAGGGGGATAACGAAAGGCTAGCGGTTATATCCTAAGAATAATATAAGCTATACTAGTACTAATAAGTACTAACAGCTAGAAACTAACAATAATTATATATATACTAGGATTTATAGGTAGTAGAAGCTACAGTTTAGACGAATTAGTATAGAAAGTTTGAAATAATAGGGGCTATATTAGTAAAGTTACCTAGATCAAAATAATTAAAACTAGTATATAGCGGGTAGGTCCTTTTTAGTATAGATACCTAGAATTTTATAACTGCTAGTTTTAGTCTAAAAGACATAGAGATACCGATCGATATTATACTATAGCGTTACTAGTAGGCTGGTTTTTTATATAGGACAGATGCTACTACTAGTACTATACCTATTCTCTAGTCTTTAGCTATAGCAGTAGGGCGTTATTATCCCCTACTGTTAATGGAATAAAGGTATAGTCTTTAAAAAGTAGGTTTAGGTATTCTTTTTAAGTCAGCTATATACTAGCGCTAGTACGTATCTTATAATGCCCTAAGGCCTATATACTGTTCTATCGAATACGTTATACATATTGAATCACACAAACGTACAGAAGTAGTAGTACTCTAGTTTAATACTACCCTATTTTGATTTTTATATATATATATATATATATATATATATATATATATACTACCGTATAGGCCTATATACCGACTAACTAATATTAAACTATATCTTAATCTCTAGCGTAGCCTAGTATCGGGTCTCGTATTACTCGGGAGATAATACGCTACTTACCCGCTTTCCGGCTAATAGTGCTATTCTATCGGGTATAGTCTACGGATCTACTAGTAACCCGCTTTTTTAGTTTAGTATACTAAGGTCGGCGAGGTATGTTTCTAACTAGTATCGAATTGCTCTAATACTATGCTATACTTTTAACGTAGCAAGCTAGATATATAGCTAATCGTATAGATATAGGTGCTTTAGCTAGGTATTACCTACCCGCTCGCCTATACTAAATAGGACAGTATAGGCTATAACCTAGAGATAATCGGCTTTCTATACTAGTAGGCCGGGAAGGGTAATAGTACTTATATCTACTACTTTAAAGTCGGTAGCAATCGCACTACTACTAGTGCCTATTTCGATTTTATAGGTTAGTTTAACAACAAGGATTTGCTACTCGATCGTATATATCTAGAAGACTAGTTTGTATACCTGCTATACGATCTAATTCTAGCTAATACTAAGGTCGCCGACTATATTATATTTCCGAATTGTAGTATATTAGACTAGGACGCTAGTAAGGCTCGTGCTATTACTATAGTCCGCGGCGCAGACGAGTAGCATATCGATAGTATCTAGAGAAGCACGTTTTACTATAACTAAAATATTCAGCTACCGCCAACTAGGCAACCCTAAGCAGTACCATAAACGTTTACTATAGTCGGCCCAAGATAGTATCATATACTATCGCAGGTTAGCGTACTAGCATTGCTATACCCTATAGTAGGTCGGGTTAGTTTAGTTTAGTTTACTAAGCCAAAATTCTAGGTTAGTTTAAGTTAGTTTGCTAAGCAACTATACGAGTAGCAGGTTAGAACTATAGAATTAGTCGGTTTCTAACAAGTATAGGAATATATACGTAACTTAAAGCAAGCCCTTTTTAAGACTAGTACTAATAGAATTTTCGAAGACTTTTATTTCGGACGTCTAATAAAGCATAATATACTATATATATACTTAGAGAGTATTTATCGCGCGCTATATAGCGCCGTATAATAGCGGCATATTTTGTATATAGAAACGCTTATAGAGGATACTAAGAATATCTATCCTACTAGAATATCTATCCTACCTACTACTATCTCGAATTTAGATATTCTAACCCTTAAGAATCTAATCTAGGGCTTTAAAATCCTTACCTATAGTCGTAACGCGATTCACGTAGATAGCTATAAGGACAATAGCTAAAATAGTATTAGTATAGTTCCAAAAGAGGTAGTAAAATTTAGTAG